ATATTTTATATATTCATTTTGTAAGGGGTGGACCAGGGTGGGTCACGGGTTTGGGCCAAACTTTTTTGACGTTTCTAAACTCCAAAATATCGCAAACTTTTTTTTTTGTAATGTAAAATTTTCCGTTATTTAATATTTTTCACATTATTATTTTTTTTTAGATATAATAGAAATTTTAATAAAATCGATCAATTAATATTTACAAGACAAAAATCCGCCTCTCCCTGCTTATAGGCCTGACGCCCTGTACAATATTGATGAATTGACCTTCATTGAAACAGATTTTTTTTTCAATGTTCTTTCTTTTATTTTTTTTTACTCATTATTTTTAATCAGTGGGTAAATTGAAGGAGGCCAAAAGAGGGATGCTTGTGAATGGAGTTCATTCATAGGTGGATGCTGGAAAGGGGCGAGACCTTCATGGAATCGATTCCGGGGGCAGGGCCCGTTGAACTTTCAGACGAGGATCCAACAACTGGGCGACAAAATCTGCCTCTTCAACCAATTTGTAACCGCAATCGGACCCGAAATTAGGAACGGTCGCTACTTTATAAAAGGAAGCCCTTTGAACAATTTTCTAAGTCCATTATTAAAATTTGTGTCCAATCCTAAAAAAAATATATATATTTTAAAAAAAAGACACTATTTATTCACGTACAAAACTGTTTCTTTGAGTTAAAAAACCCACATCAAATTTATAAAAGTAATCGTTCTTAACAATGACCCAAAATTGACAGTCAATTTAAAAGTCCGCCTAACTGGACTGTGTTCAATAATTAGATCATTTCTGGTCTTCTCTATTATCAACAATTAGACTTCAGCCAGTCACGATTTTCCATATTAAGCCCGCTTAGGTGCTTTCTCGGTTGCTTTTCAATGTCGTCAAAACAAGAAATTCATCCGATCACATCAATAATTAATTATTATACATTTGCAGTAACTGCGTAGGATTCCGAGAAACATGGCTGGTCAATAATGATCAAACTGCTGGTAACTGATGGTTTCAACAAACCAAAACTGACTTCGTTATTGTGAAAATTAAATTATATCAATAAACATATTAGATTGTCACAATAGTTTTTTCCCTATGAAAATAGTTCAGTTTAAAAAAATGATCTATCGTGATAACGTCAGGGATATAAGCAGGTCGAAGTGGATTTTTTGTCCTGCCGCCTTGTTGTTTTACTTTGGTCAATCAAAGGATTTAAATTCAGTTTTTTTTTAAGTCGGTTCTTCAGGTCGATAAGCATGTGAAGCAACAAACTTCTCAAGAAGAAATGAACGCCATTAATACAAGTCAGTATATCAGGCCTATAAGCAGGGAGAGACTTTTTTTTGTCTTGTTGCATCGTTGTTTTATTTTAGTTGATGGATGGATAAAAAGAAGAGATGAAAACTACTCTATAGGGAATCTCAAAACCATTCATGACGGTTTTTGTACAAGTCGGTCGTCAGGCCTATAAGCAGGGAGAGGCGGTTTTTTTTGTCTTGTTGCATCGTTGTTTTATTTTAGTTGATGGATGATTAAAAAGGTTAGAAAAAACTTCACTAGAGGGAATCTCAAAAACACTGATGAGGGTTATTGTACAAATCCGTACGTCAGTCCTATAAGCAGGGAGAGGCGGATTTTTGTCTTATCGCATCGTTATTTTATTTTAGTTGATGGACTAAACTTCTCCTTTGCTAAATGGAAAAAACTTCTCCAGAGGGAATCTCAAAAACACTGATGAGGATTTTTGAACAAGTTGGTGCGTCAGGCCTATAAGCAGGAAGAGGCTGATTTTTTCTCTTGTCGCATCGTTGTTTTATTTTAGTTGATGGATGATTAAAAAGGTTGGACAAAACTTCTCCAAAGGGAATCTCAAAAACACTGATGAGGATTTTTGAACAAGTTGGTGCGTCAGGCCTATAAGCAGGGAGAGGCGGATTTTTTCTCTATCGCATCGTTATTTTATTTTAGTTGATGGATCATTAAAAAGGTTGGAAAAAACTTCTCCAGAGGGAATCTCAAAAACACTGATGAGGATTTTTGTACAAGTTGGTGCGACAGGCCTATAAGCAGGGAGAGGCGGTTTTTTGTCTTATTGCATCGTTGTTTTATTTTAGTTAATTCAAGGATAGATAAAAAAAGGTAGGAAAGAACTCAAGAGGAAATCTCAAAACGACTGATGAGGGTTTTTGTACAAGTCGGTTGTCAGGCCTATAAGCAGGGAGAGGCGGTTTTTTTGTCTTGTTGCATCGTTGTTTTATTTTAGTTAATTGAAGGATAAAAAGGATAGAAGAAAACTATTCCAGAGGGAATCTCAAAAACACTGATGAGGGTTTTTGTGCAAGTTGGTGTGTCAGGCATATAAGCAAGGAAAAGTGGAATTTTGTCTAATTGAATCGTAGTTTTACTTTGGTTAATCAAAAAATTTTAATTGCTAAACTTCCTACAATGTTGGCCTGTTGAATAGGACGTTTAAAATAAATAGACACACAATCTGGAACAAGTTCCCCAGGCCTATAAGTAGGGAGAGGCGGATTTTTTTCTTGTTGCATCGTTGTTTTATTTTAGTTAATTCAAGGATAAAAAGGATATGAGAGAACTCAAGAGGGAATCTCAAAACCACTGACGAGGGTTTTTATAAAAGTCGGTCTCAGGTATATAAGCAGGGAGAGGTGGATTTTTTGCCTTCTCGGATCGTTGTTTTATTTTAGTTAATTCAAGGATAAAAAGGATATGAGAGAACTTTTCAAAAGGAATCTCAAAACTGTCATGAAGGTTTTTGTACAAGTTGGTGCGTCAGGTCTATAAGCAGGGAGAGGCGGATTTTTTCTCTATCGCATCGTTATTTTATTTTAGTTGATGGATGATTAAAAAGGTTGGAAAAAACTACTCCACAGAGAATCTCAAAAACACTGATGAGAGTTTTTGTGCAAGTTGGTACGTCAGGCCAATAAGCAGGGAGAGGCGGATTTTTGGTCTTGTCGCATCGTTGTTTTGTTTTAGTTAATTAAAGTATAAAAAGGATAGAAGAAAATTTTCCTCAGGGAATCACAAAACCACTGAGTCGGGTTTTGTACAATTCGGTACGTCAGGCCTATAAGCAGGGAGAAGCGGATTTTTGTCTTATGGCATCGTTGTTTTACTTTGGTTAATGAAAGGATTTTTATTTAATAACTTCGATATCACTGCTTCGACTACCGAACAGCAGAAAACGAAAATAAAGCAATCTTCTATTTGCAACAAATTGCACGTTGGGTATAGGGCCACCATATTTCCAAATATGAACACTTTTGGTTCAAACAAACTACCCTAAATTTTATCTTATAGGTAATACAAGTTGCAGGATAAAGTTTAAAAAATTGCCATCTTGGCCTTCCAGAGGTAATTTCTGCCCTGATACAAATATTTCTTCTGTCATGTTCATAGATTAAATCTTTAATCTTACCTATATCTAGTTGTCAATATCACTGATTGGTTTGTGAGTTGGTTAATAATCGAGTTATTATTAAAGATTTTCTTTCAAGTCGGGGGAGAGTTGTGACGAGTAGAGGTTCGAATCAATCGGAGAGCCCATGTTTCAGGAATCTTTTAGACAGGTCGACCTACATATTATGTACGCGTTGAAGGGACGGTCTGTATCCTTATTTCACCCTGCCTACCCTAATTCCACTTTTCTTCCCCCTTCTACCATTAGACTCATCGCGGATCGATGTTTAAAAAACGAACCGTTGCGCGATAGGACCACACGGCGGAAAATAGATTTGCCCGTATCCGTAGCGATGACCGACGATGAAAAATCAAGCAATGGATCAAAAAAATTCATCTACTTCAGTTTACCCCCCAGAAAAAAAACCCATCCTTTTCACTTGTATATTGGAAAACAGCGAAATCTCCATCAAACAACTATACGTCTACCTTTTACCTGATTGTATAGCGGTTTTGGTAAATTCGATGATAAATTTCCCGTTGGAAATAATACCAACTTTAAACTTTGCACGTCATTTAATCAATCTTTTATTAATTGTCCCCCATCTCTCTCTCTCCACTATCTCTTTGTGCAATATATTTTCAAACTTCCCTCAAACTGTTGACCATGATTTGACTTTAAGTAAAAGAGGTGTAATTTATTCGCTGATAATTTTGCCCTTTGTTAAGGAAAAGACAAAAGATGACCTAACAATAGAGTTAATAAGTACTCTCAAAACTTAGCTATTTATATTACATTTAAAGAAAAAACAGTTTAATATATATTGTGTGTGTGTGTGTGTTAATTTAATTAAGGTGTAAGTTAATTTATTAATTAAGGTTTTTAGTTGAGATAAAAAAAGTCAATGTCAACCGAATTCAAAAGGTGCGGTTGAGATGGGAAGTTGGTGTCTGAGTGGATCGAGGTCACGATAGCTCAAGTGGTAGAGCAGCGGCGTATCAAGGCGAAGATCGTGGGTTCGAATCCCGCTCGTGCCATTGACTTTTTTNGAATAATCTTGTTTTAAGGTTAAACATAATTTAATTTTACATATTTTTCTAATGGTAAATCAGAGTGAGAGAGAGAAAGTGAATAAGTGTGAGTGAGAAAGTGAAAGTAAGTAGCCAGAGAGAATGAAAAGTGAATGACTTTATGTACCCTTATGGTAGCAATGAGAATACCATATTAAATAGATTTGAGGTTTAACCAGTGCAAATTATTTACAATAGTGTTTAAATTGACAACGTAATTTTTGAAGAATGAATGAATAAATAAAAAATAACCGATATACATATTATGTGACACAATAATTACACTCAAAAATGTACTATTGATTGTTTTGACCGAAAAATATCCAAGTCCATAAATTAATGTTTTCTTTCTATTTTAGCTTTATTAGTATTGAATTATTGATTGAATAAAACAAAATAATTGCTTAGAAATGTTAAGAAATACGTTTTGAGAGTGAAAATAGAACCACGATTTAAAAAAGTTAGGCATAACGTGATGTCATGACTTAGGATTAGGTCGGCGTCAGTTCATTTCCAAACTATAAACATTGTAGCTAGAAGTCCATGCCTGAAGTACCACGAGTGAACCTTTTTTTTAAATTTTGAGTTTGTTTTTATTAATTTTTCAAAGAGATTTATTTTAATAAGGTACTTTTGTAAGAGTTGGTGCTGACATTCAGCCAGGATCATGGAAGAAAGAGAAAACGGGGCAGAATAATCTTGTTTTAAGGTTAAACATAATTTAATTTTACATATTTTTCTAATGGTAAATCATAAAATTATGCTTTATTTTCATGGAGTGTGAAAGTTTATTTAGTTGGATAATATTAAGCTAGTGTGAAGGATGGAAAAAGTTTTCATCCAACTTATAATGACTAATTTTATGTGCAAAAATTGATATTTTAAGTTCTAAGTTATTAAAATATATTGCAATATTTGGCACAAGTTAAGCTGCAGAAAGATAGTTTGTTTATAAAAGAGCAAAATGTACAGATAAATTACATAAAATTTGCTGAAATGGTGTTACAGTAAATCAGTAAATTCTGCGAAATAACTATTATAATTGACCAAATAATTTCTTTAAAATAATTGATAATTAAAATAAATAATTGAAATAATTGATGTACGTAAGGTATTGGTTGAAATGAAAAAGTTAGTGTCATGAACGGGATTCGAACCCACGACCTTCGGCTCAATACGCCGCTGCTCTACCACTTGAGCTATCGCGACTTCTTGGGTTCGAATCCGCTCATGACACTAAGTTTTTCATTTCAACCAATACTTACATAAAGATTAATTATAAATATAATAATAAGAACAACCACCCGATAAAAATTTATCGGGTGGTTGTACTTTCTTCATGTCTGCTTAACAACCTACTGTTGGGTGTCGTAAACAAGTGGACACTTTACAGCACCTTTTACCATTTCCATCCTAGAATCAATAACGTAGAAAAATTTGAGTTAATCTGTCTAACAATTTGACCACAACAGTCCTCGATCGTTTCATCTATTTGTATTTCTTTAATTATACTGACCACAGATAACTTAGGTCAACTGTTAATTAAATTTAGTTTGGTCGTTACCGATTTTAGTCTATCCTCCTTGTAACCCAACTTTAGCTGTACTTGCCAAAGTATTTTTATATAACTTCTGAAATAATGGCTAAAATATAATACATACAAGTACGCTGGTTACAGCCTATTTAGACAAACACAGATTTAATTACGTAAAAACATACATGAGGGTAGACAAACCAAAATGATCAATAACGGCCAAATTACACGTTCATCGCACAGACCGCATGGAAAAATCTCACAAAGTTAAATTCATACTGGTCACATTTGTTACTATACATACATTCAGAGCAAAAAATCAAAATGTTTAGTTTATATGCAGGGTGGGCGACCAAGACCCGGGGGTTAAATGTCTGGGTAGACTCGTACCCCATCCCTAAAAGGTCCGGGTCTTGGTCGGCTCACTTGTCCTGCATAAATCTCTTGTACTTGTTCACAAACCCCAAGATTTAGACTATTTTATCTCAGGAAGTGATTTGGTGATGTCCGCTCCTTCAAAGATTTCGAATCTAGACCTAGCATACCTATCACAATCTGCAATTTCGCAAAAACGACAAAAGGGATCTGGTAGAATCTATTACAAATATAACTTCTGAAATAATGGCTAAAATATTATACATACAGGTTAGGGATGGTGCAGAAGATTGACTTTTTGAGGTTTCTGATTTTATATCAAAAGCTCTTGACAATAAAAATAAAGTCATAGGATTGTTCATGGATATATGAAAGTTGATTGCTTCTGTAGTTCATGCAGTATTGCTTGAAAAACTTTTCAATATCGTTATCAAAAGATCAGTTTATAATTTCATTAAATTATATTTGTTAAATATATCTCAAAAATATGAAAATAAGCCAACTTTTAGCATTCCCACTTATATTAATTGTGCCGTTCCACAAGGAAGTGTTTTAGGGACAGTACTATTTTTAATTTACATTAACGACTTACTTAAGCTAAAACTTTCTGGTAAAATATTGGGATTCGCTGATGATACAGCTGTACTTTTTGCTGGGAAGAATTATGTCGATGTAATAAAAAATATTTACAATCAAATAATAGTAATTAAAAAATGGTTAGATAGTAATTTCATACTTTTAAATACACTTAAGTGTGGTGTTCCATAGGGAAGTGTTTTAAGGCCTGTACTATTTTCAATTTACATTAACGACTTACACTAAAACTTTCCGCTAAAATATTGGGATTCGCTGATGGTGCAGCTATACTTTTTGCTGGGAAGAATTATGTCGATGTAATAAAAAATATTTACAATCAAATAATAGTAATTAAAAAATGGTTAGATAGTAATTTCATATTTAAATACACTTAATTGTGGTGTTCCACAGGGAAGTGTCTTAAGGCCTGTACTATTTTTAATTTACATTAACGACTTACTTAAACTAAAACTTTCTGGTAAAATATTGGGGTTCCCTAATGATACAGCCAGTCTTTTTTTTCTGGCAAGACTTATGATAATGTAACAAAAATATTAACGATCAAATGTTAATAATTGAAAATGGTTGGATAGTAATTTCATACTTTTAAATACACTTAATTGGTGTTCCACAGGAAGTGTTTTAGGGCCTGTACTATTTTTAATTTACATTAACGATTTACTTAAACTAAAGCTTTATTTTAAAATATTGAGAATCACTGGTGTGTGTGGACCAGACAACTACAGGTTTTCCTGGATGAGGAGGATCTCAATTAACTCATATACATTTAATGATTTTTGTATAGGAATATGGCAGGTAACTAGACATGGACGAATCTGATGATGATGTCACCGTACTTTCTGCAGAAGCTGCCGCTGCGCTTCGGGAGTTTTACATGGAACAGGAAATAATGAGAAATTCTTATTGTGACTTAGAAGAGTCAGTCGTTGAAGAAAGCTCGCCTTTTAAAGAAGATTGGGTAAATGGTCATTTCATTTAGTAAATTCAATATTTTATGCGTTTATGTTTTTGCTCCAGCAACTCAGCCAGTTTTGGTACGATGATAAAACTGTAAAAACGATATGTGATGAAATCTGCAGAGTTTGCCCTGCAGGATCCAAAGTGGCGTTAATATCGGCGCCAACTTTGTATAAAAGCCTGAAAAAAATGAGCGAAAATTCTATCGAAGGTGAGTTTTCTATGCGACAATGTTTCCTCACTATCAAGCGTTGGATTTGATTTTATCCTTTCTCAGTGAAATTATTCGAATACGACTCGAGATTCTCAGCGTACGGATCGGATTTCCATTTTTACGACTACAAGTCGCCGTTAGACCTTCCGACTAATTTTTCCGCCTATTTCGATTTGGTAGTCGCCGATCCTCCATTCCTTTCGGAAGAGTGTCTTACTAAAACAGCTGTGACAATCAAATTCCTCGCAAAATCAAAAATAATTCTATGCACAGGTAATCAAATCAATGTTTACACAACTCTCTAATGCTCCTGACTACATTTATCTTTTATAATTAGGTGAAATCATGGAAGACTTAGCAAAAAGATTACTGCAAGTAAAGAAAACACCGTTCAGCCCGGAGCACAGACACAAATTAGGAAATACATTTGCATGTTTTACAAATTACAATGATAAATTTGTAGAATATGAATAATTTTTTTAAAATATTGTTTAACATTTTTACATTTCATTGTTGTCGATAGTTTAGAAAAATTGTAAAATAAACACAAGATGTACATTAATTAAGGATTGTTTTGATGACTGTTTGTGTAAAGATCTTCAATTCTGTTTTATAAAGTATGCATTATTAAAATTTTTATCGAAAGCCTCACAGGTGATATAAAATAAATATTTTTTCTTAAATGTGTATTATTTACCAAACAAAATGCCATTTATTACGTCTTGACAAAAAAACACTTTTCTGAATCTACAGTGAACCCCTGTATAATGCGATGAATGAATTGGTCACACTCATTTGATATACAGTCCCGTATAAAGCGTAAAATAAATTTAACATTTTCACATGGGCCGCAATGAAATATTTCAAACTAAATTACATGTCAACAGCAAATGCAATACTCGTTACAATTTAGAGATATGCTTAAACTTGCATAATTTGGACTGATAGCGTATTTTTTCCTATTAAGCAGAATGTATCGCCCACATTGTACGGGAATCTACTTTAATTGAATTATATTCTCTTCGGCTCAAAAATTGGACTTGGATTGAAACTAATGAAACTTGTTTTAGTGATACTAGGTCAAAATGTATGAGATTCATTCTAGCGTACTTGCCAATTAGAATTAAAGAATAGACCCTAGGAGCCAAGGAAAACAAGTTTGAAAATGCATGCAACCGTATCATAATTTTGCCTTGGACAGAATAATAGTGAGAGTGGTAGGTTGCCTGGAGTCCTGGACACATGAACTGATGGACTGGAGTCATTCACAATTTCCTTCTGCCTAGAAGAGAGACCATCTAATGCATATTTTTTTAACATGTCTGCACCCAGAGAAAAATGTTACACTTTTTTGAAGTGTGACTTTTTTACTGATTGGTTTCTATTTACCTTAGTATGAGCGTTTTATTGCATTTTTTCAATTTAAAAATAAAATGAAAAAATAGTGCCGTAGTGTATTCGGTGGTAGGATCAAACAAGTTATACAACCCCATACAACTACTTGTTTTTTAGTTTTTGTTTTGCCTTCAACTTATATTCATGATTTATTATCTTATTTTTTTTTATTATTTTTTTTTTTTTATTGGCCTTATGATCTTGCATATTAGCCATAGTACGAATTCTTGCGTGTTCAAATTGGGGGTTATCGGGAAAAAAGGGCCAGAGGCGATGGTGGGAATCGAACCCACGACCGCGGCGTGAGTCTCTCATGCTAACCACTCGGCTACCGCGGTCCCCTTATTATCTTATAATATAAAATATATCAATTATATTTGTACGTACATCATTGTCAAGCAGCGCTGCTGTACTGGACCTACAAGATCAACAAAGAAAAAGAAGGAGAGAGTCTTTCTGCGAGGGGAGTCCTACGCAGTACCGCCAACTTCTCTCAAAAAATAAGAATTTATTGATGGTGAGCAATAAAAAAAAAACCTATTCACAAGAAGGAATCTTTTTTGTTCGTTAATTAGATAAGAACATTAAATTTTAATTTATAATTATTTTTGGATGGCGAAAGAATTAATGTTTATTTTTTAATTATTATTTATTTTTTTTTATTGTAAAAAGGAATTTTTTTAGTTTTAAGGTTACAAAACAAACAACTTACAAGTTGTTTATTTTTGTTAGCTTTTACTGAAAATTGATCGTAAATATAATTGTTAGCATCATGTCAATTTTATTCTACATACTTACTTAAAACTTATTTTTACAAATTCAAGAATTTTAACAACCAATTTACAGATTAATAGCGCCCAAAAGGTCACGATGAAAAAAAAGACAAAATAAAATTTTTAAAACAGTACATTAAAAATAATTTAAAAAATCTCCCAGAATAAGTAAGTAAATTTTTTACAAAGGCTTCTTCAAATCTTTCTCTTCTTAAACATAAATGCCAAAACTTAACGTTAAAAAGTGTATTTAAAAAAAATGGTTCTCTTCTTAGACATAAATGTCAAAACGCAACTTTAAAAAGTGTATTTTAAAAAAATGGTTCTCTTCTTAGACATAAATGTCAAAACTTAACCTTAAAAAGTGTATTTAAAAAAAAAATGGTTCTCTTCTTAGACGTGAATGTCAAAACTTAACCTTAAAAAGTGTATTTAAAAAAAAAAATTTCTCTTCTTAGACGTAAATGTCAAAACTTAACCTTAAAAAGTGTATTTTTAAAAAAAAAATTCTCTTCTTAGACATAAATGTCAAAACAACTTTAAAAAGTGTATTAAAAAAAATTGTTTCTCTTCTTAGACATGAATGTCAAAACAACTTTAAAAAGTGTATTTAAAAAAAGTTATAATTAAACTAAATCCAACATGTTGGGTTGTGGGATGTGCAGTCATACACAAAAGAAGAGCTCAATTTTTTAATTTGCCAACATTTCAAACGATTTTCATTCTTTTTCAAGGCAACGCTGGTATAAAGGTAGAGCCGCTTTTGTCCACATTATTTCTTCAATTCTTCCTTAAAAAAAAAGAAATTCAAACACCGGAAAAAAGTGGAGAAAAGCTGCTCCACCTTTATTCCATCATTGCCTTGAAAAAGAATGAAAACCATTCATATTTGGTTGTTTTGTTACCGTATCCTAATATTTTCCTAATTTTTAATATAACAAATCACAAAACATAAATATTTAAAAAAATAATCTTTAATTAATTTTTTACAATCTAAGATATATCAATTATATTAATAGCGTTCAAAGTGTCCCAATAAAAAAAAATTAAAAAAGACAAAATGAGCATTTTACAATCTTGCAGTCGGATTTTCTGTTCAAATGTTTCCCTTTTCAACGTAAAATAAAAATATTTAAAAAAAAGTATTTCGGAATAAGTAAGTAATTATTTTATGAAGGGGATCTTCAAACGGTTCTCTTGACTTAAATGTTAAAACAACTTTTATAAAAATGCATTAAAAAAAAATCAATTAAACAAAGTCCATTATAAAACTAACAAAAATCAAAAATCATTTTTTAAAACACGTATGTAAAATATTTTACAAAACCAAATGTCACCCAAAATGCGAAAACGTTTGCATATTTGATTGTTTTGCTTCTGTATCCTAATATTTTCCTAATTTACATTAGGCACAGCGGGGTGCTTCATTGATGTTATATAGTCCTGATGAAGGCGATATATTCTGCCGAAAGCTCGACAAGAAAATAAATGTTGTTTCTGTCTTCCTGGCCTCATCCCCGATCTACCTTTTGGAAAGGAAAAAAATATATTTATTTCTTAATCTGAATACATTTATTTTTTGAAGGTTATTGTCATAATTTATTTGGATCAGGCCCCGATTTTTGTCTTTGCGATTAATTTGAGTTTGTGGCACAGATATTTTTTTTAATTTTTTTATTTTACTTTACACTCGTGAGTGAAACAATTTTGCTTCATGTGATTGTAAGATCGTAATAACACAAAAATGACATTTTATTTTCCAAATTAGTTTTTAGGTTTTTGAGTTTATATTGAGTTATTTTTATTTTCCCACTAACCAAATGTTTTAATAAATACCTGAATTATAAAAAATATTTGTGCTGATTTAGTGAAAAAGCAACATAAAAAATATCAAAAATTTCAGTGTTTCATACTTTTTTTTTATGGAGTAGTGAAATTAAATAATTTCGGTCAACTTTGATGATCCACATGGCCAATTAGGACCTGCCCATTTTACTTAAAAATTTGAAAATTTTTAAACAGAAAAAAAGTAATTTCTCTCTTATTAAAGGGCTTAACGACCAACTTGGTGATCATAGTCAAACGTCAAACCACTGACTTTATTGATTAAAAGAACATGTTTTTGATTAACAGGTCCAAAATGCATTTCCTATGTTTTCATATTATTAACTAAAAGAACTTTTTTTTTTAATGAGTCACAAGTACAAAATGCATTTCGTTTTTGTTTGTTTTTCTCAAACTGTTTCAGTTCTGGAATTATAAAATTGGTTACAGTGGGAAAGGCAGTACAAACATAAAAAATTTAAAAAAATAATACTTCATGTTTACTTATGATAAAAATCAAACAATAAATGGACAACAATTAATTGTATAACAAATATAATAATAATTTATTAAATAACACATACAGAATGGGTAGATATGAATAATTGCAGATTTTAACTGTTTATTATTACTATCATTGTAAATTATTTGATTACAAATTGAATGTAAAATTATTTGATGTTAGAATGAAGTTAGAAGTTAGAAAATATTTTAGCTTTGTTTTAATGCAAGAATTTCATATTAAAAACCATTCTTTCAAAACATATTCAATACACAAAATATGAGATAGTTTTTTTAATACTTAATACAAATACTGATTTACAGAGAGTTCTTGCAAGTTTAGATATTTAAATGCGGCTTAGTGAGTTATCTTCAATGAGGAAAGCTAAGAAATGACATGCAGAATAAAATCCACCATCAACTTAATCATTTTAAAAAAAATTTATGTGTGTGTTCGAGACAGTGATCAAATTAGAAATGGAAATATACGAACCGAACATTTACGCATATCAACTACCAATTGATGTAATATTTTTTTTATTACCAAACACTCTCTGGTCTTTTATCTAACCATTTCTTAATATTGGGCAAATCGTGAACTTTATCTCTGAGTGCCTTGATGTTTGTGTACTTAGCGCAGATATCTAATCCGGTTATGAAGTTGAAATATCCCAAGACTGCGACGAAATATATATCACCCCAAGAAAGCTGAAATTTTTTTTTTTTAAATCGATTAACAAAAAATTTTAATGTTGATTTAACTAAATTAAAAAATTGCATACCTTTCCATTTGCCAAGTAGCCATTTTCTTCGATAATTTTATCAAATCGTTCAAGATAATAAGGCACCGTTTCGTTTAAAACTTGACTTTTTATTTTGTTTTTGTAATCCTCGTCTTTACAGTAGAAATACGACCAGACGGCTAAAAGATTCAATGTTAATTTAATTTATGTAATAAAATAAAAAATCATTTTTCAGGTTGTCTTTATTTTCCTCACCGACTCTGAAATCTGAAAATGTATCCATTATTATATCAATTTGAAATGATTCCCATTGATTATCCCCTGCTAGATTAGCTTCCTGTCCAAGATATCTAACAAAACATAATTTTTATTACAACTCCAGGTATTATAATTATTTTAATTATAAATACCGGCAAATCGCTAAAGTTTGATGAGTCTGTTTACCGTCAATTTCCAAAAGAGGTAGTTTTCCAAATGGCATTTCTATTTTTAAAAAAAATTATAAATGAAACAGTTCATGTAAATTATCAATTGCTTATAAATTAATACTTCCTCACTTGATTTATACTGTGTCATCCAAATATTATAATCTTCTATCCTGCTGTCTTCGAATTCCTTTCCGAGGTAGCTTAGCATAAACCTGACTGACTCTCCGAGGCCCATTATGTTAAAATAGGTCAACTTACAGTTCATTTTTTTTAATAGTTCACACTAAAAAAAAAAAAAAAATAAAATCAGGTGTCCAAGATGCTAAACTGGCAATCGTCAATTGCCTAAGTGGCTTCTGTAGTAGTCTATGTGATAAAAGATTTCCTGTAGTGGGAGAATATATCATTAGGCATATAAAGACTGAAAATTATACAATTTTAAGAAGTGGGACATCCAAACAAGTCAAACAGCCAACCACTTGACAGACAAGATTGGGTCAACTTTAACATGACAAATAAAAAACTGCTCAAATTATTATTATTATTAATTTTTAAGAGCATTTTAACGGCTAAGATCATTTCACGCCCTAACATCCCAAACCTTCTATCTTAGATTCACTAATTTCGTGGTCCGCTTGACCAATTAATACATTACAATTAATTAAGGTTTTTAGTTGAGATGAAAAAAGTTAATGGCACGAGCGGGATCCGAACCCACGATCTTCGGCTAGATACGTCGCTGCTCTACCACCTGATCGAGGTCACGATAGCCTGATTCCTTTGGCTTTGGCAGCCTTGTCAGCATTTTCATTTCCTATATTACAGTGACTAGGTATCCACATAAAATCTACAGCTACTCCTAAATTTTTATGATTCCTTAAAGCGTAATATATTCCTTGTATTAGAATATTATAGGCGAAAAAATTTTGAATGGCGTGTAAAACGGACTGGGAATCAGTGCAAATTATTGTTTGTTTTTTCGAGGTATCACATATATTAACTGCTTGTATATAGCAAGCAACTCCGCAAAGAAATTACTACAAATGGGTGAAAGTGTGACAAGTTTAAAGAAATCAATTAAAATTTAAAGGTGGTGCATTTATTTTGACCACCAGTATAGTTACAGTTGTATAATTCTTTAAAAATGTATTTCTATTTTATGAAATTTTTTTAGCTCTAGAAAGATATATTTTTATTTATATATTAGGTTTTTCTTCAAGAACAAAATCCCATCTTTTTTTAATGTTTTCATTTTTGTGAAATCGATTTCAATTAAATAAATAAAAAAGAGAGTAAGAGTGAATAGGGGAGGCAGAAGACCCTGAACTATTTCATAAAAATAAAACCATTAAAAAAAAAGATGGGTTGTTCTTCAAGAACAAAATCCCATCTTTTTTAAATGTTTTTATTTCTGTGAAATCAATTTCAATTAAATAAAAAAGAGAGCAAGAGTGAATAGGGGAGGCAGAAGACCCTGAACTATTTCATAAAAGTAAAACCATTAAAAAAAAAACGGGTTGTTCTTCAAGAACAAAATCCCATCTTTTTTAAATGTTTTTATTTTGGTGAAATTTATTTCAATTAAATAAATAAAAAAGAGAGTAACAGCGAATAGGGGAGGCGGAAGACCCTGAACTATTTCATAAAAATAAAACCATTAAAAAAAAGATGGGTTGTTCTTCAAGAACAAAATCCCGTCTTTTTAAATGTTTTTATTTCTGTGAAATCAATTTCAATTAAATAAAAAAGAGAGCAAGAGTGAATAGGGGAGGCAGAAGACCCTGAACTATTTCATAAAAATAAAACCATTAAAAAAAAAAAGATGGGTTGTTCTTCAAGAACAAAATCCTGTCTTTTTTAAATGTTTTTATTTTTGTGAAATCGATTTCAATTAAATAAATAAAAAAAGAGTAAGAGTGAATAGGGGAGGCGGAAGACCCTGAACTTTTTCATAAAAATAAAACCATTAAAAAAAAAAAAAAACGGGTTGTTCTTCAAGAACAAAATCCCATCTTTTTTAAATGTTTTTATTTCTGTGAAATCAATTTCAGTTAAATAAATAAAAAAGAGAGTAAGAGTGAATAGGGGGAGGCAGACAACCCTGAACTATTTCATAAAAATAAAACCATTAAAAAAATGACGGGTTTTTCTTCAAGAACAAAATCCCATCTTTTTTAAATGTTTTTATTTCTGTGAAATCAATTTCAATTAAATAAATAAAAAAGAGAGTAAGAGTGAATAGGGGAGGCGGAAGACCCTGAACTATTTCATAAAAATAAAACCATTAAAAAAAAAGATGGGATTTTGTTCTTGAAGAAAAACCTACTGCATGTCTTAATTTTTCAACCAAACCTATTTTTGGTACATTAAAATTTAAGGGTGGTATGTTTATTTTGTCTATTAATGCAGTTAAATTTGTATAATTCCTTAAAAAATGCATTTTTATTTTATGGAATTTTTTTTAGCACTAGAAAGATACATCTAGCCCATAAAAGGAAAAACCAAAGAGATTTAAAAATGTACATTATTTCCAATCAATTTGAAAATTAAAGGTTTATTATCTATTTTATTACCTTTTTATATTCTTCCTTTTTACACGAAATGGAAATTATAAAATTCGTTTAAAAAGTGCCTAACTAAAATATTTTTTTATTTTTTTATTTTACATATTTTTCTATTTTACTTGAATATTTGTTAAAAAATGAATACTTATGTATGTACATATTTCATATTTTATTTCACATAGAAATTTGTTCCCTATTTATTATGATGATGTGTTAGCTGATTTAGTTTTTGTGTTGCTGAGTGTCTTTGAATATTTCTGATTTGTTGAGAAAGTTCATGGTGTAACCTAGATAAAATTTGCTCATAAAATATTCTTAAGAAATAATTATACGTATTAAAAGTTTTTTAATAATATATTTGTGCCATATATATGTATTAATAAATTGTGAAAGGAAAATTGTTTACTTTATTTCTTGATTAGTCAGCAGAAATGATTTAATTTGGGTAAATAGAAACAAACAATAACTCTTGCTATCGTAAGATTTTATTCACACGTTTATGTAAAAACAAGATAATATGATGACGCGTTTTAAATTATTTTGTTCTTTTGTCTTGTCTAATTATATTTTTATTTACAATTACAGTTTGATTTATGCCTTGGTGAGATAATGTTTCTAAATTGCATTAGATAACAAACAAACGGTGAAAATAAACACACAACAATCTTAATGCTGCCATATAATTTATTGAATTTTTTATTGTGTTAAATTATTATTAAAAATTGTAGTTATAATCAAATCAGCTTTCCTTGAAACCTCAAAACATTACTATGTAAAAAACGTTTAAATTTCATTGCAGAAAACTTAAGGCAATGTTCATCAACAAAAATTAACTAAAGATATAAATGCCTTAATGATTTTTTTTTCAAGTTTTTTATTTTATTTTATTTTAAGAAAAAAAATATATATAGCCTATGTATAACATAATGTATGAGTCCCTAATGTATTTAATAAATTACATAAATAATCAATATAAGTACACATAAAATAAATGTAAATACATATACACATATACATATGCATATACATATACAAACACACATACATATACATATACATATACATAATACATATACAGGGTGAATTGCTACTCGTGCTACAAACTTCTCCAGTAGATTCTTCACCCTAAAATGAACAAAAAAGTTCATATTGTCCATGGTCCGATTCTCAACCATTTCAGAGTAATTTCGCTTTTTATCGATTTTGAAAGATATCACGTCCTGGCGTCGGAAAATCGTGATATCTTTTAATCTAAACATTTCTCTNAGTGGATCGAGGTCACGATAGGTCAAGTGGTAGAGCAGCGGCGTATCAAGCCGAAGATCGTGGGTTCGAATCCCGCTCGTGCCATTGACTTTTTTATCTCAACTAAAAACCTTAATTAATTGTAATAAATAAATAAATTAAATAACTAAGTTAGGCGTAAATAAATTTAAGCCTCGCCTTGAGGTCCCATAGGGTTTTGTGTTTGGCTCTGGGTGCACATTTTTGTCCGATATCTTGAATTAATCTTATGCCGTTACCAGGACATCTATCGAAAAATCTTTGACAATTTGTTTCTATGAACTTGCACAGAAATTGCACTCCGGAGTTTGTGTGTTCATCTATCTTGGTCGCTAATGAGCTGTTAGGGCATAACCTTAGGAACTTTTATTTTGGGTTCTTTGCAGTTTTTTATAATTAATGTTACAACTTAAGCTCCAAGTAGCGCATGCATATGTTAACACTGGCTGTTCACTTGTTTTGAACGCTCAACTGGGACTCTCGACCCTAGAGTGGAAAAAGTATTTTTACGTGTGTTTTTCCTTTTTGTATTAGTTCATTGATATGGGCTGTAAACATTAATTTAGCATCTAGCTGAACGCCGAGGTACCTTATTGAGGGAGACCAGTTAATTTCTCCACCATTAAGGTTAACTTTAAGTTCTGCAGTTGGACCTCTTTTCGTGAAGAGTCTGGCTTAGTCTTAGTTATTTCCACCTCGTAAAGTTCCTGAAAATCCTCTCCGCTGCCCTTCTGAATCGGTTCACTATGGCACTCACCCTCCATGATGATGTGTAGAGCGCTGTGTCATCAGCGAACAGGGCCAGTTCAACACCAGGGGTTTTGGGCATATCATTAATATAAATGAGGAACAGTGTAGGTCCCAGAAATAGGGCCTCCACCAGCCAAATTACCAACCTGTGATTCTACGCCTTCTCGGTCTTAATGATTAACTCCTGTGATTCCCCATGGTATTATGTAAAATAAAAATCTGATTACTTGATATTCACCATCCCAACCGTAATGGGGTCTCAGTAGCTGAGGGCTTAGGGCGTTGCATTTGCCATGAACTTCTTCTTTCCTTGAACTTCTCATCCCAGACACCCAATGGCTAGTTGGACATTAAGCCGTCCTGTATTACAGAAATTATTTTTCATGCTGGGTATTGGTCTGGGAGTCGCTGACCAGCACTTGGTCACTTATTGGGTTCGTCTTCAATAAGAGACCCAGTATGGGTTCACAAGAATTATTTTATTTAACTTTCAGACACAATCTCAACTGTGTCTTAATCTGTAAATTCAAAATTATTTTTGTACACAAAAAAAGGACTTTTTCTAAGTTGTATTTTTCAGAGAAATAATGATCCTTTTATTGCCAAAGATATTGAAGGCTGAGCTTATGCTGATTTTTGCAATGATAATCAAACCTCTTTTATTTTTTAATTTTAATTTTATGAGGGTTCGCAACAGGAGAGGTCATATAAACCCTTGGGGTGCCGGTGTTTTTGAAAAAAAAGCCCATTTGTATGTCGGGTTCGAATGCAGGGCCGCTGGATTTGAACCCGGGACCTTTATCTTACAGTAATGAGTGCCGTGTCAACGCCTAAACCGTTGCGGCCACCGACGCCCCCAACCTCTTTTATTATGTTCGGATTTATGACTTGAATGCCAAACAATAACTCATGATTTATTCATAGATATTTTTCATCACTTTTCATCATTTCGTCCAAAAAGTTATAACATTACATCAACTCTTAATTTGGACGTTACTAATCATACTGGCTTATCTTTGCTGTGTTGGTTTGTTAGACCATTTTGTAATTTTGTCATTTTCATTGTTGGGTATGATGAAAGATGATTCCATGTCACCCAGGACTGAAGACTAATGAAGAATCTGACATAATGGCCTGGGAGAGGTCCTCAGCAGCACCTCTAGGACGAGAATGCTTCTGTAAAATTCCAAATTGCCAAAACAGGAACAATTGAATTGATTATCGGGAAAGCAATATTCCAAAAAAATGCAAAAAAAAAAATCAGGAAGAAAGTTTCATTTAAAACTAACCTTAACCTAATTTTCTGCATCAAGGTTGAGCCAAAACTAGCTCTACTAAAGTGACATTGCTGACTCAATAGACACAAATATTTTGAGTAGCCAAAAAGAACCCGTTTAAGTTCTGATAAGAAGAAGAGGAAACCTGTGATATTATATGCTAAAGCAAAAGAAAGTTGTTTATACTAAAGTGGAATCCAGTAAATATAAGTGAGGAGCCACTATCAGTCTATGGAGGCTAAAGACCTAAAGCTAGATAATAGATAAAAGGCTTTGTAGACACCCATTTGGACCTATCTATCCTGGAAGTGAAAAATTATTTGACTTGTAATCAGTCGAATATTTCACCAATGTCAAATCACGGTCTGCCAATGCTGTGATTTTCACTGAACGTGCAGTCAGATTCCATCTGCAAAAAGTTGTATGCAGTGGATATAAAGACAAAATAATCACTGAAGGTGGATAAATGCTGAATCACTTAATCCAGGATGATGGTAATAACCAAATTCATCACCCAAGGTTCAACACCGTGCAGACAGCAATTACAAATTTCACTTAATACTTAAGTAGAATATACTTATTTTTGAGTATCTAGATATCACACTTTAATATTATTCAACCTAAAACTTTTTATTATATGATTACAACTCATTATTTTAAACATGTTATGGTTAAGGTTAAAATAAGTCAGCCTCTTTATGACATCAAGCACTGTGACCAATATTGGTCTATTGTGCAATTTCCACCTCGTCGGGAGCTCTCAATCGGCTTTTTACCAGATCCCAAACCTTCAGGAAACGCTTTTCCATTTTCAAAAGTAGGAATCTCAGCCTGCATAACCTTTGCCACAACAAAGGACGTGTTCTGCTGTTTCTTCTTTTTCTTGGCAGTATCTGCACAAGATTATTTCTGCTGTTCCGAGTCTATGGTTTGAACTGTCCAGTCATTAATCCTTAAACATGTTAAGGTTAAGGTTAAAAATGTAGGATAAAGGAATAAAAGAAAAAATTTTCCTCTCCTAGGAGAATCTCAGCCTGCAAAACCCTTTGCCCCAACCAAGGACATATTCTGCTGTTTCTTCTTTTTCCTGGCAGTATCTGCACATGATTATTTCTGCTTTCCGAGTCATTAATCCTTAAGCACGTTAAGGTTAAGGTTAAAAGAAGTTGTCCTCTTTAAGGCTTTAAGCACCACAAGCAATGTTGGTCTATTGTGCAATCTCCTTTTTCTAGAGCGTTTTACTAGATCTAAGGATTTTTATCAGATACCAAAGATTTATTAAGAATTCCTGTATCCTTCTAGGCTTTTCCTCTCCTAGGAGAATCTCAGCCCACGCACCAACACAGAAAATGTATGTAGGAAATAAGACATAAACTGGTTAGAAGTATTGGTTTAAGGATTTTTTCCCCTCGGGGAATTTTTTTTTTCCTCCTGGATAAGTCCAGAGTGACCAATGCAAAACCAAGTTAAAAGGGTTTCTTCTTTTCAGGAAGAGTGTGGTGATTAGTGACCGTTTGTCGATGATTATTCAGAAATCGTGAGATGCGGTCTGATGTGATGTAGGTTTAGAAAAACATTTTCTTTATCGTGCCAACGTTTCGAGCTTTATTGAGATCATCTTCAGGGCCTGGGATTTACAAACATTGTTTATTGAACAAATACATGTAGGATGTCGAAAAAAGTGAAGTTATACAATGCAAATAAATATTTTTACTTTATTTTTTATATTCAATCAAAGTATTTCAAGTCACTCAGTTTGTTTTCTGTGTAATTGTGCCATTCTTGGGTGTCGTGTTGAGAGTGCCAGTGAGAGATTGCTGTTTTATGTTTATATAAACATAAAAAAAAACCTTTTTCCCTCATGTGTTCAATTTAAACAATGTTTGCTAATCCCAGGCTCTGAAGATGATGTCAATAAAGCTCGAAACGTTGGCACGATAAAGAAAATGTTTTTCTAAACCTACATCACACAAGACCGCATCTCAAAATTTCTGAATAATCTTTTCAGGAAGGTTTTGAAAAGGATTCCTATTGTGCAAAATAGTTTTGCAAAATTTTTAATTTTAAAAGTCCATCAGCAATATTACTATTACTTAATTTAGATTTAAAGACTAGCATTGATTTGATGAACACGATAATCTAGGTTTGATTATTATTTTTATCTAAATAAGCAGTAAAGAAAAAAAGATGAGAAAAAGTGCAGATTAGTCCAAAATTGCAAACTCAGAGGTTTCATCAATAATTGCACAAATTTTGCAAATCTGAATGACTATTTTCACACATACAAAATCAAGGGTCATGCTAGACAATACTTCCTAGTGGGGAGTATAATTTTATTTATTCTCCCAACTCTTTAAATTGTATAATTTTCAGTCTTTTTGTCCCTGTTTGGTTTCATAATTTATTCTCCCACCACTAGAACTGTTTTATCAGTTAATTACACTAAAGTAGGCATGCCAAGCCAGTTGCTAGTTGGCAGTGTACCGTTTTAGATCCTGTTTTTCTTATTCCTCATTAAAAAATTATAGCAATGACAAACTATAAATTGATCTATTTTGACATAATGGGTCTAGGAGAGCCAGTTAGATTTATGTTAAGTTACCTCGGAAAGGAATTCGAAGACATAAGGATACCAAATTATAATGTTTTTTCAAAACAGTATAAATCAAGTAGGAAATGTTCATTTATTGGCGATAGATTATTTTTAAGAAAGATTTATGTTTGCTAAATCTTTTGTAGAAATGCCATTTGGAAAAGTACCTCTTTTAGAAATTGATGGCAAAGAAACACACCAAAGTTTATCAATTTGCCGGTATTTATTATTAAAAATAAATTATAATAAATAAATTGTGAAAATAAATTGTTGTGATGTTAGATATCTTGGACAAGAGGCTAATTTAGCAGGTGAAAATCGGTGGGAATCGCTTCAAATCGATTCAATCATGGATACATTTTCTGATTTTAGAGTCGGTGAGGAAAATACATTTTTAAAAATTTTACATTTAATTTTACTTCCCATAAAAGTATAGATTTATAATTTTTAATTTGTAAAAATATAAATTAAATATTTTGTATCTTTTAGCCGTTTGGTCGTATTACTATTGTAAAGACGAGGATCACAAAAGCAAAATAAAGGATAAAGTTTTGAACGAGATAGTACCTTATTATCTAGAAAAATTTGATGAAATTATACAAGAGAATGGCTACCTGGCAAATGGAAAGGTAAGAATTTTTTAAAAAATATTTCTATATATATTTTTTTAACCTGTACACATTTGTTTTCTTTAGCTTTCCTGGGGTGATATTTATTTCGTCGCAGTCTTAGGATATTTTAGTTTCATAGCTGAATTAGATATCTGCGCCAAGTACCCGAACATTAAAGCGCTCAGAGATAAAATCCATGATTTTCCCAGCATTCAAAAATGGTTGGAAAAAAGGCCAAAGACTGTTTGGTAAAAATAGAATAATGGAAAAAAGATATTTATTGCTTTTAATAATTTACACGATGTAATTTATACACATTGGCTTTTATAATACAATAATTACATATTCATAAGATAGATTTTTGAAATTACTACTTGTGTCGTAAATTTTACTTTTCTAATTTGGCATCTTTAATTTGTTGTAATTTTCTTTCATTGTGAAAAAACAGTGCCATTTGTATTTAAACTTTTTTTTTAGAAAACATTTAATTGATATGATGGTAAACATTTTTATTTAAAGCTTAGGTTTATGGCACCTCTGGCATAATTACATTAAAAATAGAATTTCAGTATTAATATATATTTTTAAAAATTGAAAAATATTGAATTGAAAAATTAATTCATGTCCATAAGCAACTACTGAACATGTTCAAGACGTACATTTAAAATATGAAAAATTTAGAAGTTTATTAATAAGAACAATTTTGTTTAAGGCCTGGCTATTTTAAGGAGACAATAAATATTTTCAGTAATTAATTGGCACAAAGTTCAAATTATGCTATTATTATGGAATTTAAATTTATTAAAGTATGTGTTTATTTAATATCGATGATGTTTGGTCTTCATTAGTTTTATACATGAACTATAAAATTTTGTAATAATAATTGTTTTAGATTCGAACTTATTGAGTATTTAAAGTTTTGTTAAAATTTACAAAACATTTTAAAAGAAAAAATCAGTAGTACAAACAAAGTTTTGCCGTTGTATGTCAGCGAATGTGACCCAGCTTTCCCTACGTTACAAGCGTTCGTGCTACAACACGAAATGCACGAATACAACTTTGTCCGTTCGCCTATTATAATACAACCAGGTTCACACCGAGACGAACAGTTCCTCTGCAGTGACCACAATCTCAGCACAGAAGTTGAGTTTTCATTACTCGTCGTATAAGAAAATCTCTTCACCTGTAATTTAAAAAAAAAGTTGAAAAAAATTGAAAACAATGTTATAAATTGGGGATACCATGCATAGCCTAGAGTCTTCATTGCATTTTTTTATAAGTGTTTTATTTCCCGCACTGAGATTACTGCAACTTTCACCATGTATCATGGTGTCACAATCATAACAGTGAAGCTCATTTTTACTAGACAAGGCCCCAGGTGTCTTATGTAGCACATTACTTTTCTCCCCTAAAATATGAAGATTTAAATAATGCATTTTAAAAAAACCCATGTAAACTGTGCATAAAGTCATTAATTTTCTGGTCTAAAAGGTCAAAGTTAAAATACTACTTAACTTTCATCAAAATTAATTAAGGTTTTTAGTTGAGATAAAAAGTCAATGTCATGAGCGGGATTCGAACCCACGACCTTCGGCTAGACACGCCGCTGCTCTACCACTTGAGCTATTGTGACTTTGATCCACTAGGGCACTAACTTCCCATCTCAACCCCACCTTTTGAATTTTCCCTCCTTTTTGCCATTTTTCAAATGTCGTGTAATCTATTTGATTCTTGGTGACAATTGAAATGGCCACGGAGAGCTTTAGTGAAGTATACTTCATTTTAAATCATTAAATTCACTAATTTCGTTTGACCAATTAATATATTACAATTAATTAAGGTTTTTAGTTGAGATAAAAAAAGTCAATGGCACGAGCGGGATTCGAACCCACGACCTTCGGCTAGATATTACCCGATCTCAACCCCCACCTTTTGAATTTTCCCTCCTTTTTGCCAGATCCTTTTTGGGGTTGAGATGGGAAGTTAGTGTCCTAGTGGATCGAAGTCACAACAGCTCAGGTGGTAGAGTAGCGGCGTATCTAGCTGAAGGTCATGGGTTCGAATCCCGCTCGTGACACTGACTTTTTTATCTCAACTAAAAACCTTAATTAATTGAAAGATATTAATTGGTCAAGCGGACCACGAAAACTAGTGAATTCCATCAAAATGTTGAAAACATTGACAACAATTGCTTCATGCTGCATTTAGAGACAATCAGTGAAACGTAGTGAAATTATTTATTTTAAAAGTACAAATAGGAATTTATGCCCACTTTCATGTACTTATTAAATTAAGTTTTATAAACATAATAAAAAAATCAGCAAGAGAAAAAAGGAAACAGGAAAAAGATAAGGAAAAGGGAAGCTGATGATTCTTGTCATTTTTAAAAAATCAGATGCCATGGAAATGAAACAAGCCAGTGAGGAAGCAAAATGTACTTCCTGGGGAAGCAAATTCTATAGTCTTGACCCTGTAATTTGGAAGGATAAGGATAAAGGTTTAGAAAATTGTTGAAAGCTTGGGATATGATTGGTGCGTTTAGATTTGGATTGAGGGAAAATATATATTGTGGATATTTATTTGATTTAATTTTAAATATATATTAAAACTTTAAGTTTATAAGTGCTTAGCTTATAATGTTAGGGTTGCGGAAGGCATTAATATAAGATGAAATATTCTCCCTTGGTTTAAAATCAATACAGCATCTAATGTAAGAATGATTTTGCATTCTTTTTACATTTTGCATCTTGATGCAATTTGAAAGCGATGAGCTGATTGAGAGTAAGAAAAGTGAAAAAATAGCACTACAGTAAGAGAATAAAATAATTATTAGGGATTTAATAAGGAGGACTCTAGTTTTTTGTGGATTGAAAAAGCTGAGGCGTCGAAGAGAATGGAGGCTTGACTAGATCTTTTTAATAATAGAGCTCGCATGGTCATGGTAAGGTTAGAGTAAAAAATAACACCAAGATTTTTAACTTTACGACAACATTATAAATTATAAAAAATATTATTGATAGATTATTTGGAGGTTGTGAGATGCAGTCTGGTGTGAGGTAGGTTTTAGAAAAACATTTTCTTTATTGTGCCAATGTTTTGATGTGAAGAATTTTCAAGTGCCACTTGAGTGCCACTCAACTTGACAGACAAGAATGGCAGGCACATCTACAAGGAAAACAAACACTTTGAGCCCTGGAGATGATCTCAATAAAGATCAAAACATTGGCGCAATAAAGAAAATGTTTTTCTAAAACCTGTCACACCAGACCGCATCTCAAGACCTCCAAATAATCATTAATTAATGGTTACTAAATACCACACGTTATTGATAGATATTATACATTAAATTAATCCATATTGGTTTAGTGGCCATAATTGACCGTATTAATTGTGACAATTATTCTTAATTAATTCTTTTTATTTCAGGTTTTTGGTTGAGATGAAAAATTAGTGTCACGAGCGGGATACGTTGTCATGATAGCTTAAGTGGTTAGAGCAGCGGCATAATGAGCCAAAGGTTGCAGGTTCGAATCCTGCTCGTGACACTGACTTTTTTATCTCAACCAATACCTTAAATAAAGATTGATTAATTGAAAGATGATGTTTGGTCAATCGGATCAAGAAATCTAACGGTTGTAATGACAAAAGTCATCTCAACCAAAAACCTTATATAAAAAAAAAATAATTGTAATAATTATACATTAACTTAGAAGAATATAAGGACTATTAAAAAATAAAATAAAAAATAATTGTCAAACAATTTACAATGTAAATAAATTTAAGTAAAATAAAGATAACAAAAATACACTTTCCTTATGAATAAATTTGTTTATGCTATTTCAGATATCTTTATTTTACCTAATTTTTATTAGATAAAATAAATATTGTAAGTTGCGTTACATTTATTTATTTATTTTTGTTTTGTTGAGATTTTACAAAATTTTTATATCATTTAAGTAATGCATAATTAGTAGTAATTAATTAATTAGTAGCAATTTAAATTGATATTATTAATATCAATTTATAGTTTATTAACTTAAATATATTATATGTTCCATTATTATTAGAAAGATAGTGAGAGAAAAAGAAAATGAAAGAGAGAAAGTGCGAGGGAGAGGGAGAGGGAGAGAGAGAGAAAGAGAGAGAGAGAGAGAGAGAAAGAGAGAGAGAGAGAGTGAGTGGCAGAGAGAACGAAGGAGGAGAGATTGACAGAGAAAGTGGTGGAAAGAGTGGGAGAGATAGTGAGAAAGGGAGAGGGAGAGTGTGGCAGAGAGAAAGAAGGAGAGAGTTAGAGAGAAAGTGGCTGAGAGGGAGGGAGAGATAAAAAAAGTAAGAGAGGGGGGATAGAGAGGGGGAGAGAGAAGGTAGGTTATATCTTAATTTATAATCTGTAAAATTTATATCACAAATTAATAAATATTTTTTTTACATTTTTTAATTTTCATAAATAATTAATTCAGAATCAACTGTATTTACTGCTCACTGCTGAATAAATAGATAGATATATAGGGGTAAGAGAGAAAAATACAGAGAGAGAGAGAAAGTGAGTGGCAGAGAAAAAAAGATTGGCAGAGAGAAAGAGTGAGAGAGAGAGAGTGAGAGAGAGAGAGTGAGAAAGAGAGAGAGAGAGAGAGAAGGAAAAAGAAAATGTTAATAATTGTAAAATTTTTGTCACAAATTGGGCAATAATTTTTTTTAATCTTTCAGAATTAATACAGAATCAACAGTATTTACTGTTTACTGCTAAATAAATAGATAGATATATAGATAGGAGAGAGAGAGAGAGTGAGAGAGAAAGAAATAGTGTGAGAGACAGAGAGAGAGGGATGAAGAGAGAGTGAGAGAGAAGGAGGAAGATAGAGAGAGCATGAGAAAGAAAGAGTGGCAGGGAGGAAGAATGAGAGTGAGTGAAACAAGGGAGTGAAGAAAGAGTGAGAAAGAATATGCACATGTTTTGTATATGTCTTTGAGTGAATGTGCCTTTTTAGAAGTTACGTAAAAATATTCATTAACTTCAAATCTAATTTGGCTCTTAATTTTTTTTCCCTGTGTGCTAGGAAGTCGTAAACAAAGGCAGCCTTATTTTTTTAACTTTAACTCAAATTTGACAATTGGATAGAATAGATAATATAATAAGAGAAACTTACGTATGTCCAGTTGGTGAGGAATCGCTTCGATAAACTCGTCATAGTTCTGATGGTCGGGTCCTCGTTCGATTTCTTCCCTTCGACATCTCTTAATTGTAAAAAATATGTAACATACAAGTAGAGGCCTAGAGAGAGAACGTGTAGCAATTTGGCCGCCGACGACATCCTGCCAATAAAAAAAAAAAATAAACAGATTTATATTAAAAACAAAATATAAAAATTTACAAAATATAATACGAGAGTTTAACGTACGCTTTGACACACCCACTCCTATGCTATGAGTAGGAATATTATCTCTTCATTTCCGTTTATTTTTCAAGATAGACTGTTTTTTCATGTTAGAAAAACCCTACTATTGACTGTGTACTCATTCTACAATTTCTGGACGTTCAAACCAGTAAATAGAAGGTAAATCGTGTTTATGTAAGCAAATAATGTATTTTTAACTCAGAAAAATGTTTAATCGTCGTAAATCATGCAATAAATGGCTCAGCAGAAGAACCCAGCGAGTTAAAACGTATACAATAAATTTAGGATCAATTCTGCGTCCGCCTAGTCTCGTTGTTTATCAGTTTTTTTAAATTTAAATGTTGTACAAAAGGCAATACTTTATACCTGCTGAATACTCCTAGTAAAAGAAAAGTATCAAATTCAAACGTATCAAAAAAGTATCAAAATTTTCACGTCAATGGATTCTGTGTCGTTGGAACTTTTTACAATTTTTTTTTTTTTTAATTACGCTGTTTGCTAGTAAAATAATCTTTCCCCTCCTCAATTTGTACAATATTTCATTTAAATCTTTATCTTTTGATAAAGCCCCAAAGATGAATGTGCGATATTGCATGTCCAAAAATAAAAAAAGAACAAGTCAGAAAAATATAGCGAACCGTCCATTTAATTTGTCCCTCTTTTTGAGATTATATTAATTTCCATTTAGGAATAGGATAAATAGTAGATAGTGAATGTTTTCAACTCGTGTACGAGTGTATTTGTTCTTGTATGTTGTTTTAATTTGCTGATAACTACAGTCCACTTTGATTAGCAAACGGTTATATACAAGGTCGGTTTCGTGTAATACAATTAATTTAAAAAAAATGACTTCACGCTTTAAATTTTTAATTTTTTTTAAATTTATATGCATACAAAAATATGAGAAAAATAATAATATTGTATGTAATGTATGAATTGAATTCATATGCCAAGCTGATTTGAAAACGGAATTTCTCCCCGAATATCACTTATACAATCAAACTTTAAATATTCACTCGATTGAAATTATAAAAATTATATTTTTAACAATATCTTAGAATATTTAGAAAACATTTGACTATTTAAACGCTACTTAACACACCTTAAAAATAAAAATAAAGTCTGTTTTTAATAAGGAAAAAATTAGATTTCATTTCCCTACACTGTCTGAAAAAATTACTCATTATATATATTTATTTTATTACAAATTATTATTTATATCTTTGAACTGGATATTCAATTTTATATTTGAATATTTTCACGTTACCGCGTATTGGTTGGGTTAGGACTAGGGTCAGGGTTAGATTTATAGTTAGAGTTAGCATTAGGTTAGGCTATGATTAACGGTAGGATTAGGTTTGGGCTAGTTTTAGAATTGGGATAATCCTAAGGTTAGGTTTATGGTTAGAGTTAGAGTAAGGTTGTGGCCAGACTTAAGGCTAAGGTTACATAATAAACCTTAAGATTATGATTAGGTTACGGTTATGTTGTATTAGTATTACGTTTGTATTAGGGTTTGTATAATGTTAGGGTTAGGTTATGTTATGTTATGGTCAGACTTAAGGCCAAGGTCAGGCTTAGGATTGTGGTTAGGTTAGGGTTTTAGGGTAAGGATTTGTTTTGGTTATGCTAGATTAGTATTAGGTTTGGGCTGATATTAAGATTGAGATATTGTTAAGACTAAGTTTATGGTTAGTGTTAGGGCTAGGGATTAGGATTAGGGCTTGGTTTGGTTATGATGTTGGTTGGTGGTAATGGTTAGGATTATGTTTATGTTACTGTAAGGGAAAGTGTTTGCATTAGGTTTATGGTTAGGTTAGAACTTTAGGATTAGGGTGTTACTAAAATTAGATAAAATAAAAAATTCATTCTGGGACCCCTTTAATAATTAGAATGCCACGTATTACAAAGATTCAAATCTGCTGAGGCCTAAACTTAAGATTTAGGGCATAGGGTTAGGTTGGGTTAGAATTAGGGTGTAGCTTAGTATATCCATGTTTTTCCAAGCAAAGAAAATATATAAACAAACTGCGATTTTTAAAAAAAGTATGTAATGTTATATTTGAAGAATCGATTAGATTCTAGGCTGAATAGAAAAATGAATATTCACAAGGAAATTCATTTCACCTGTCAAAATCAAACCTTGAACCATTTATTTGATTTAGACTGAAAAAAAATTTTCCTGTGATAGGCAGTATTTTTTTAATATTTTTTTTTTATCTGCGTGTTAAAATGCCAAAATGCAGGTTTGAAAAATATAAAGGTTAAGGAAAATTGTTTTAAAAAAATCACTTTCCTCCTCAGTTTTGACAAATTACTGAACAGATATTTTTATTTTGTTATAAATTACTGTATAATTTTTATACGCTGTTAATCGATTGGACTAGATTCCGTGATGAATAAAAAAAGAAAATTTTCTCATGGAAAATCGTTTTAATTGTCCTTAATTATCCTCTTACAGTATTTTACAAAGGTTGCTTATACTCATAAAAAGCTACAAAACGCATTTTAAGAAACATGTCAAATTTCTTTTGCTAATAAGGACAAATATTTTATAGCAATGTTTACTTACATTGCGTGGAAAATTACTGAAGAGATTTATACGTATTTTTTAACTGTAAACTAGAATTTTATATAACATATTTGATAAATATAAAACTTTTATATCTTCTTAGAAAATTAATTTATTGCGTTGTATATACTTTTTCCAGACAAACTATTAAATTGCTTGTTTAAACTTTTTTTTAAATATTTAATTTTTCATGGCATTATTTCAAATTAAATACGAGTGTATGTCGTAATTTGTTTAAAGCTTAAGGCGAATTAAGTCCTAGTTTTTTTTTTATTCTATCCTTTTTCCTAGGCGAAAATTGAAAATGCACGGAATTTTTTTTAAAAAGACAAGCACTTTTCCATATTCCAGGACATTCCCACGAGACTCTGGAGTCGTTGAACCTCGAAATCTTAAAAATCCATTATGGGGAAAATACATGTGTTTTGTTAACATAATAAATTAATTATTTAAAAAATAGAGACTTTTTTAGATCTAAAGTATCTATAGCGTTCTACACAGTAGATACAGTAATTTTTGTTTTTATTTTTGAAAGATAGAATATAAAGGTTCAATAAAAAAGGGGAATAATTTTCATGTAGAGAAGTGACTCGCATGTTTAATAAAATCGTAATTAATTTTTTTTATTAAATATATGTAAGGCTCAATGATTAAGAATTAATTTTTAATAAAAATGTATTAAAATTATGAGGTGTGAACTGGTTAAAAGTTTAAAAAAAGGAGTTGAGGTGTTTAAAGACTTACCTTGGTTGAAAGCCGAGTTGAGACTGAGTTGGTGTTCTGATGATAAGGCACTTTCACTACAGTTACATCGGATGTGTGCTACATAAGAGAACAGAATGTTATTTAGGAATGTACAGTTATCTGACCACCGTCTGACTGAGGCCACTGGTCGGGATGTTCATTCCACGGAGTCTACAGATAAAACGGTCAAGGATTGACATGTCTGAGCAGAAACGATAATCCTCGTCGACTAGTCCGCCTATTGATTTTCCCGGCCCCTCTTTTGCTGTGGGTCCCGTGTGCTGTGTAGTCGACCTGCCTCGGCTGATCTTACAAATCGAATTTTTTGTTTTCTCTTTAACGAGTTTTCCTACCGTTCAAAAGTGGGAAAAACAGTAGGATCCGCTTCGACGACCCTGGCATCGACCTTGTACAAGAATGTTTTCTCGTCGCAATTAACAACTAAACAACAAACTATTGTCCGACTATTTTTTTACTTTGTTTCTATTAACAATTTTGAATTGAAAAATTTGACAGATATATCAAAAATCCAAACAATACAGCGCTCTAATTGCTGCAGGAGAGTATTCGTATTATTGAAAAGTTCGGATTACAGACAGTATTTAAAAAAACATGCATATACACAAAATAATTAAACAATAAAAAATATTAAAAAATTTTAACACAACACTGTTGTTATTATTGCGTACACAAAACGTTAAACTTATTAGAATAATAACTGTTCAGTTTTAAAATTGTTAATTCAATTAAATTATTTAATTAATTAAAATTATTTTTCAAATCAGTTTTAAATAAATTTATTTAATATTTTCTGCATTGCTTCTTACCCTTGTCACTAATTTTTAAGCAGTTGATATATTATACTTAACACAAAAATGTAAACTAGCATTTTTTAATAGTGAAGGGAGCTGAGAACAAAGAAATTGTCGAAAATTCGTATAGTCTAATATTGTAATTTTCTCTCTCACTCTCTCTTTCTATCATCAAAAGCTATTCAATTCGTTTTGCCCTCTTCTTACTCTTATTCTCTCTTTCCTTTTTCTTTCTTACACACTCTCCCTCATTTACAATTTCTCACTCACTCTATCTCTTTTATTTTTCTTTCTCAAACACTCCCTCATTCATTACCTCTCACTCCCAGTCACTCTCTCCCTCTCTCTCTCTCTCTCTCTCTCTCTCTCTCTCTCCCTCTCTCTCATCAAAAGATTTCATTCTCGCTCTCTTCTTACTCGTACTCTCTCGTTCTTTTTTCTTTTTCACATACGCTCCGTCATTCACAACCTCTCACTCACCCTCTCCCTTTTCTTTTTCTTTCTCAACCACTTCCCTCATTCACAATCTCTCTCTCTCTCTCTCTCTCTCTCTCTCCAAAAGATTTCATTCTCGCTCTCTTCTTACTCTTACTCTCTCGTTCTTTTTTCTTTTTCATATACACTCTGTCATTCACAACCTCTCACTCACCCTCTCCCTTTTCTTTTTCTTTCTCAAACACTTCCCTCATTCACAATCTCTCTTTCTCTCTCTCCCACTCTCTCTCTCTCTCTCTCTCTCTCTCTCTCTCTCTCTCTCACTTTCTCTCTATCATCAAAAGATATCCATTCATAATTGTTCTCTTCTTACTTTTACTCTTTTTTTCCTTTTTTCTTTTGCACACACTTCCCACATTCACAATTTCTCTCTCACTCTCTCTCGCTCTCTCTCTTTCTCTCTCTCTCTCTCTCTCTCTCTCTCTCTCTCTCTCTCTCTCTCTCACACACACACACACACACACACACTTTATTTCTCTCTCTACTCCTCCCCAAATACTCTTTCATTTGTTTCATTTAAAATTATCTTCTCGAATTTTTTACAGTTCAAAATTCTAAAATGTTTGGAGTACCGAAGTTCGGCTTAGAGAGAGAACGTTATTCAGGTTATTTCTTTCAGAAATATTCCATTTTATTAATTACTGAACATTCCTGCATTTTACACAACACGTTAGAACAAATTAGCACATTTCATAAGTGGGAAAAATTGAATCTATCTATATTGAATCAATGTGAAAAGTGTTAACTCGGTACAAAATGGAGATTTCTCATATAAAAAAAAAATAAAAATACAATTTCAGATATTAACGTCATTTTTGTTTTCAATGATTTTATATGAAACTATTATTATCACATTGATCATATGTTTGTATGTCATCGTTTTTTTAATTTCAATTTCATCTCTTGCTTTAACCCTAAATATAATAAAATTAGAAATAGTACCCTAGTATTACTCTTAACAAGACCATTTTTCTCTTGTTTATTAAATATTACTTGTTTTCTTTTATTTTTTTGTGGTCATGGAAGATAAAATATTTTCTAAAATGGGCCGTTTTTTTAATGAATCAGTGTAAATGGTGGAAACAAAATTTTGTCAAAAAAAGTCCGACTGAATTTTAAAAGTGCCCATTCTCATAAACATATATCCGGCGTTACATAAATTGCTTTATTCTTTCTTTTTTTTCATTTATTGCGACTATATATAAAAATAAATACAAATACTCACAGTATATAGGCCGGAATAAAATCCTTATAATTTATAATCGCTTATCCCTGAGACATTTGGCACGATCTTTGACGACGCCCCGCTTTTTCCTGCGGTTTTTCCAAAAGCGGCAAAAATTTAAAGTTAAAAGGTTTTCCGATCAAGTAAAAAAAACCTTAATTAAATTTTAGAAAATTTTAATCGAAATTGACAGCACGCAAGTTGAAGTAGTAAACCTATCCTAACTAGTAATAATATGTAATAACTATTTGTTGAAATCGTGAGGACAAGAAGGGGGTAGTTTAGGAAAACACCTTTTTCATTTTTTAGTGCGTTTCGACCTTTATTCGGGTCAACTTCAGGGCAAAAAAGTGTGATGCTACTGTTTTGGTGTCATAATGATTTTTTGTGAAAGTACACACTTTATGCACTGAAGATGATTCGAATAAAGATCGAAACGTCGGCTAAAAAATGAAAAAGTTGTTTTTCTAAACTACCTCATTCTTGACCATTCCTCACGACTTCAACAAATTATGAAACGACAGGTCACTAAGAAACACACATATAATAATAGTAATAATACACTAGTAATAATATATTTATTCTTGGCACAAAAGTATTTATTTATTTACAGAACAAAAACGCATTTCTTAAAAATTGTATATAAAAGTAAAGTTGAAAAATATATATATGATACGATGCTTAAAAATAACAACATTAATAGAAAATAAAACATATACTATACACCAAAAATATGTAAGTGAAAAAGTCAATAAAATCCATCCTTATAAATAAAAGTCAATAAAATCCTTCTAAATAAAACAATATAAAGATTTAATTAAACACCCTATCTACCATAACTTCTAGGAATTATGCAAAGAGTGAAAAAATATGATAAAGCATTATAACTGCCCACGTGGTACAGTTTTAGGCTTTATTTTACTAAATAAAATTGTTATGCTTTGAATAAATGAAATTGAGGAAACAGAAGTGTTAAATAAATCAACCATGTTGCATATGTTATTACAGTCTATCATCATGCGTTGCATCGGGGAGTAGTGAAAAATTTGTTTTTTTATAATCATTAAAAAATACTTTCGATTTCTGCGGTGGCCAGGAGGTACAAAAAATTTGGACCAAGGATTTCTGGATAACCTATAAATTAATTTGAAAAGGATTTCTGGAGAACCTATAAATTAATTTGAAAACGATTTCTGGAGAACCTATAAATTAATTTGAAAATAAAAACAATCTCAAAATACTTCATTCTGCAGCTAAGATCAGGAATATTTAAGTAAGATTTACTTTTACATTTAATGGAAGAATTTATCGTTGTGAGTCTAATTTGAAATATAATGTACGAAGGAATTTATTTTAAACGGTTTGTAGGTTTTATATCAGCATAATTGTGCAGATTCCCAAAAATATTTCTGAACTGACATGTACTTTGGATGATGAAGCCTAGCATTTTACTAAAGGAGCGATTTTTGATTTCTTGTAAATGTAGCTTAAAGTATGATTGCTACAAGTTGACGGCAAAATCTCTAATAGAAGTTGGTTTGGTTCTATCTTTTTATTAATTCATATTTTAAAAGCCCTACTTCTTTCCATCTCAAATTTATTTATATTATATATTTGGTTATCGTCTTTATTAATAAAATTCATGTTTTGAAGGACTTAAGGCTTTCCTCTTCAAATTTACGTTAACCTGACAACTTTACTTCTTCTATATTTTTTTATTAATTCATATTTTGAAAGCTATACTTCTTTCCATCTCAAATTTGTGTTAACCTACAACTATATTTGGTTATCGTCTTTATTGATAAAATTCATGTTTTGAAGGACTTACGGCTTTCCTCTTCAAATTGGTGTTAACCAAAACTTCTTTTATCTTTTTTATTAATTCATGTTTTGAAGAGTTACGGCTGTCCTCTTCAAATTTGTGTTAACCTAACAACTATACTTCTTCTACATTTTTTTATTAATTCATGTTTTGAAAGTTATACTTCTTTCAATTTCAAATTTGTTTTAACCTACAACTATATTTGGTTATCGTCTTTATTAATAAAATTCATGTTTTGAAGGACTTACGACTTTCCTCCTCAAATTTGTGTTAACCTAACAACTATACTTCTTTTATCTTTTTTATTAATTCATATTATGAAGGACCTACTGCCTTCCACCTCAAATTTGTGTTAACCAATACTTCTTTTATCTTTTTTATTAATTCATGTTATGAAAGAGTTACGACTTTCCTCCTCAAATTTGTGTTAACCTAACAACTATACTTCTTTTATCTTAATAAATTCATATTATGAAGGACCTACTGCCTTCCAACTCAAATTTGTGTTAACCAATACTTCTTTTTTATTAATTCATGTTTTGAAGGACCTACTGCCTTCCACCTCAATATTAACCTAACTACTATACCTCTTTTATCTTTTTTATTAATTCATGTTTTGAAGTCCTAAATTTTATTCGTGGTTAGTTTGTAAAAAGTATTGAGAAGTGGTTTGACCTGTGACATTCAATGGGTAGTTGGAAGTTAAGCCCTCCATAATGTATATTAAAGTATGACACCACCAATAGTAAAACAGTATGTAACTATTAAAAAAGTGTCTTTTTTTTTATTAAAACTAATTTGATATTGACGATACTTCATGCTGTTATTAAAATCAACTTTCTTTGTCCATTGATCATCACTAACTGTTGACTTTACAATCAATACTTCTTAAATTTATCATCAGGTTGTGAAAGTGCAAGGTTACAGACATATTGAAGACAGCAAAATGGAAACATGTCTCACAGACTAACCAAGCATGGATATGCCAACCAAAATGATCGGTAATGACCAAATTAAAATGTAAAAGGATAAAGGAAAGGACTAAATAAAATAAATTAATACACTTATTCTAAATAATTTATTTTTAATATTAATTAATTTAAAAAATACTTGTTTAGTTATGACATACTTGAAAAATTTAATATGAAAAAAAAAAGAATTTGGTACCTATTTTCAAACATTTGAGACCAAAAGTGTGTCCTTACACTTTAGTATTATTAAAATACACAATTTATACAATTTCTATACAGCGACAGAGATCTTAGGTTTCCTGTACAACATAATTTTACCACATATCATTTTCTGAAACAACAAATTCTAAGTAATGTAATAAATACCATTTTAGCAAACCAATTTTTAATTCTTTTAATAAGAGTACTAACCATTATACAATCTGTCTTCAAGCGTGTTTTTCCTCCTATAAAACTGGGTACTCGGCGTTGGGTTGTACTGGTATCCATCGCTTTCTCTTACCCAAGGTCGTTGGTAATTCCCTGTACCTGTTCCAAGAGTCATAATGCCGCAGCTCAGTTTGGAAAAAGGACCTTAAAAAACAGACCAAAACAGTAACAAGCACAGTGTGCCAAATTAAATACTACCTCCGTTCTGCTTAGGTTGATAATTGTTGTCCCAGTTACCGCTTTTCTTGTACGGATTATACCGGCCTTGTTTCTGTGCTTTGACTTTGTTCATATGCTTCTGTGATACTGCATGCTTGAAAGTAAACATATTTTTTTTAATTTATTAATTTTTAATTGCTTTATTTTTCATAGGCGATATACCTGAGCCAGTTGCAGTTTAGAATTAGTGTGGATGTTGCATATCGAACAATAATTGATGTTCGTATCGAGTTTGGGCGACGAATCCGCACCTAAGGCATGTATCAATTATATCTATTTATCACATCACAATTATGATATGATGAAATAAATCTGATTGATCAACATGCAAATTCAAACAAGGAAAATATACTTTTTTTGCCTGCTGACCAAACTATAAATTACCTATATCAATACTAGAGCAAATTTCGAGTTAAATATCCAAGCTGTTTTAATATTATCTATGCAATTATCCCAGGTTGAATATATTTTTAGTTTTATAATTTGGGTCTAAATGGCAAGGAAAGTTTATTTTAAAATATTGTGCATGTGTATTAAATATTCAACAAGCAACCTACTACCAAAATTAGAGTAAATTGTTGAATACAATAGTTTTATACATTATTATATAATATTTAGTCAAGTAATCAAGTCTAAAATAAAATTTATACTTTTTTTTAACTATAAGAAAATTAATGCGTACTTTATATATATACTTTTTAATGTGTTTGAGCTTGGGTTTATACCAACTCTCTGTTCTAATTTTATATAAAACCTACTTTCCTAAATCAACAAAAAAGTACAATGTAAAACTCAAAATCTTTGTTAAACTGTGACACAAATTGGGGAAATCATAAACGCTAATTTTTACATGAAGAAATTTTAAGTACAAATACTTACACTGTTTCGACTGACAGTTGTTCTTTATATTGTTAGAGACATTGTGTATTATTTGTTCATTAGATGTAGTTTTGGTTTTACTTTTATGCTTTGAACCTAGGGGGAAAAAAAGGCAATTAATAATAAAAATAAAAAGTAATAAAATAAACAAGATCGAACCTTCAATATGTGCTTCAATCTGGCTTATAGCATTCAGTGTAGTGTTGCAGTATTTACATTGGAATGTTTTTGTCTCTTTGTCTTCGATTATAAAAGGCAATTTAGCAAAAGACTTCATATTCTGTTCTTTTAGCTGTAATAAAATACACATGATCTGCACATTTACATAAACATTGGGGAAAAAAGGTTACCTTTTTTTGATGCTTTGCCCCCTGCATGTGGACTTGAAATGATACTGAACCATTGCACTCAATATTACAGACATCACATTTCAAACTTTTCTGCAGAGAAGAAAATTCTATTGATTTATAAAATGAAAAAGGCATGATACAAAGTAAAATCATGGTTGATGGGAAAACTGGCTCATTCTATTTTTACATAAGAAAATTCCAAGTCGTAACATTTTCAACCGAATCAAAGACTGTATGGCCTTTTATTTTTTAACTTTGCACTTCCGCATTAGCCACTGGGAAAAAAAATTACTTAAGAGAAATTCTTATCAAATCAACTTGTGGGGAGAAACCTCCAACTCGGCCCCCGGAGGGCCAACCAACCGAGCCACTACCAGGAGGAGGAACAGGCCTACCATTTAGTAGCATTCTTAGAACTAATGTCAAAGGAGGCTGTCCACAGGGAGGCTGCTTGTCACCTCTTCTGTGGTTAATCACAGTAAACAGTTTAATAGAATTGAATAATTCAGGTTTCTACAGCCAATTATTTTCAGATGATGGTACCATAATGATCACGGGTAGAGATCCCCTGACTCTTCACTGCTTATGAAGTCATGGGGTTGCTTTCTAAGTGGTGTTGTGATAAAGGTCTATCAATTAATCCAGCTAAACTGGAATTGATAATGTTTAGTAGAAGAACATTAGGTAATTTCAAAAACCCTAAATTTCACGGCATCGAATTAAAATTAAGGGATTCAATCAAATTCCTCGGGGTGACGCTTGACAGGAAACTTGATTGGAAAGGCCACATTAATAACATATACAGGAAAGGCACAATATCAATGGTGCAATGTAGGAGAATTGTAGGTAGAACATGGGGTCTCAAACCTTGGGTGGCCAAATGGCTATATACCGCAATTATTCTACCTATATTTTTGTTCGCAGCTGTAGTAAAAAGCTAGAAAATAAAGGGAATATTAACAAATTAAGGTAATTTCAAAGACTAGGCTGTTTGATGATGACGGGAGCATTTTCAACTACACCCACCCTAGCACCTGAGATTATATCCAATACTACACTCTCACATAGAGGCTAAGGTCAGAGCACTAACCAGCTGCTGTAGATTAATTAGTGAAGGCAGTTGGAACCATAAGAGAAACAACATAGGTCACTCGAATTATTGAGTAAGTTCAATGGCCAACTATTAAGCGTTAGCGATAAAAAGGTTAAAACTCCTTCAGGGAAAAATACTTCCAGGTAGTTACTCCGCTTGAATATAACTATAGCGCGCGGATGATGACCATCGTAACATAGACTGTTTTACCGTTGGTCACTTATCAAAGGCAAAGGAAGCAGTGCTGGAATACATATACCTAAATTAGGGATCAGCATCTCCTCTCTTGGTAATAACACCTCTGTTTTTCAGGGGGAAATCTGGGCCATTAATGTTTGCTGTAGAACACTTATGGATAATAAAATCCAGGGAAAAGATATTAGAATTTTTTCCGACAGTCAGGCCAGTCTTAGGTCATTACAAAAAGATTTATCAATATCTAGGCTGGTGGAGGAAACTGTTGATCTTATTGTGAGCCGGTCCCCGTCTTAGCGATAAGTTTAAATTGTTAAAATAAGAACAAAATAGGGTAAACAATGAAAAGGGACAAAGGTTGTACTCTGAAAGGGCGACCACCCAGACGGGAATGACGTGACATCCCCCTCAAATCTGCCAAACGTAGCTTGGAAATGGTTACCCAGGTAGACAGATAGATAAGAACGTCGAAGTGTGTGGCAGACCCAGGCTTGACCCATGTCTTGTTTCCTTCGAACCTGGGGAACATAAAATAGCAATAGCTGGACACCGATCAAATAAATAACTATCGTCTAGTTACTTAATGCTGAAGGGTTGTCACATGGTCAAAAATCTGTAACCACGGGGGACATCGTGAATTGGGGTCGCGTCAACCCTGTGCTTGCCACCGGTCTTCGCCGGCCCACCCGTGGCATGGGAACTCCCCCAACTTTTGAGTTTCCTTTCCACCCCTATTCCGGGAGAGACCCGGTATAAAAGGGATGACTGGGAAATCAAAAGTCAGTCAAAACCAGAGACTCGCCCCCTAGGCAGTCAAGACCAAGGACTGGGAGAGAAGCAGCTATACTCCGTCTGGGATTCAACAAGAGGACTCAGCCAGCCAGAGCCAGCGAGGATCAGCAGTTGCGACCAATCGAGCCAAGTCAACGGTCGAGAGAAAAGATGCTGTGGACACTGATCGTGGCGAGCATCATTTGGGGTAAGCCTCTTTGTTGATAGACTCATCCCAGATTTAGAGTTGTGGCTGACTTGCAGATTAATTAAGATTCTGTGGTTTGGGTTAAGAGAAAGAATTGTGTACAATAAATGTTACTGAATATGCTCTCTGGTTTATTGAATTCTGGAACCTTACTTTCCCCTACACAAGAATAAGTAGCGACGCGCTTACGCCAACTAATCTCTTGTCGCTTAGAGAAAAGCAAGCGAATATCGAGAGATAATTCGGCTGCCACGCCGTCGTCCACTTACATTATCAATAGGATCACTTCCACATACGAGATGAAAAAGTTAGTGTCACCCACGACCTTCGGCTCAATATGCCACTGCTTTGTCCACTTCAGCTATTGTGACTTCGATCCACTCGGATACCAACTCCCCATATATTATAGTTCTGATATTCATTTGTAGGGGACCATCGTGGGCTGAATGGTTACAGCATCCGACTTGTATTTGTTCCCTAGGGATTCTGTGATTGAATCCCACCAGAGAGCGGTTTGACCCCTCGTCTTTGACACCTAATGGGTAGCTCAGCTCAAGCCCTTATGTAGGACAGGAATTAGTTTATTTAGTCATTTTAGTTAACTTTACAGCCAACTAACTACGTGTTGAGTAGGATAGGTCAAAAACTGAATTGTGCCAGACTCGAGGTAACTGGCTCCCCTGAGCTAGGCCAAGTTGTGCTAGTTCAGAATTGTACAAACATGACGTCATGACTGATGACAACAAAAGGAAGAAACATCCGACAGACCAAAACAATAACAGCCAGACCAGAATGATCAGATACAACTAACGTGAGGTTCATCACTCCACAGTCCTCAGAAGGAAATCTCATTCAACTTGATTTAAACTGATTAATGGTCTGACTGAGGATTACAGTTACACACTATACCAATGTGATTTAAATGTTTGCTTTAAGAACAAAGCTAATAGGACAGACATGAAAAGTGATTTTTAGCAGCAGCAAGTACCACAGGGGTTTTCTGAGGAAACTGGCATCCCTGCGCTAGGCCAAGTTGTGTTAGTTCAGAATCGTACAAACATCACATCATGACTGATGACAGCAAAAGGAAGAAACAGCCAACAGACCAAAACAACAACAGCCAGACCAGAATGATCAGATACAACTAAAATGAGGTTTATCACTCCACAGTCCTCAGAAGGAAATCTCATTCAACTTGATTTAAATTGATTAATGGTCTAACTGAGGTTTACAGTTAACATATCAATGAGATTTATGTGTTTGCTTTTAGCAACAAAGTTAAAGGAGAGAGATGAAAAGTGATTTGTTTAGAAGCAGTTAGTACCACGGGGGTTTTCGTCGGCAGCTTTCCGCAGATGTTGTCCAGGACAGCCCTCTGCACCGGATCTTTCACCTGGGAAGTGTCATCTGGCTGGAAGTCCCCAGGTATTGTCAAAGGGGTCGCGACCAGACCGTTTGCCGAGCTTAACTGTTCGGGGCTGAGCAGAGAAAAATATTTTTAAAAAAATCTATCATCAAGTGAATTGTCAATTTTACCAGCCGATTATGGTAGCCACTGTAGGAAATTCGTTGGAACCGCTCATCCTGCTCCTAGAACTTCGAAAAAAATCTTCGCCCTGAGGTCTTCAGACTTCAATGTTTCAGTAGAGGATCGAGATTCGGTTGTAGTTCGAACTTGGTTAAAACCTATTCCAGAGGTTACTAGTGTTTTGTTTACAAATGCTGATCAGCTACACATCAGCTGCTCAACTAGTTCCATATACCTCTACTGTCAAATTTCACCCAATTTGACAACAGTCACATATACCGTAAGCACATTTTATAAATAGTAAGTACATTTTTTCTCTTTTTAATATTATATTAAATAAAACTAGAATTAGTAATTTACTTAACATTTTTAAAACATTAATTTATATTAATATCAGCACGTCTAATAAGAATTCAGAAGTAAATAAAGATTAAAAGTTTCAATTATATATTACATTCTTTGTAATGACTTCAAATGCTAAAAGTAATTTAATTAGACTCGTAACTGGTTGAAGCTGGAGAATTGCCATTAACGTACAGACGACAGTTTCTTGACATTAAATTTTTTGTTAAAATCATATCTCCACTGCATCCTTGGAATGATTTATTTCTAAATAAAAACATCATCTCTCTTGAAAACTGTGATAATAGTAAAAAGAAATATTTTGCTGTAAGCACTTTTTTATTTTTACTCAGTCAAACCGACAACATTCCAGCATTACAAACTATCTCTATCTCTACACCTCCTCCATGGCTCTCACCAAAAGCTAAATGTCAGCCAAAACTCGCTAAACGCAAAAAAAATCTGTATACAAAAAAAATTTTTTTTTAGAAATCCTAGCGAACCTTCTGCATGCTTAGCATTTACTGATGGGTCGAAAAGTTCAAATTGAGTTGGAGCTGCCTTTACCTCCAACGATAGGAAATATCTTTTCTCTCTTTCTCCAATGTGCAGAAATTTTAGTGCTGAGCTGATGGCAATACATAAATTTATAAATATAATCTGCCCAAGAAGTTGTCAGCATTGAGCACGTAACCATCTCATACAGGAAATATTCGTAGCATTAAAACGTCTTTCTCAGAGAGGTATTGGGGTTTTCTTATGGGCTCCTGGTCACAGCGGCATCGCTGGAAATCAAATTGCGGATAGGGCAGAGAGGCAGTAATAGAAGTTCCAGGTTACGATTATATTTCACATATAAAATCAGAAATTTGATCTCGATGGGAAAAAGATTGGCGATGTTGGGGAAAATAATCTTAGAGAAATAAAACTATCGTTTAAACCTTGGCATAGTTCAATCAGTGCGCTTTGCATATGGGTGGAAAAAAAATACCCCGACTCTTGAGGGATGTCGATGTTCACAGCCAATGCACATCTTTTCAGGAGAGCCGAAACAACGGTTTAGCGATAACATCACGCTGTTTATAGTGATTGTCCCTCTGCATTGCGGTGGCCTTCTGGGCTTCTTCCCTCTGGTTCTGCGCACGGGGTGAGGAGGCTGCATTGGTGGATGTTTTAAGGCAGCTGTGACCGTTAGTGGTTTTATGCCTTTAAATAAATAAAAAAATAATAAAAAAAAGACTCCCATACAATGCAAACTTTCTTACAATAAAATGATCCCAAAGCCTTATAAAAATGCAAGCTCCCCATCGTCTTATCATCCTATTAATTTTTTACCTATTCCTTCTAAATTATTCAAAAAAATAATTTAGAAAATATAGAAAATAATCCTCTCTATTGCTACTTCAAACATCTTACCAGACCAATCAACTTCACAGACTTACAGATTTCAGTACTTCATGAGCAGAAACTGAACGCAACTGTTTCTACACATTTCTCGCTTTCAGAAAAGTATGGGATGAGAGATTATTACACAAATTAAAATTATTTTTACCCCAGGCTTATCTGATTATACAATCATACCTCAAGGAGAGATTTTTCGCATGATGTTCAGAGATTTCTGAGATGAAAGAAGTGCTTACAGATCTGCCACAAGGGTCAATACTCACAATGCTGTTGTAACCAATTTTTACTTCTGGTATGACCACAAATGAGAATGCGCTTACTGCCACATACACAGATCACACCGCCATATTAACCCCTTAATCCCTTTTCTACACAAGCTTCACTTATGTTACAAAACCGTATATCAACAACAAAGTTTAACCCTCAAAGTCACAACATATCACTTTTACACTCCGCTGTGAGACTTGTCCTAGTATAGGAGATATGGATAGGGATAAAAGAGGCCTACTGCACCTCCAAATAGATTTATTTTGCTACCTTGTTATTTATAACTCACTGGCCAGTTTTAAGTTATTAATCAGCCTCCGTAGCTTTGCCAGCGGCTCCTTAGTGTAGGATCTTAATTAAAAAATTAATTTAAGAAAAATTAATCAAATATTATTCTTTGTTTATTGACTAATCCTTGCCTGCTGCCTGTAATTAAAATTAATTTATTTATCATCTCACTTAAGAAATTAGTATACAGATCTGTCCGAACCCTGGAAATGACACAAAATAGTTTGTTCCCAGAAAAATCTGTAGTACATCCTGGATATTTTAAATTTAGCTTAATTAAAGTTAATACACTAATAAATAATTTACTGAAAATATTTTTACTGGGCCTGCCAAAAAAATTAACATCAAACCTTGTGTGGAAATCTAAAAAATTCTTTTTAAAATCCCAATTGTATGCTATAATTTGAAAAGTGATAAAATTCTGATCTAGACTTTTTATGCAAGAAAACGTGCCAAACTTTCTGACCGGTAGCTGAATCTGCAACAGTTGAAAAATGGAAAAGCTAAACAGCATCATCAGCCAGCTCAAAGTGTTTTTAAAGACAGACAGGCTTTCTCAGGTTAGAGATGCCCTTCCGGATTCGTTATTCCTTTTGGAGAAGGGATATAATTTAGTAACGACAGACAATACGTAAGAAAAATTCAGTTTAATATATTCTTAAAAATAACTTTTTATGAACATTTTAGAACGAGATACTCGTTGAAACTAATTGAAAGCGTAATCGACATCTCTTGGGAAGATCTTAACATAGGCCATTGGAGTACAGTGCCAGAGAATCATAGAAAACTGCATGCGCTTGCTTGTTTTTTAAAAGTTATAGGATTGCTCCAATTGGCGATGCAGGATGATGAAAATACGGCGGACAATTTAAAGGAAGCTGTACGAACTGCTGACTTAGGATTGATTTTAGGTTGTGGCTTTCATGATGAACTTTCAACTGCTGCTAGACTAATCAGCTCAGCTTTATTTGAACGTACGTATTTGTTGAATTTGCCTTTATTTGATATAATTTTGTTTTTGTTTTTTTGTTTTGTAGTTGAATCAGACAGTTTTGACCCTGAAATTTCCAAGTGTACTTATTCTTCTAACTGTGATGCATTCCCAGGAATAAAAGGAGAAGAAATATGTTCTCTCAAACTCCCTTCATTGCAATATTTCAGCGAACATCATTTTTATCCACAGAAACCAGCCATATTGCTTGGTTATTATTATTAATTATTTAACTTTTGTATCGAATTTAATTGTTTTTAATATGGACAGATTGTATCTCTCATTGGCCAGCATTTGGAAAGTGGGATAATATAAATTATTTAAAAAAGGTCGCTGGGCACAGAACAGTACCGATTGAACTCGGATCATCGTATACGGAAAACGATTGGGGGATGCGGCTGACGACTTTACAGGAATTTATCGAAAACCATATTATCAGAAAAGGCGATTCAGTTGGATACCTTGCCCAGCATCAACTGTTCAATCAGGCACGTTAAAAATTATACTTGATGTTAAACGTTTTGTTCAATGGATTTAATCGTTTTTGCAGGTCCCTGAATTGCAAAATGATATTTGCGTACCTGAATATTGTTGTATTTCAGATTTAGAAGACGGAAGTTACGGAGTAGACACAAATGCTTGGTTCGGCCCAGCAGGAACTGTAACTCCGTTGCATTACGATCCTAAACACAACTTATTCTGCCAGGTATAATAAAAAACTATCTTCTAATTATTTAGAATACTTATGAAGCTGTTAGGTCGTTGGTAGCAAGAGGGTATTATTGTACTCACCAGAAGATTCGGAAAATTTATATCCTCATGATGCTACAATGCTCAATAATACGGCACAGGTCGATCCTTATTCTCCAAACTACGATTTATTTCCAAAATATAGACAAGCCAAAGCATATGAATGCCATTTAAGACCAGGTAAAATTAAATGTAATGCAATTTAATATATTTTATATTTGTAATTAACATATAATTATTTATAGGGGAGATGTTATACATTCCTCCAAAATGGTGGCATCATATCCGATCTTTGGATATTAGCTTCTCAGTCAGTTTTTGGTGGGAATAAGAAAAAAAATGATGTGAGTAACCAGTGTTTTCATAAGTGTCTGTATTTATGTCTTTCTGTTATATGTACAGTATTATAAAATTATTTGTATTTGACTGCAATTTTTCAGTTTTTACAATATTTTTCATCTATACCCTGAACCCTTGTATATCAAAAAACAGCAGGATTTGATTTTAATTCATTTTTATTTATTTGAGCAAATTATTATTAGTAAAAACATATAAAGAAATTCTTTTAGTGTTATTTATGTATAAATAATTGAGCTAGAGGTATTTTGATTTTTTGTTGCAAATTAAATCACAGCTCTTTTTAGTTAAACGGTTTTGGAGCTAATGAAGATTCATGATGCACAAACGCATGCCTGACCCATTCTTCATCGTAAAACCTTGGATCAGCAAGTCTTAGAATCGCTCTTTTGCAAGTATAGTACCACAACATTGACGCTGGAAGAAAAAAAAAATTATTATCTTTGTGTTTCACACTTTGTTAGATAGTTTCAAACTCACTAAATCTGTGGAAGAAGAAAATTGTTTCAAGGTACGTAGGCCATTTATTGTCGAGATTGCCTATCAACTTATTGAAGAGAGAAATCAAATGGAGTAGTACCGTGAGAGCTAAATACACCAATGTGATGACTACTGTTGCTCTAAACCTTTTAAAAAGAATCCCCAAAAACCCAGCCTTAAAAGAAAATATATTATTGAATTGGAAAACTAAAGAAAATAGATGTGGAAATACCTTGGCAACGTAGGTTCTGAATATACAATAACCAAATATGAAAAATGTAGCAATTATAGTCGCAACCTGGACTCTATAATAAAATATATAAAAATACACATTAAATTTATCATATTTTTTATTAAAAAGTAATAAAATAAATTTATTTGATTTTCATAACAGCTGGCAGTCTTCCTATCTCATTCTTTCTGTGTTTATCAATTTACCTATCTATTTAAATATCTTCATTTCTTTCTTTACATGTATGTTTGGTTATTAGGTTGCTCTATTATCTATTTATTTATCTATCACTCCTTTCTCTCTCTATTTTCTTTATCTCAGCCTTGCCTCTCTATATTTATTTATCTATCACTTATTTTGTCTTTCTTTTATCACCTCTATCCCTCTCTCTTCCCTCAAACACTATTTATGTATACCTCTTTTTCTATTCTTCTCTTTACTTTTGAGTCTCTTCTCTCTCTCTTTCTTTCTTTCTTCCTTTCTTTTTTTCTCTCTCTTTTCTCTCTGTTTTTATTAATCATGAATATATCAATCCTTTCTCTCTCATTTTTCTTTTCTCTGCCCCTGTCTCTCTACATTTATTTACCTATCACTTATTTCTATCTTTCTTTTATCACCTCTATCCCTCTCTCTTCCCTCACACAATCAATTTATGTATATCTCCTTTGTTTTTCTCTCTGCTTCTGAGTCTCTCTTTCACTCTCTCTATCTCTCTTTCTTTTTTTCTCTCTCTCTTTTCTCTCTTTTTTATTAATTATACATATAACACTCCTTTCTCTCTCATTTTTCTTTATCTCTGCCCCTGTCTCTCTACATTTATTTATCTATCACTTATTTCTATCTTTCTTTTATCAACCTCTCTTCCCCTCTCACACTATATTTACCTACCTATTTATCCTTTCTATTTTACTATCTCTCTCTCTCTCTCTCTCTCTCTCTCTCTCTCTCTCTCTCTCTCTCTCACTCACACACACACACACACACACACACACACACACACACACACACACATCGCACGCATACACACATACACACATATACACTATGTACACATTCACTCTTATCTAATTAGCAGTGAACATACAGTTGATTCTGAAAGATGAGAAAAACATATTTCCTAATTTGTGTTATAAATTTATAAAATATTATTTGATTACTAAATTAAGACCTAAGGATTTTTGGTACTTGGTTTCTTTTATTTTTCGGTTTCCAAAGCGAATTTTATTTTTACAAAATTCTTGCAACACGCTTGTCATATTTAGGTCAAGATTCTGAGTTTCATCACTCAAAAACGCGCGTATGTGTTTTGTTTAAAAAACGTTAAAAGAGGAAAGTATTGGAGTTCTCTTATAACTTACATGCCGATGAATAGAATCTTAAAAAATCCGTTCCTGATGAACGGCTTCGTCGCCAAAACGTTGATGGCTATATCTTGAATGAGCAAACTGGCCATGGAGGAAAATATACAACAATAACATCCTGTGCTGGGCGGGTCCGCCATTTATTAGAACGAAAACTCAAGTTTTTATCGGTTCTAAAAAAAAAAATTCAACAACAAACAAACAACATATGTTCCCTTTGTTGACGAGGTTTATTGTTATTGTTGTGTATCTATGACGACTAGAGACGAAAGGTGGGAAGTACACGCCAAGGTGTGAGGGTGGCCAAAGGTCCCATAAATTATTAACTGGTCAAAATACATGCAAAATTGCGCGTTGGTTGATTGTTTAAAATATTTCACGAGAAGAATTCATGCATTCATTTTAATCTTCGGTCTTTTCGTTCAGGGTCAGGAGTATAAGCAGGGTGTGGCACGGCAGTTACCGCTGAAATGGATAGGACGGTGAAATCTCATTATTTGAAAAGTTAGCTGCCTGAAGTGCTTTTTCTAATGGGATAGCATCTCTCCTTCTAATAAAAGCTTTAAAATCATGTGATATGACAACGGAATAGTGTTGTCCATCAATACGGTCTGGCCATCCTCGTTGGTTTTTTTGTCAACACAGTTTGCTAAGTTTGATTCCTGCAGTACTTTTTCTTATGTTTTGTCATTGAATTACTTATTAAAACTCATAGAGGAACAACCCGGGAGAATAGGGAACCATTTTGGGCTGGCTGTCGTCGCTGTTTTCATTTCTGTCCCTTTTCTGTAAAACACGCTTTGAAAAAGAAAAAAAGGACATTAGACTGCATCAGAATGTTGGATTGGGACACATTTTGGTGTGGTCTGAGAGTGATGAATCTGAGTTGATCTTCGATCATCTAAGTTCAGATGTTCGGTCATTTGATTGTCGTTCGAGACATGATTTAAGGTAGCTTTAAACCACTCAAATCATCATGAATAGATGTTGATAAGGGATGAAAATGCATTAAATTAATCACCCTGTTGACCCCGAGAAAAAATCTTATTATTCCAAATATCTTTCTATTCTTGCTGGTCTCATGACACACTCACCACTAAAGATGGCGAGAAGATCAAACACGTCAAATAAACCAAAACAGCGATAGAATAAAAAGATCGGACACTATCAACTACAGGTTTATCACATCCGGTAGACAAGAATAACTATTATAAATATTTTAATCCGTATATTATTGCTGGTTTCGGTGACAGACCTACCAATGAGGATGTCGAGGAGGAGAAAGCGTCTGTCAGACCGAAACAACAAGGTTTGCCATACAAAAATGGTCACACTGCAGGTTCATCACCCGGTTAGATTCTAACAAGAAATCTTACTATTATAAATAGCCATATCAGTTCTGTGACATATACTGAAGATGTAGAGGAACCGAAACGTGCCGGACAGTAAAAATTGAGGATAAGCACTCCCAAATTGAGCTAACTGCAGATTCATCACCCGATTAGACTCCATCCCTGAATTCAAAAACCCATCCATGCAAAACGAATAAACTAAAACTAGTCAAGGTCATTAATAGGTCGAGGCATCAACACATACACACCGCTAAAGATGCCGAAAAGCAGACAGCGTCTGATGGACCAAAACGACGAGGATAGTCTGACAAAAATAATCATAAATGACCAAACTACAGATTCACCACCATACTCCAAAAAGAAATCTATTATAAATTTTCTCATCTGTCTGTTCTTGCTGGTTTCCGTGACAAACCTACTAGTGAATGTGGCGAGAAGCCGAAGCGTGCCTAAAAGACCAAAGCAGCGAGGGTTGGCGAACCAAAATGATAGAAAAAGACCAAATTTGGTTCGTCACCCGGTTCGACGCCACCCTACAAGAAATCTCACTATTAGATATTCTTATTAGTATATTTTCACAGGGTTCGGTGACCAACCTTCTGTTGAAGATGGCGAGAAGGACAAAGCGTCCTACAGAACAAAACAGCAAAGATTGGCAGACAAAAACGATCGGGAATGACCAACCGACGATAGACCGCGAAGACAGACAGCCAAAAATGACCAAATCCCTCATAACTCAAGGAGAAATTTGTGATTAAACTTTTTTTAATCGTACATAGGCGTACGATGCAAAACAAATTCCTGCAAGTAATAGTACCGAGTTATAACCCAGACACAGGTTGATCGTAAATTTAAAAAAATGTGAATATTCAGGGATGCTATTATAAACAATATAAACAGTATATTCTCGCTAGTTTCGGCGACAGACCCACTGAAGATGGCGAGAAGCAGAATGCGTCCGATAAACTAAAATACCAAAGATTTGGCTGCCAAAACGACCAAATTACAGGTTCACCCGGTCAGACTCCAATAAAAATCTCTGTTATAAATGACCTTATTCTTCTATTCTTATTGGTCTCTGTTCACTTGACAACCCACCACTAAAGATGTTGAGAAGATAAAAGCGTTTAACAGGCCAAACCAGCGAATGTAGGCAGACCAAAATGATCGGAAACATCTCCGAACTTCAGGTACATTGCTCGGTTTTGCTCAACAAGAAATATTTTATAAATATTATTATTCGTCTTTTCTTATCAGTCTCTGATCTCTGTACACTTGACCGACCCACCAATGAAGATGAAGAGAAGATAAAAGCGTTTAATAGGCCAAAACAGCGAATGTAGGCAGACCAAAATGATCGAGCACCTCCGTACTCCAGGTTCATCACTCGATTTTTCCTAACAAGAAGTCTAAAAATATTCTTATCTTTTTTTATAAGTCCTCTGGTTTCTGTTCACACGAGAGACCATTAATGAAGATTTCGAGAAGGAGAAAGCGTTTTATAGACCAAAACAACGATGATAGGCAGACAAACTACAAGGCATAACCCGCAAACTTCAAAATAAGTCTCTCAATAGAGTTTATTATTCATAATAAAAATTACCGTTTGGTTAATAATAGATTATAGTAGGTAGGTGATAGGAAAAGCTGGACCTAAAATGAACCAGTTAGTCCAGACCAGTGACTGGAATGGCATGGTTCATAATACCACTGCAGGACCGATAAAAACAGGATTTAAAATGGAGTTGTATTTTTGAAATTTGACTCTTGTTTTGACGAATAGGCACGACAAAGCGGCTAAAAGCCTTTTTTTAATAATACGATATGTTTTGTTTTCCTTTCTGTTCGAAATTGCCAAATTTTGTTCAGTAGCCCTGTCTCAAGTTGGAAATCGGCTAGACGCAAAGGAGACAAATTATAAAAAAACAATTATCTATACCGCCAGTACGGGGGTGGGTAAGTGAAAGAGGGGGAGTGGGTCAGTGGAGAAAGTGAGCACCGAAGACTGGTGAAGGCAAGGAGGGAGGATAACGGTACCCAGCCTGTCCTAACTGGTGACCCAGTTCGTCTGCCCCATTCACACAACCGTCCATGGAGCTCGAAGCTCCAGCCCAGTGTATCACATCTCAAGCACGATAAATGATAAGGGTCTTCAGATGAAGTCATCAATATCCGTCTGGGTGAGTACTAAAGAAATCCAATAATCGCCGACTCTTTTTGGAGCCGGCTTTTGAATTTCGCCTTGGGTGTCCATTAAGAATGACTTTAACCAACTGAAAAAGAATTGTACACAAAAGCTGTATAGATCTGATAAGGATGACATATACAGATTTTCTGCCAGCAGTGATAATGATTAAATTGATTTGATCCTTAAAAAACGACAACGGTTTGTGTTACTATTGCTAAAAATCGGAACAAAACAATGCGGCACTAAGGCAAATCGCGACTGTAGCTGACTAAAAGCGAGAACAGACGGACCATAGATGTTATTAAAAAAAATCAATTCTACAATATACGTACAAAGTTTCAATTTTATATGTTTTATATAACAGTTAGTTTTTATAAGCTTGAATTGGCAGGGGCTTTAAAAAATAAAAACAACCACCTTCCTTGTCAAGGCATCTACTAAGTACCTTGGTAGACGTTTTGCCTTTTTCAAAAATTGTTCTGAATACGTTACCTTTTATAAAAAAATTGCTTATATTTCATTTTAGATTTTTTTCTATAAATCAAGTTGCAATAAGCAAAATAAGTAGATTCAAGGCGAAAGGGTCATTCCGGAGGTTTGATGTCATCAGGTAATAATAATTTTAAATAATTTGACCTCTGCTCAACGTACAGAAAATGACCTGACGTTTTGATCAGATTGTTTTCCTCTGGAGCGGGAGACGGCGAAAATTTATGAGAGGTCTCATACTGACCAAAAGGATCAATGACCTCGGTTAAAGATAACTGATGAGCCATACGGGCGTTTCTTTACATCCGTGCGAAAACGAAGCCTTTCCATTTGAACGTGGAGATGAAAAATATTACATGAAAATACATGGATTTAAATTGTGCTTTTTTCCAGAACTTTTCTGGCTCTTACTTGGACGATAAAATTCACCATCATAACACGTGAATGACTTTGATATTTTTTTTTTCAAACTGTGTAAGACTTGACAATAAATAAAACTTAAATTTTATACGCCGAAAAGGCCTTAGATACGTAAAATTTACGTTAGATTTGAAATTTATTTTGTCTACAGGGACTTGTTCAAATTTTTGTTTACTATTTCCTTATTGAAATCATTACCTGTATACTTTTTTCCTACTACAGTTTATTCTTTTTCGATCACCTTGTGTCAGGGAAATAAGGTTGAATACCTTTTATATGTACGATAAACAGATTGGAGATTTCCTCTTGATTTGTTGGGTTTTGTCTGCTTGTCAGTTTTACCCATCTTCTGTGTTGGGTGTTTCGCCCTGCTTATATCTGTAACTTTGGTTCGTTTCTGATCATCTTGGGTTTGGGTGTAAGCAGGCTGAATAATTCGTGAAATTTCCTCTTGAGTTCTGTTTAGCTTTGGACTGCCTATCTTGTTAGTTTTGCGTTATACCTATATTTTAGATACTGAAAAGGCCCTAGATACATAAAATTTTCTTTAGATTTGAAATGTATTTAGTCTACAGGGACTTGATCAAGTTTTTTGTTTACTATTTCTCGTTCAAATCATCACCTATATAAACTTTTTCCTATCTGTAGTTTCTTCCTTTCCGACCACCTTGTGTCAGGGAAATAGGAAGCTACCTTTTATATACACGATAAAATTTTTTTTACGACTTTGGCTGTTTATCTTCACTACTTTTCTTGGCTAGTTTTACCCATCCTCAGTGGTGGGTGCTTCGCCCTGAACAGTTAGAATATTCGAAAATTTCTCCTCGAGTTCTGTAGGGGTTGATCATTTTCTTTATTTTGTCTATCTTCGCTGTTTTAGTGTGGTAGACTCATTTCGCCTTTTCCCCATCTTTGGGTTGTTGACGCCTCGGCCTGCTTTTAACCCTGACTATTTGTCGTTTGTACGTTTCTGATTGTCTTGGGTCTGGGTGAAAAAAGTTAGCATGTACAATAAAAAAAGTTTATTGTGAGATTTCCTATTGAGTTCTGTTGAGCTTTGTACTACCTATCGTGGCTGTTTTGCGTTTTACCCACCTTCAGTGGTGGATGCTTCGCTCTGATTGTATCCGTAACTGTAGTTTGTTCATTTCTGATTATCCTGGGTCAAGAAGATTACTAGGGTGAATAATTTGCATATGTACAATGAAAACTGAGATTTCTTTGTGAACTTTGGTCATTACCTAGCAAGGACAGGAAGACCAAAGGTATCGGTAATGATCAGCGATCTTCCTGAATTCTGTTTGGTTGTTTCCGATCGTTTTGGTCTTACACATTTCGCTATCTTCATGAAGGATTTGTATGAGTGACTCGACCTGCCTTAATACATGGCTATTTGTAGTTTAAATTGTGAGATTTCATGAGCGGTTTATGGGTTGGTAAATCGGCAGTTCGATAGTTTTGGATAATTTTGACCTGTCTGCCTCGCTGTTTAGGTCTGTCAGACGTGTTTGTGCTTCTTGTCATCTTTAGTGGTGGACTGTCACAGAGACCAGCAGGAATAGACGGATGTAATATACATAACAGCGACATTTCTTGTTGGAGTCTAAACCGGATGATGAATCTGCGGTTGCTGTTTTGCTCTGCCAGAAACTCTCCGCTTCTCGCCATCTTCAGTGATGGGTCTGTCACAGAAATAAGTAAAAAATATACCGATAATAATATTTATAACAATGACATTTGTTTTTGGAGTCTAACTGGGTAATAAACTTGTAATTTGGCCATTTTGGCTGCCAAATCCTCGATATTTTAGTTTATCGGATACTTCATGCTTCTCGCCAATTTCAGTGGTTGGTGTGTGTCCATGCCTCGACCCTTACAATTTTTAGTTTGTTCGTTTTGGATCATCTTGTGTAAGGGTTCGGGGTCCAGCCATCTTCAGTGGTGGATCTGTCGCCGAAACCAGCGAGAGTATACTGTTCATATTGTTTATAATAGTATCGCTGAATATTCCCATTATTTTTTTTTAAATTTATGATCATCCTGTGTCAGGGATATAACTCGGCACTATTAATTGCATGAATTTGTTTTGCATCGTTCGCCTATGTACGATTAAAAAAAGTATAATCAGAAATTTTTCCTTGAGTTCTGTAGGGTTTAGTCATTTTTTGTCCGTCTATTTTCGCTGTTTTTGTCTTTTAGAGGTTCTTGTCATCTACATAATTTGTAGTTTGTTCGTTTATGATAAGCCTGGGTCAGGGATATAAGAAGGTTGAATAATTCGCCCATGTTTGAAAAAAAAAAAGAATGATCAAAAACTTCTTGTGTTCTATGAGGTTTGGTCATTTTTTGTTCGTCTATTTTCGCTGTTTTGGTCTTTTAGATGTCTCTTGTCTTTTACCATATTTGTAGTTTGTTCGTTTACGATCAACCTGCGTCAGGGAAATAAGCAGTTGAATAACTCGTCTATGTTCGATAAAAAAAAAAATCAAAAATTTATCCTTGATTTCTGGGGGGTTTGATTATTTTTTGTCCGTTTATCTTCGCTGTTTTGGTCTTTTATATGTTTCTTGCGTTTTACCCATCTTAAGCGGTTGGTGTGTCGATGCCTCGACCTGCATATCTCCCTGACTATCTGTAGTTTGTTCGTTTAGAGTCAATCTGGGTCAGGGATATAAGAAGGTTGAATAACTCGCCCATGTTTGAAAAAAAAAGAATGATCAAAAACTTGTTGTGTTCTATGAGGTTTGGTCATTTTTTGTTTGTCTATTTTCGCTGTTTTGGTCTTTCAGATGTCTCTTGTCTTTTACCATATTTGTAGTTTGTTTGTTTATGATCAACCTGCGTCAGGGAAATAAGCAGGTTGAATAACTCGTCTATGTTCGATTAAAAAAAAAAAATTTCTCCTTGATTTCTGGGGATTTGGTCATTTTTTGTCCGTGTATTTTCGCTGCTTTGGTCTTTTATACGTTTCTTGCATTTTACCCATCTTAAGCGGTGGGTGTGTCGATGCCTCGACCTGCTTATCTCCCTGACTATTTGTAGTTTGTTCGTTCAGAGTCAATCTGGGTCAGGGATATAAGAAGGTTGAATAATTCGCCCATGTTTGAAAAAAAAAAAGAATGATCAAAAACTTCTTGTGTTCTATGAGGTTTGGTCATTTTTTGTTCGTCTATTTTCGCTGTTTTGGTCTTTTAGATGTCTCTTGTCTTTTACCATATTTGTAGTTTGTTCGTTTACGATCAACCTGCGACAGGGAAATAAGCAGGTTGAATAACTCGTCTATGTTCGATAAAAAAAAATCAAAAATTTATCCTTGATTTCTGGGGGTTTGGTCATTTCTTGTCCGTTTATCTTCGCTGTTTTGGTCTTTTATATGTTTCTTGCGTTTTACCCATCTTAAGCGGTGTGTGTCGATGCCTCGACCTGCTTATCTCCCTGACTATTTGTAGTTTGTTGGTTTAGAGTCAACCTGGGTCGGGGATATAGTCAGGTTGAATAAATCCTATATCGCATCTCCCCATCATCACTAGTGGGTTTATGCCGGTGCCTCGACATGTTTATACCCCTGATAAAGGATGATCGGAATGTAAAGAACTGCACATAGTCAGAAAAAAGTCTAACAGATTATAATTTTAAATAAGGTTAATTAATAAGTTCGGTCGTTTCCGGTCATCCAGGTTCAGGATATAAGTAGGGTAAGGCACCGACAATGGGTAATAAATATGAACAATTATTAGATTTTATTATTAATTAAGTGTAAAAATAATTATCTAGGCATATTTTTAAGGATTTAAATGTGAACAAAAGTCTAAAAAATTATTATGGGATGTAGAAAATAAATTCAGCAGCTCATGATGAAAATACTCTGAAAGTTCTGTTTAACACATGGGCGATAATATGTGTAAAGTGTAAGTGTGCACTTTCCTTGAGGTGAAATCATGTCACCAAAACACAACAGGACAACTTTTATTTTGTCGGAGCGTCGTGTCACTGGATGGCTTTTATGGAAAAATCTCCCCGTGCAGTTTTAGAGAAAGTTGCGGGGAAAAAAATAATAATCCGGTATGCAAACCCAGCCTGCAGCTTGCACTTGGGAGAGTTAGGAGTACGGCAGTGTCAAACCTATGGAGAGCACTTTCTCCACTAAATCGTTTATGAGATGCAGTTCGTCATTCTTCGGGGTCGACAAAGGGGAAAAGTGAAATTCAGACGCCTTTTGTTACCGTCCAACGCACTCGGCCCACTGCCTACTACGTGTTCTGGATCAAGGGCAGGTGAATTCTTTTCATTCGCCTGAACACCTTTATCATTTAATAACAACCTGGGAAATTACGATCAAAACAATAAATCATACCTTTACACAAATACAAAAGTTATAAAGTTTGTATAAAAGTTTTTTTTAAAGATACCACAAATATGGGAATATATAATTTAAATAATCTATACCTCATTTCTCACACACTTTTACTCATACTCTCCAGGGAAAAAATTAAATACTTAGGCTAAGAATAGGGCATTTCAGTGTAACACATGTTAATAGTAACAAACTTTCAGTTTGGTCAAGATAAGCCCCTACATTTCCTTTTAGCAACAAGGCTTCTGACAAATTATTGAAAAATGGGAAACAATTAGAAAAGGAACATGTTTTGAATAAAATGATTTTATTTTGGCCGTTGCTGATCATTTTAGACGTGTCCTATCGGCTTCTCGCCATCTTCAGTGAAGAGTCACGAATCAAAAATCAAACTGTGTTTCTTCAATTCGAGACGTAAGAAATCACAATAGAGACAGAAGTCTCGAAGCTAAAAAGAATATACAAAAAAGTGTACAAAAAAATATGGTGCAAATATTTGCTGTACCAAAGCGATATTCATGTAGTTCTGCTTCGTTTCTCTCTTTAAACAAATTTGGCATAGTTTGGTTATTTGCAATCATTTTAGTCTGCCGATCCTCAGGTTTTTAATCACATTTAGTGATGAGCTTGTTTCAGTGCCTCGCCCTGCTTATATCCTGACAAGTTATAGTTTGATCTGTNTCTCAATAAAGATCGAAACGTTGGCACGATAAAGAAAATGTTTTTCTGAAACCTACATCACACCAGACCGCATTTCAGGATTTCTAAATAAATAATTATTTATAAAACAAAATCTTGTTTCTTCATGCAATGTACAACCGTAACGGAAACGTTTAAAATCTCATTCTTTGGAACAAGCGATTGATAAAAGTGATAAACTTGCGAATCAAACATGTCCAGAGCTTGTACAAACTGAGTACGGCGAGATTTAAAAACATGCCCATTAAATAAGAGAAAGGCCAAACGAAAAAACAAAAAGTCCTTCACCTAGGCCTCAACTTTCACTCATTGTCAGAAGGAACAACCTTTATGAACCGACGTACTAACAGTCGGGCGGAGAACAATAGAGATCAACAGAAACTCTGAAGACAAATCGAAACTGCTTGATATTAGAAATTCAATCTTGGGCCAAAAAAAACCCCAGGAACAGGAAATCTTAACGGAAAGTCTTGAAGCCCGCGACACCCTTGATGATGTCTATAAACAAATAAATAAACAATGATGAGAGTGATTTAACTTGTGTTTTCTAAAAACTGTTAAATTATGTATTACGGTTAAATCTCGTTAAAATATTTATGTAAATTTTTATTATATTTATCAAAATTATTTAAACTTTAAAGGATCATTAAACTTAGCCGGCTGGGGACCGTTATTCTTTTTTTTTCTTTCTTACCTAAAATGGTTTACATATAATTAAGACATCTTTGATCAGATCGAGCCGAAAACCTCGTAAGTCAAGTTATAAAAAATAATAATGATCGGGTCGAAAGAAATTCTTTAAAAATGTAAACCGATCGTATATTAAATTATTTGCCTGGTTATGCTTATGAGATGGGGTCGGGTTAAAAAATGGAATAACTCGGCCAAAAGTGGATCACGTTTATGAGTGCAATGGGTCAAAACGGAGGATTTTTCCATAGAGTAGAAAGTAAAATGTGGGCAAAACGCTTGGGATTATTACAGCCCAAATAATAAAACGGGGGGACTTTCTTCTTTGCGTTTTTGTTTTTCAAGTTTTGTCTTTTCTGTAGGAGGGCTCAGATTGCACTGAAGAAAATGGACGGACTTCGACCTCGGTGGCGTACGGTAAAGTTGGCAGGTTTAAAACCGATTCAGACTTACTTTCATGTTATTCTCTCCGACGCTTGCTTTGAGACAAATTTTCACTTCAGACGAGGGGGGGGAAAAAATAAAACACACCCAGGAAACACGCATGCACGCCTATTGATTTTCAAGCACTCGCACAGAATTAAAAAAATAAAATAAAAATAATAAAAGAAACAATTTTTAAATTATCCGCAGTTACAAAATAGAATAAAAAGGCTACTTTTTACTTCTGTACTTAATTTCATCTATTATTTTTCTAAATTAACCCTATTGTCCACTAATATGGCCTAGCGAAGAACCCTTGACAAAAGTGAATCAAGTGGTGTTACCCATCATTTTTAAAATGAAAGCCAAAGAAATAGGCTACTTTTCTCTCAGTGATTAGGATGGGAAAATGTTGGTTATATAGAAAGTTGACTCTACTTGTACAAAAAAAGTACGCAAGTTAGGCTGTTGAAGATTTTTCCCTAGACTGTAATTCATTCATTACTAATTTATCCGTGTGGATTGTTTCCTTCGATCTGATAAATCAAATGCGTCGTTGCAGGTGCTGATCAATTTTGTTGGCGTCCTTGGCTATGATGGGTACACAACTTGCACTAAGCCGTTCAGAGGTGGGAAACGATTGGATGTGCCGTGCGACTTCACGACGCAAACTTGGTGCACCATTCCAGGATCATACTATCCTTGGTTTGTATTGAAAACCTCTTCATTAAGTCTCATTGTGTATAAATTTAAAATATCAAATATATTAGTCAAAAAGTGTTTATATTTAGAATTATGTGAAATGGACAAAAAAATTGCCACTTTCAACTTTTCAAGTCTATTAAATTATTTTTCAATAAAAGAATTACACTTTGAAGATCATTTTAATCTGTAATTTGGTCGTTACCAATCTTCTGGGTCTGCTTATCCTCACTGTGCTGGTCTGTCAAAAATTTTTCATTTCTACATCTTCAGTGCTGCATCTGGGTGAAATGTCAATGACCAACAACTAGGATAAGCAGACCGCAATGAGAATAAGAATTAAGTTTTCTTTTAACAAGAACTTGGTCATACAATTTCCCACATTCTATGAAAAAACATTACAAAATAGATACATTAGATTTGATTATATAGGAGCTGGTCTCACCAGTATTGGTATATTTTTTTCAATGTATCTCGGTTTTTCTTTTTTTTAATCAAGAGCTTCTTGTTAAGCTTCAGGCTTATCAGACCCAAAGCTTTTTCAAGGGCACCCGTGTGTATCCTTCAGGCCCTGGGTTTTCCTCTCCCAGGATTAGGAATCTCAGCCCACAATGTTCCGTTGTTTTTTCTTCTTCTTGACAATACCTGCACAGGCTTGTTTCTGCCTCCCCGAGTCTATGCCTATGCTTTCGGAATCCAGCTATTATTCTAGTCCTAGCACATCCTAAATTTAGTAGTCCTGCCATTAGCTTCTGCGATGGTCCTTTGATAATTTTTTTTTCATGACTCAGTCCCGTGCTAGATTTGTATTGAGTGAAGGACTTATTATTGATCCAATGTCTAATGGATCTGTGTTTTTGGCAGTTTGGTAAGCCACAAAAGGGTTCAGGACCAAGGTGTCCTCATTGAACTTTCCTTGACCAATTTTTCGGCTTCCTCGTTGCCCCTATACCCTGTGTGCCCTGGCACAAGGGTAATTTTTTTATTTTCTCCACTGTCTGACAGGGCTCTAATGCAGTCCCAAACGACCCTGGACTTTACCGTTGATGCGACATTTGCCTTCAGTGCTGCCTGGACGTCCGAGTAGATGGCTATTTTTCTATTGATAATCCTTTTTATCTCCCTGGTTCAGTGTTCAATAGCCACAGTTTCCACTTGAAAAACAGTGGCATATTGTCCAAGGCTTATACGAATTCTAGTCCTTGGTTTATTTCTGTAAATGCCAGCTCACGGCCTTCAGTTTTGGAGCCATCTGTAAACCAGATATGGTCGGCATTAACTGTCATTTCTTTTCTCCTGGTTTGCTCTACGAGGTATTTTGTTTACAAATTTTTTATCAAAACTGAATTTTAGTCTGTCATCAGTAGGTATCCGCAAAGTTCTTTCTAGCTGAAGTTCCCTCAAAGCTTTAGTTGCACCTTGTTATGTGAGTAGGCAAAATATGTATAATTAAGTTTCTATTGGGCGATCCTGATTTTTCTTCTTCAGACCACTTCTTTCTAGCAGCCCACTTTCTTTTAAAAGAAATAAATGTTTCGAACATTGAAAAAAATTAAATCTAGACCAAGACTTGTTTTACATTGATAGCCAAGGAAGTGAAATTGTGAGATTTTTGGTGGTCTGCTGGGTGATTAGCCTGTAATTTGCTCATTATTGATCATTCCACTGCTTAGCCTCGTGTTGGTCTGTCAGGATATTCAGATAAGAAGTAAACACAAATTTCCACATTCAAAGTAAAATCTTTACAAAAGAGAATTTTGTAGTGAGCAATCCTGACATTCTCCATCAGACTGCACTTTTTTATTGCAATGGTCCATTTTATTAAGGGAAAAAGTCATACATTGAAAGAAATAAAAAGTATGTAAATACTCGCTTCCAATTGATATCCATGGAAATTAAATTGTGAGATTCTCAACAGTCTACCGGTGATGATTTTGTTCTGGTCATTACCAATCATCCTGATCAGCTTAACCTTGTTTTGGAACACCTTCAGTGTTGGGTCTTGGTAAAATGATAATGACTGAAGATGGCAAAATACACATTCTTGAAGACATCCACAGTGAGGATGGACAGATGAAGACTATAAGTAGTAAGTTTTCTTTCAGCAAGAACATGACCGCATAATTTTCCAGATTCATAGTAAAAACTTTAAGGGATAGAATTAATTTTGTGTTAATTAATTAGTGTGGTTCTGATTTTGCTTCTTCAGCTTGACACTTCTAATAATGGCCCACTTTCTTAAGGTTAAACAAATTTCATACATTGAAAAATGTAAAAACTTGGGCAGAAGACTTGTTTTCAATTTATATCTAAGGAGTCAAATACGATAGGCCAAATTTTCAAGCTTAGAAAATATTTGTTGTAAATATAAAATAATCATTAAAGTTAAAATAACCTAAAATACTGAGAATTTGAAATAATAAATAATATTGTGAAATATGTGTGGTGATTAGTGACCGTTAGTCGAAGTTTATTCAGAAATCTCTCAACACACAAGAATGGCACAATTACACAGAAAACAAACACTTTGAGCCGTGAAGATGATATCAATGAAGATCGAAACGTTGGCACGATAAAGAAAATGTTTTTTCTGAAACCTACACCACACCAGACCGCATCTCACGATTTCTGAATAATTTTGAAATATGCTCGTGAGGTCTGCTTTCAATCTTTCATGAGTTTGGTGTTGGATTTGAATCGGTGCCCCAGACAGCGTATATCCCTAACCCACCACTGAAAGTTATATGAAGCTAAAATTAGCTTGATTATATGACCAAATTATAGATTCATCACCTCAGAGATGACACCGAGATTAATTTAAAGTTTAAATGGTAATTTTTCACTCTAAACCCTACACATTCTAATTAATTATTGAACATAATGAAACAATAAAAAATTCTAATCAAAATTTTCAAAAAAAAAAAAAACTAAAATCTTAAGAAGTGATTATTAATAAATAAAGTGAATACAATATATTTCAATAATAAATCAGTGTTATTGTTTAATTTTTTTTTAACATTTGCATTTTAGGAGAGCAGTCAGAAGATTTGTGTATGAAAATCATGGTCTGATGAGACGAATGTACGGAGATGAGAGGCACATATCAGTCCTACGTTCCGAAATTGAATCCAACGACGTTGAATACCAAAGTGAAAAATGGACGCACGATTCAAATTTGAAACATTTCAAGCAGAAAAAGGATGAGTACAAATCGGCCAGTAAATCGACGACTCCACCTCCGTCGACGACGACCACTTCGACGACAACTCAACAGCCGGATATTACAAACAAAACGACGACACGAGAAACGCCATCAACTACCAACCAAGAGAGCACGACAGATTCAGAATTTTCAACAACGGAATTCGACATCGAATCAACGACAGAGTTTTTAACGACAACTCAGAAAACCGAGACTACATCCAAACCTTTGATTTTTCAAGACACATTGGAAAAATCAACAACCACAACTGAAAAAGCACAACTTTTTTACAAGAGTAGAGGAGTGTTAGTACTTTAAATTTATTCACATTAATTAAATAAATTGTTTAAAAATTATTAATTGTTAATAGAAACGCATGTCCAGTGAAGGAGGAAGTTGTAGCGCCTTTCTGGGCAAACAATACACGAGGTGAAGTTTTGGCTTTGCTCAATCTATACCCTTTTGAACAGTACGTCCACTGGGAAAGATGCACGTGAGTAAAAACACAAAATTTAACACACGCAGCGTATCAAAATGTATCAATTGCAGGTTTGAGAATAAACAAATGTTCTGCAGAGAAGGCTGCCGGTGTGAACAACAGTACAGGCTCCATCGTCTCCTAGCGTACGACCCGACTAATGATTGCAGGGGCATCTTTTCGGATTGGTTCAAATTTCCGTCCTGCTGTGTCTGCCGGTGTTACGATCTGCCTGGTGAATTCAGATTGACCTCTCGTTCCCCAAGGAAGCAAAACGAGGTCAAAAATGAAAAAGTAAATAACTAACAAAATATTGTTTTGAGCCAAAAGTTTAAACTTAACATATTTGTAACATACCATGTAAATACTTGTAAAAACAAAGTTTAATATATTTTTAAGTACTTGTATAAATTGTAACATTGATTATTATTTACACCTGTACATATTAAATTAAATTATTTTACTGTTATTTCAATTAAATAAAAATATTTATATTGTTAACAATTATTCTTCTTTCCTGGTACAGAAATGTATCAACTTGGTCATTATTTTAAACAATTTAGTGGCCAAGCAAGCCACCCTTTGGTTATCCTGAAAAACAAGCATAGCCAGGTATACGAGAGACTTCTAACTCAGATGTGACTCCTGGGCATTCAGTTTGGCGAAGCCTTAGGGAGGGTCGGTCTGACTCGGGATGGTACACCGCCACACCTCTACCGAGCTGCATTCTTAGAACTCAGTTCAGGGTTCACCGGTTTTCACCTCATCTACTTTTTTTTTTTTTTACAATGGATACCAGAACTGGAGGAGTTCCCTCCTGAGCACTGCAGCTGTACAGCTTATTGTACCTTATCCCTGGCTCCATATTTTTGGGGGCTCGCAACACAAGTGTGAATTTGAGCCCTCGGTGTGCCGGTGTTCTTCCATCGAAGAAACTCATTTTTGAAGGGGGTCGGGACCAAATTCAGGGTCGCTGAGATCTGATCCCGCTCCTTCCATTGATGAGTGCCATGCCAATTTCTCTCAATTGCGGCCACCGGTCCCCTTAGGCGTCAGAACCCACAACCGCAAGATCTACTAGCCGAGAGTCTGATGCCTTAACCACTCAGCTACCACGGCCCCTCCGGCAAGGGTTTAGTGGAGGCTCCTGTGGCCTTGCATGTACATGGCTTAACTGTTTGCAATTTGACAAGCACTCAGGGTGATTCGCGACAAAGTTGGCTTTGCCTATCTCACCTGTACTACCTCCATAAGTAAGATTTTTGTTATTCTTCACAGATTCTTGGTGGACCCTCTTGTGCTTTTGCAAAAGATATGGTGAGTAAAAGCAGGACTTGTAGGGTACCTGATCATGTTGGGCTGGATGGCACAATCTGGGGAGGGGGGACCCAGGGACCAAAAAACAATATAATAACAGATAAATACTATACACTGGTAGATATACTAAACAAATACAATAAAACGTACATATTTTATATACATAGCATACTATATACTAAACACATAACTAAAAATCATTTTATAAACGGAACAAATTTCACTATTAATGACTAGAGTTTAATACATCTTTCCTTAGGTTACGGACAGATTTATTAAAGAAATCAATATTCTCACATTTATTATTTAGAAATCGTGAGATACGGTCTGGTGTGATGCAGGTTTCAGAAAAACAATCGTGACAACGTTTCGACCTTTATTGAGATCATCTTCAGGGCCTGGGATTTACATATTGTATAAATTCAATTTTTTCCACATCCTACATGTATTTGTTAAATGTAAACAATGTTAGTAAATCCCAGGCCCTGAAGATGATCTCAATAAAGGTTGAAACGTTGGCACGATAAAGAAAATGTTTTTCTGAAACCTACATCACACCAGACCGCATCTCATGATTTCTAAATAATTATCAATTAACAGTCACTAACCACCACATATTCTCACATTTATTTGCTTGCCTTAGTATTCTTAGCATCGGCTGATTTGTAACATAATTTGTGTAACCATGTTTCATATGAAATAGGTCCTTAGACCTTGAATGAAAAGCAGGAGCGTTAAACTGGATTAATGTTAATAAGTAGGAACAACTTATACAAAAAACAGTCACGCACCAATCTTCTAGTGGTGTAATGGTGTGAATAATCTGTGCAATCAGTGCCCTTAGAATTGTTTCATAGGTATGAGAATCCCTATGTATCTTAAATTTATAAGAAACAAATCAGAAAAATTTATAATGTTCATGTTCAATCTGTCCAATTCGGAGCTATAAAAGTGACTCCAACACAGCCATACTCTAATATGCTTCTTACAAAAGAAAAATATTTTCAAAAAGACATATCATTAAAATCACATGAAATTCTTATTATAAATCTCAACATCTTGAGCGTTCATGGTTTTTTGGTTTTAAAAAGCAATTGCATCATTAAAAAGAATATTAAATGGAGTACGTTTTCTGAAATTTGTTGGTCTCTAGGTTTGGAAATAGTAATTTAAATATAGTAATTTTTTCAACTTAAAAAAAAATCAATGTCCTGGCTACTAAAACGCTTATTTCAAGAACGTTTACAGGTTTAGTATTGATCACATCTTATTAGAAATATAACATAGTTTTCAATAGTATCAACGGATTTGTCCGAAACCTTTTTGTTTTGGAGTTATTTGAAGCAAATCTTAAAAAATCAGAAAAGGGGGAATTCTGAAACTGTTGAGATTCGGGCCATAGTTATTAAGAACTTTTTGGTTCCATTTTGAATGTAGAATCTACTGGCAAAGTTTGTTATACGACTAGCCGAACACCCTATATATGGCAACCTGGGTATGGTGAAAAAGGATACTAGGAAGCTGGGTTTGCACTCCCCAGGCACTGCAGCCTTCTGGCTTATTGTACCTTCCTAGTTACTTAATTCAGTCAATAGACTCAATCCTTCTTCTTAGAAGTATCAAGTCATTGACTGTCACTGCTGCAATTTGATTCCCTAAGTTATTTCCGTACTTTAGGTTAAATCTCCATTGAGCTGTTCTTTCACATTCGAATATGATATGGGTGGTTGTTTCCTCCTCCTCATTGCAATCTGCAAATGGGATCATCGCTGTATATACCCATGTTGTGTAGATGTTTTCTCAGATGCCAGTGACCGGTTAGTAGTCCTACCACTCCTCTGAGTTTGGCTCACTCCAGTTGCAGCAGTGCTTTTGCCAGTCTCGGTGAGGGTTGTTTCATCATAAGTTTACTATGTCTAGCACCGCTAGAGTTTATCCACTTCTCCTATTGTATTGTTTGGATCCATTCTGCGATGGAGGATTCTATATTTGTTTTTGTTATCCCAAGAATAGGTTCGGGGCCTATGTATGGTCTTGCAGATCCTCCTCTGGCCAGTCTGTCTGCTTTCTCGTTAACCAAAATTCCCCTGTGCCCTGGCACCCAAAATATCATCAGGTTGTTGTGTTTCCCTGGTTTTGGAGTTTTTGGATGCATTCACTGACTAATTTTGTTGTGATTCTTTTACACGCTAATGCTTTAATGGCTGCTTGGCTATCTGATCTTGAGGATTTTTTTGTCAGTTTAACCTCTTTTGAAATTTTCCAGGGCACAAGCATTGATGGCATGTATTTCCGCTTGAAAGACTGAAGTGTACTTCCCTAATGAGTTTGATTGCTCATGTTTTGGGCTTGTACAGAAAACGCCTGATCCGGTTCCTTCGTTTGTTTTGGAGCATCTTTTCATTGAAACTGATGCTCTTCCTCTCCTTTGTAGTCTGTTGAGACTTTATAAGAAGTTGTGTGGCAACCTGGGACCCATGTTCAATATTTTTAAGTATAAATTCCTTAAATATTAATAAGTTTGTAAAAGTTGACCTACAATTACCAGGAACAAATCCATGCTGAGCAACATCCACCAGACTTAAGAAATTATTTGATATACAATCTGTTATAACCGATTCAAAAAGTTTCGGGATTGAAGATAATTTTGTAATAAGGCGGTAATTGCTGATAAGCGAAGGATTTCCTTTTTTAAAGACAAGTTTTTCTCTCAAAGGATTTAGCAAAAGCATCGGCTATTTCACAGTCATTTTTAATGTAAAAACCATCTTCACTCATATCAAAATAGGATTTCCATGCTGTCGTTTGCGGCCATTTACAAAAGACCAAAAATGTCAAATTACTTGCTATAGAATACTCAGTGGATTGAATAAAACATGAATAATCACAAGCAATGTAATAAGAAATTTAGATTAGTATCACTAGGAAATCTTTTAAAAACTTTATAAGCATGATTCCTTCTATTAATTAGATTTATCGTTTTCTTTTTATATCATGAGGGAAATCTATTGGAAAGAATGACTGAGCAATGTTGACGGTCTGAAACGCAAGGAAGGAATTGTGCCTGTTGAGGATAGGCCATACCTGATTGACACCTGGACACTTGCCTTGTAAATCCCACAACCCGTTTATAGAGAAAAGTTGCTCTGTGACAATCAAGAAGCACCTTTTACAGGGAGCGACATAATGTTTTAAACATAAGTTATGTGGGAGGAAGTTAAATAAGTTAAATCCCCTTGATATTCTTTGATTTATGCCATTACAGCTAATTTTATTATGAAAGTATAAAACTGTAAAACAAATCAATTAATAAAATAAATTCTATTTATAAATTTCCTCTTCTTGAATTATTTAAATTAAATTTGAAAACTTGAGAGCACATATTACAGTTGTTTTTAGAATAAAATTTAACACAATTTACAACAGTCAAAAATTGACAAAGGAAAATAATTCATGACATTTTTGACAGAATCAGAATTAAAATTTCATTTAATTAACACAATTCCTACAATAATTGTATATAAAATTTAAAAAAATTGAACTATCAATCTATTATTATCATCTTACGGTGACAAGGGGTATGGATTTTTTTTTGACAGTTTTATTTTTTTTATCGACAGTGCCTAATCTGATGTACTCTTGCTCGTACGAGAGCAGCCTTTTATAAAATTGTATTACGTCCTGATTGGCCCATACTTGATTAGACTGAAATCCAATTACTCGTATCGAATTTAGACTTTTTGCTCGTGATAGTGCTACATAAGCCTGGCCAGCTTCGAAAGTGTTGTCTAAAGAAATTTCTACACAATCTAACGTCAAGCCCTGGAAAAAAAATTGATATAATACTTGGCTATTATGGGGAAAAAATAAAAAATCTCACTTGTGATTTATGTATTGAGAACGCCCAGGCTAATTTTAAAGGCAACTGTTGCCGCACGTGAACAACGCCGCTAGCTGTTTTAACGCTCCATTTTTCCTGTTTAACCACATGTTTAACGCCGGTTAAAAATTTTACAACAGGCAAACCTAAAAACAATCATTTTAATTACTGAAAATTCTAATTTTTCTGAGGATATTTATTATAAATTAATACCGTTAGAAAATGAATCAATGACACCTCGAGCCCCGTTGACTAAACCTTGTGAAATTGAAATATTTTTAAGGAGCATGACTTGCGATCCTTCTTTAAGTACGAAACGTTTTTCTACAGGGGTGCACTCATCGAGTAACTTTGTCGCTTGTGCTGAACTATCTGTAGCTTCGTAAATTTTAGACGCACCTGAAAACAAATTAAATAATTAAAATTACACATTTGTGAACTGAAAATGAGAAACTGACCAGGGAGTTTTTCTAATTTTGAAGCATTTATTAAATTTGCTTCTTTAGTATGACAGCAAAGTCGGGTCGCGAGTACTCCCTCCTTTTCAATTGATTGAGTTTCAGTTTCTTTAAGTTTTTTAACGGTGTCTTGAGTCACTCTACAAACACAAAATATTAATTAGAAAGCATTAACTAAATTTAAAAAAATCAAACTTACATCCCAAATCGCATGTCATTCAACAAAGAAATAAATTCTTGATCGCTTTGCCTGTGGACTTGCTTAAGATAGAACGTTTTAAACCTACAAGTTTCCCAAGCATCGCTCATAAAGCAAAATTTATTTTTTTCCTTGCTAACAGGAGGTAATTGAAGAAAATCACCACAAATAATCAACTGAATACCGCCAAACGGCTTGTCGTTGTTTCTCACTTGTCTAGCTACCCATTCAATTTTCTGAAAGGCAATATCCAATATTAAACAATGTTTTAAGAGAAAAGTGAACAAGGTTGTACTTGGAATAGTTCAGCTTCAATCATGGATATTTCATCTATAATTAGGTGCTTGCACTTGCGCCAATTTTGTTGAATGAACGGCCTACTGGCTAAATTTAAGCACCGTTCTAATGTCCCTTCACCACTTCCAATCCCTTAAAAATTACTGTATCAAATTAAAAAATTCAAAAAACTTTACAACAGTGTAAAATAATAGTTTACCAGCAAATGAATGAAGTGTAGTTCCACCGATGAGGCATGCAGCAGACCCAGTACTCGCAGTGGCTATGGTAACTGCCGGTTGTAACGAATTTAAAATATGATGGAGTAAAAATGATTTTCCAGTCCCAGCACTGCCTTAAATACATTGAAGGTTAAATTATTAAATTCAGTAAAATATTAAGAAAATGAGTTTTAAGAGTAAAAATTCAATTTATTTCATATTGTCAGTCCTGGAAATACAACCTGTAGTACTCATTAGTTAACACTAATTGCATTAAACAGTTTATATTAAAAAAAAAAAAAATCTGGTCTAGAAAGAAATGGTAGTCTGAAGGAACAAGGTCAGGACCAAAAGGTGGGTGCTTTGAATTTGCAGCCATGTTTTTGAAGAGTAAAACTTTCTTCCTATTCATCATTTCTTATTTCATGTATTTCTCCAAAACTGAAGGTGCATGGTCAGGCCTGCAGGTGGATGCAGTAAATTTCCAATTTGTATGCAAAGATGGTTTTGAAGAAAAATTTGTGTCATGAGCGTGATTCGAACCCATGAGACTCCAAAGGTCTCAGGTTCGAATCCCTTCTTCTCAACCGTCTTTGCATAAAAATTGGAAATAATAAACAGATAACAAATTAAATAATTATAATCAAAGGATGTTACCCTTACATCAAAAATTCCTCATTGCTAATCATATATCATAATGCAATTAAATGATGCTATGAGATTTGTATATTGTCGATGAGGTCATACGTTCATTCTCAATACAAATAGGAATTCACAACTATCACTACTGTATGTAATAGTTATTTATTTAGAAATCGTGAGATGCGGTCAGGTGTGATGTAGGTTTCAGAATATATGTAATAGAACAATCCTGTTTCCTCCAAGAATTGGTACAGGGGTCCCAAATACTTGCTACTGTGCTCAAGCACAATTCTCAAATTGGGTGGCATTCCTACATGCTTTCTATATGGAACAACCAAGGAATGACACTTTTCAATTAGTGGAATCATTAATACTATTCATTTCAATAGCTATCAAGCAGCCTTTCTCTACATGCCAGACATGCGGGTTTTGGCCTGAAAGTAAGCGAGTAAGCGTCCATGCGTCAACCTCACATGACCTATTCTTAACCGGGTGAACATGACCCTTTTACAGATTTCATCGTAAATCTATTCGAAGGCTTGAACTATTAATTTTAGAGGGAAAAACATTGAAAAGAGCTTTTAAATTTTCTTTAAGAAGGTACCCTTTTAGAACTTTCAATTTAATTGTTATTTTAAAAAACACTAAATTTAAAATCTGTAAAAAAATGAGTGGTGATTAGTGACCGTTAATCGATAATTATTCAGAAATCATGAGATGCGGTCTGGTGTGATGTAGGTTTCAGAAAAACATTTTCTTTACTCGCAACACGACACGAAAGAATGGCACAATTACAAAGAAGACAAACACTTTGAGCTCTGAAGATGATCTAAATAAAGATTGAAACGTTGGTATGATAAAGAAATGTTTTTCTGAAACCTACATCACACCAGACCGCATCTCACGATTTCTGAATAACTAAAAAAAACTAAATTTGCCAACCCATTGGAAACAACTAAAATCTCGGCAAATATCATAAAAACTTCTTCATTTAATACACTTTCTAGCAGTATACCCTATTCTTTAATCACATTTAACAAAAATGCAGAATTTTATGCTAAAAAAAAAAAAGAGTATGGTATTGGTGTAATGTAGGTTTAGGAAAACATTTTTTTTTACAAGGATTCACAATAGCAGAGGTCATATCAACCCTCGGGGTGCCAGTGTTTTTGAAAAAAAGCCCATTTGTAAGTATGTCGGGTTTGAATGCAGGGCCGCTGGATTTGAACCCAGGACCTTTACCTTACAGTGATGAGCACCATGTCAACGTCTAAACCGTTGCGGCCACCGACGCCCCATTTTCTTTATTGTGCCAGCATTTTGATCTTTATTGAGGTCATCTTCAGGGCCTGGGATTTATAAACATTGTTTAAATTACACAAATAACATAATGTATGAATTTGAATTTATGCAATGATATACACCAATCTATCACTAATAACATCAATTCTATAAAACACAGGCAAACCAACATACATATCTATTCCATTCGTTCACGGCCCATCACACAAATTAAACAGATTTCTCTCTTCTGATAACTTTAAAATAACCTTCATAAACTATAAAACTAATCACACCCTTCTTCCCCAAATTAACAATCCCACACCAATAACAAATAAGTCTGATGTGATTTACAAAATTGATTGTATAAATTGTCCAGCAACATAAAAATATTACACAGAACAAAATAAACTTTTTAGAAATGGTTTACATCAACAGAGATAAACACAGCATCAATTACAGAAAAGACATGTACAGTCAGTCGCAGCTATGCTAATATCATTAATCAAATTCAATATCAATAACAAACATATAACACACATAACATATAATACAACCAATTAAACCACAACATAATCTAATTCTTCGACAATTTGTCTCTCCTTTCCCTAATCTATAATAATCCTGAAAGGCTAACCAGACCCAAACGACAAACTGTTACCAGTTTTTTCCCATTGTCGGCTCCTTTCACCACAAAGAAACCAACTCCTCATAGAAAAATGGATTTCTATCCCTACTTCCTTCCCCCTCCTTCAAAATCAAACTATAAACAAAAAACATTATCTCACGGACACTAAATACGACAAACAACAATGACACATCTACACAAAAAAACATTGAGAGAATACAAATACTTTGATTAAACCTAAAAATTCTATATTGTGTACATCATTGTACAAATTCATATTCATGTCTTACATATATTTGTATAATTTAAACAATGTTGTAAATCCCAGGCTTTGAAGATGATCTCAATAAAGATCAAAACGTTGGAACGATAAATAAAGTGTTTTTCTAAACCTACGTCACACCAGACTGCATCTCACTATCTCTAAATAATCAATAAAAAAATAAAATTGACATCCATTGGCACTGAATACAATTATTGATTGAGAACAAATGGAACAAATAATAAAAAAAACTCTTCATTTATATTAGAGAGAGTTAATTTTAATATACAGGGTGTCCCAGTTCCTTCTGACGAAACGCAGGGAATCGATTCTACTCTTCGTTTGGAGCAAAAAATGCCCAGGAGAAAATTTTCGGAAAGTTCTCTATTTTGAAGATATTCGTCAATTTAGGTTTTTTCAACCTTTTACTACCTTATCACATAAAAACGCTTACAACTTCCAAAATGTTTAGGCTACAACAAATTGAATTACACCATTTGAAAGAACGCTAAATTTGCTGTAAGATAAATTTGCAATAATCTGAATGGCAAAATGTTAGCCATCAGTCAAACTTCGATCCCGTACACCATTTTTCATTCAACCGGTCAAACAAGTGTCATTTTTATTTTACAAAGCGAGTTTTAATTGATTTATTTCTACCCACCCTTCAAATTTACCTTAGCTCACGTTTTCAAACATTCAATTGTTATTCAACCCTACTAGAACGTTATTTAAAAACCTGGGTATAACAACATAAAGCATATTAGTTGAAACAGTTTTGGTAAAATTTGACAAGTTGTAGGTATTTTTTTGTAACCTCAGTAGAACGTGCAATCATGATCAAAATTTTAAATTTTGTAATTTTGACATGCTCCAGCTGATATTGGCTAACATTTTATGTCATTCAGATTATTGCAAATAGAATATTTTACAGCAAATTTAGCGTTCTTTCAAATGGTNAATAATAAAATCATACATCACACCTGTAAAGAAAACATTGCTGCCTTGAAGTACTGCTTGAAGAACTCTTTCTTGTTCTTCAGTCAGGGATGTGAGTGGTTGTAAGCATATTCGTTTTGATTCCTGAAAATCATAAATAATATTAGTTGTCAAATTTACATAATATAAAATATTATTTTTTCACTTTTGTCAATCCTTCTTGATTTCGTTTCCTCTTTGGAGTCACGTCTGTATTCTGCACCCTGTTGATATCTTTAGTACTGATCGGGCTGATTTCTTCGGTCGACTGTTGTTTGACGGATAGTAGCCTGTCTCTTATCGGGACCTTCGGAGAGCTTTTCGAACTGCTCAGCTTGACGAATAGAGTCTTGAGGAAAGAAGAGAGCAACGTGGGAGGGGCGTTGGATATAAAAAGATTTATACACTGATCTGGGAACTTAAAAGTCGTCTTTCCCTCGTGGGCGAATTTCTTGTGTATTATGACCCCGTTGAGCAAGAACTTCTGGTTGAAATCCCTCGAGTTGACTTGTATAAAAATGTCCCTGAACTCGTTTCTCATTATGTGTACCGAAACCGTTTTTATTTTGGTCGTTTTGAGGACCGTACCGTTTTTCGACAAATGCTCTAAAGCACAGCTGCAATTGAGAGCTGTAGCACTGTTTGCCATGGTCAAAACCGTTTATTCAAAAAATAATAATTAACAACTACCTTACTGACAATAAAAACGAACTTTTAATAGTTAATGACAGTCAACGAACTAAAATGTTTGACATGTCAACGAACGAACGAGAACTGCGAAGGGGGCGAACGGTTTCCCCAAGCGCGCAACTTTCATTCTATGCCTTCTAAATTGACTTCCATTGACAACGAATACAATTATTGACTGACAACAATTGGAACAGATAATAACAAAAGCTCTCAATTTATGTTAGAGAGAGTTAATTTTATTATAGAAATAATAATAAGAAAAACTGTTTAAAAAAAACGATTAATTGTAATTATGTTAATTGCTAATTTACATAAAAATGGAATATAATAACAATAATCAGCCCTAATTTTTACGGTTTTCATCAAAAATCTACTCGCAGGTCTTGAAATTTGCCATTGACAACGAATACAATTATTGAGTGACAACAATTGGAACAGTTAAAAACAAAAGCTCTCCATTTATGTTAGAGAGAGTTAATTTTATTATAGAAATAATAATAAATATTATAATAAGAAAAAACTGTTAAAAAACTATTAATTTAATTATGTTAATCGCTAATTTACATAAAAACGAAATACAATAACAATAATCAGCCCTAATTTTTACGGTTTTCATCATAAATCTACTAGTAGGTCTTGAAATTTGCATTTTAGGTAAATAAAAAAACTAAGAATCTTTCAAAAACTGTTAAATTTAACATCTGTTAAAAAATACAACTAAATTTGATTGGAAACAATTCAAAACGACAGATTTTATAAAATCTTTTTCGCCTAATACACTTTTTAGCGGTATATCCTTTTCTTTAATTATTTCGGCCTAAAATTCAGAAATTTTATGCAAGAAAATAAAGAAATAAAATTGACATCCATTGATAACAAATTCTATTATTGATTGAGAAGAAATGGAACAGATGATAACAAAAGCTCTCCATTTATGTTAAAGAGGAAGAGAGTTAATTTTATTGTAAAAATAATAATAAATATTATAATAATAAAAAAACTGTTAATTGTAATTATGGTAATTAAATAATGTAATCTTAACATTCTTTTAATTGCTTTTTTATTTTGTTAATTGCTAATTTACATAAAAATGAAATAAAAACAGTAATTTTAAATCACTGTGTAACTTGTATGATTTTTGTCATAAATCTACTTGTAGGTCTTGAAATATTCATTTTAGGGTAAATGAAAAAATATGTAAAAACACTTTAAAAAAAATTAAATAAATAAATTTAAAAAAGTGAAAAGTGTTAGATTTTCTTTAAGAATGCACCCTTTTAGAACATTCAATTTAACAAACACTAAATCTTTCAAAAACTGTTAAATTTAAAATCTGTAAAAAAAACTAAATTTGCAACCCCATTTGAACAATTCAAAGCTTGGCAAATTTTATAAAAACTTCTTCATTTAATTTGCTTTCTAGCGGTATACCCTATTCTTTAATTACATTAAATCAAAATGGAAAAATTTTATGCTAGAAAATAAAGAATTAAAACTGACATACAACAAATACAATTATAGACTGACAACAAATGGAACAGATAATAACAAAACCTCTCAATTTATTTTAGAGAGAAAGTTAAATTTATTATAGAAATAATAATAAATAGTATAATAAGAAAAAACAGTTAAAAAACTATTACTTGTAATTATGTTAATTAATTAATCTAGTAATATTTTTTAATTGATTTTTATTTTGTTAATTGCTAATTTACATAAAAATGAAATATAATAACAGCCATAATTTTTACAATTTTCGTCAAATCTACTTGGTCTTAAAATTTGCAGTTTAGGGAAATAAAATTTAAAAAAAGCATTAAAAAGAGTGTTAAATTTTCTTTACAAAGTTGCCCTTAAGATCTTTCAATTTAATTTTTCTTAAAAAGAAAAAATTTTTTAAAAAAATTAAAAAACAACCTTTCAAAAACTGTAAAATTTAAAATCAGTAAAAATAAATAAATAAAATAAATTTGCGACCCAATTGGAAGCAATTAAAATCTTGACAAATTTCATATAAACTTCTTCATTTAATACACTTGCTAGCCTAATTATGTTGAACCAAAATGCACAAATTTTATACTAAAAATTAAACTGACAGCCATTTACAATGAATTGATTATTGATTGAGAAGAAATAGAACAGATAATAGCAAAAGCTCTCTATTTATGTAAGAGAGAAAGAGTTAATTTTATTATATAAATAAAATAAATATTATAAGAAAAAACTGTAAAAAAAACTGTTTATTATAATTATGGTAATTAAATGATGTCATCATAACATTCTTTTAATTGATTTTTATTTTGGCAATTGCTTACCCTAGAATCCCATAAATTTGTAATAATACAAAAGTTGTCGGTTACTTTTATTAACATAAAAATTAAATATAATAACAGTATTATTCTAAAACGTGAATAACTAAATAATAGAACAATATAAAAAGACTGTTACTTCAATTTTTTGGGCTTATGCGAACAAACTGAAAAGCTTTGAGATTTACCCAAGCCAACTTCTATTAGAAGAGATCTTGGTGTCAACTTTGCTAGTAATCTTGCCTTTGCTTGGTAATTTTTGGTTTCTTTATCCAAAGTACCTGCCAGTTCAAAAATTCTTCTTGCTATGTGCATCTATATAATTCATGAATTTGCCATAGTCATCTGGAATCTGCACTACTATACTGATATAAATTCTTTCATATTATATTTCAAGTTAGACTGTCACAATGATAAATCATGCTTACACTAAATCATACATCAATATTCCAGATCTTAGCTGCAAAATAAAGTATTGAAAATATTTTTATTTTCAAATTAATTTCTAGATTCCCCAGCAATCCTAGATAAACTGAATTTTTATCACGACAGAAATCAGAAAAATATTTTTTATTGAATATAAAGGAACAAATTTTTTCAGTGCACTCCCCCCTGATACAATGCGTTTTTTTTTAAACCCAAAATTAAACTGAAAATTCTAGAAAGGTGCCTTTTTAAGGAAAATTTAACTCTTTTTGATTTTTTTTTCTTTCCAAAAATGTATTTAAGACCTATGAGTAGATTTATGATGAAAACCATAAGTAGGGAAAAAAACAACATAAAATGTTGAATATCTGTGAAAAAAAGTGACCGTTAGTCGATCTGTGAAAGGGCTGAGAATCGGTTTATACGAACTTTTTTGTCAATCTGGAAATGTGAAATTCACTGGTAAAGTTTGTGAGGCGAGCAGCCTGTATTGTAGAGTGAAATTAATGAAAAATATGTCAGCAGATGAAAACACAAATGACGATTTATGAAATATGTATTATTATTTTTCTTTTAAGCGTAATTTCAGGAAATTTAGACATGTATTCAGCAAAAGTATACAAAAAAAGACTTGTTGTATTAACCAAGAAAATATCAGAAAATAATTGTTATCGGACGCAGTGTAACACCCACTGAATTCTTTACTTTACAGAAGCTACAGAGTTTTTGCTTTTTATTAAAAAAAATATATATATGTATGGTTTAATATGTATTTAAATACACATAAACATTTTTTATCTAAATATATTGTTAGAATAAACATATTTTTAGAGTTTACATTTTTTCAAGCTTTATAGCTATCAATAATGTACTATGCTGTTAAAAATAATGCTTAGTATTACCTACAATTAAAATGTAAATAAATCAAAATCAGAACAAAGAAATAAAATAAAAATTCATTAGCAAAATAAAGTTTATTTTTAGTTAGTGGTGATTTTAAAGCAAAAAGCACATGTTATAATTTATGCCTTGCTAAATTAATTATCAACTGCTTGATGTCATTTCTCTTTCTTGCTACTTGGTATTCTCTGATCGTATCCAACGTATCCAGAGTATTGTGACGGAACAAATGCTGAAGAACATTATCAAGGTTGCAGAGGACGAAGACACCACAGTCGTATGAGTTGGTCTGCTGTAAGGAGTTAAGCGTTTTGAATTCGTAGTCACCGTTCAGTTCGAGGTATTCAGACAACTTCGCTGAAAGTAGTTTAGCAGGGCTGTAGTTGGACCCTTTGGACGAGTCGATGTGATAGAACGTACGGACCGTCTTGCAGAAAACCAAAAGGCTCCAGTGCGAACCGCCAGGCGTATTGGGGTTTTCGCAATCGTTTAACGGCATCACAGCGACATTCTTATCCTTAAACTGTAACGGATCAAGGAACACGGGGAACTCGGACAATGGCGAAAGCTTGAGGCACTGCGTGACTTCTGGCCGGATGAAACAAAACATTGTCTTCCCGTAAACCTCCTCTTCTAAATACTCAAGATAAAATCCTATTATGGTATCGTTAAGCCAATGAGGACCTTCGAGCAATTCGACGTCCGACTCATAAATTATAGTGTCATGGTAGCTCAAAACCACTGTCTCACCTCTAGAACTCATCTTATAAAAATGCTACACCTTCAGGTCACGACATTCTACACCTTCATCCATAAAAATCCCATCTCGATTCAACTAAAAACCTTTCATTCTCCTCGTATAATCATTTTAACCGATTCTTCTCTTTTGAAGGTTTGTTAAAAATGTTTGTTTTGTGTGGGAAGTCTTCAACTTAGAACAGCTGTACCATATCAAACCAAACTCATGTGACATCTATATCCCTCTATTACTAAACAACTAAGAGGAGCAACATACTAAACATACTAAATTAGAAAATTGATCATTATTAAATGATATACATGCTGAATATTATCATTAAATAAGTCAAATTTGTTTTTGTAGTAACAATAAAACACTTGCAAAAAAAGAAATATCAGGGTTAATTTTTTTTTTTTATAAATAATATTAATTTTTTTATTATAGATTAAATTTAAGTGTAAAAACGATATGGTTCGTTTCAAATGATGTAATTATTTTTATTAAATGTAATCCTCTCAGTTTGTAATTTTTTAGAAAGTACCTCAAATTTTACCTCGCGCATGATTGCTCCGAGAAAATAGATAACCTTTAGTCAACATTCAGCCTGCGTTGGCTTAGGTTTGGTAGTTTTTTTAAAAGCTGATTTTTAAAGCACGGTCGGTGTTGGATTTTTGAAAATCGGCAGAATTTTTATTTATTTGGATCCGTATAGTCTCGCTCGTCCGTTTTCCGAAACAACATGTCATTCGCCGGATTACGAGGAAAGGGATTATTTGTGTGCCGAAGGCCGATGGCTTTATCGAAATTCTTATCAACCGTTTGCTGCGACCAAATTCGAATCTCTTATCTCAAAAACAGGTACAGGTAATGACAACTGATTCTCGACCGGCTTATAGCCAGATCACAAGATTTCTTTGTGCTAGAAATAAAATTTGACCTGATTTTTCCAACACTTTAAAAATAATTCTTTCTTATCCCTTATCAATGTCAATCAAACCAATGTTTGATTAATTTCTCCTGTATCATTCAGGCTTTCTTCCTTTAAAATCATTTTAGAGATTTCTCTGACAATAAAAAAAAAAAATTCAAAACATTTGATATTTCGAATTAACACTGATACTACATACTGTAGAAAAATACATCAAAAATTAGTTAAATTGACTCATCTATTAAAAATTTACATAACAATACATATTTCCATTTTAATGTAATTTTTAGCATAGTTTGAATTATATTTATTTGATATTAATTATGGATTGATTTAAATCTCTGTCATAATAGCTATTGTCGGCTGCATGGATCCCGGTAGCTGCAGCATGTCTGTAGCTTGTACTTCAGCTTCAGAGTGACTCATAATCTTAATAATCTCATGTAATATTAGTTTAAATTTATTTATATTTCTAGCTTGTCTATTTGTATTCTTTATTTATCAGCTGAAAAACTGATACCTGTCTCAATAGATTAGGTTTTATTGTACCTGATCGGTAGAATTTAGGAGTTTCAATTTCTCTTTTGTTTTAAATAGAAGGAAATAAAGTGAAAAATGACTCAGCTTCCAGTTAATCTAGTAGATGAAATCAGTTATTTTTCAGACAACTTGTGCAAATGTGTCAAACTGACCAAATGCTTGATCAGCTGGATGGAATCGCAGTCATAATAGCACCTCCATTGCTTTGTACCTGTACGTTCAAGGAACTCCCTAATAAATTGTATTTTATGATTAGGTCTAATTGTAACAATTAATTGGTATTATTTATGAAGGAAATGAAGTAATTTTCTTCTTTATCTATTTGTATATTTGATATCAGGTTGATCTGTTGTCGGCATGGATCCGGTCACGACAGCATGTCTTTAGCTTGTACCTCTGTAGCTTCAGGGTGTCTGTCATATAATCTTAATAATGTAATTCTTAAGTTTCTAGCTTATCTATTTGTATTCTGATTTATCAGGTTTTCAACTGATACTTGGCTCAACTATAGATTAGGTTTTATTGTTACTGATCGGTAGTATTTAGAAGTTTCGATTTCTCTTTTGTTTTAAATAGAAGGAAATGAAGTCAAACATGTCTCAGCTTCCAGTTAATCTAGTAGATAAAGTCAATTATTTTTCAAACAAATGGTGTAAATGTGTCAAATTGACCGAATACTGCCTACACCGGGAGTGTGATTTTCGAGTCTGCCAGCAGTTTACTGTAGCAAAGCATTGCCGGTGGACTACGAAAAGCAAATAGGCTCAACTCAGCACATGTTTGTATGCACATATGTACATACATGTGCAGATTTGAGCCCGTATAAATCCAAATCCATTTCATCTTGCCGACAAAATTCATTATTTATTTTTATTTGATGTCGGGGGTTGGTCTACTATCGGCTGGATGGAATTCCCATCATAATAGAACCTTAGCTTTGTACGTAGAGAGTATGTCCCTAAAAAATCATATTTTATGTTTAGATCTAATTTGTAACAACTAATCGGTATTATTTAAGAAGGAAATGAAGCGAAAAGTGATTGAGCTCAGCTTTTTTTGTTTCTCCTGTCACAAAATCCTTGGTTTTCAAACTATATTCTGTTTTATCATCTTCCAGACAAAATTCATTATTTTCTTCTTTATCTATTTATACATTTGATGTCAGCTGCATAGATCCGGTCACAACAGCTTGTACCTCTATAGCTTCAGAGTGTCTTTCATATAATCTTAATAATATAATGTAATATTAGTTTAAATTTATTGACATTTCTTGCTTATCTTTTTGTATTTTTCATTTATCAGTTTTTCAACTGATACCTGGCTCTACAGTAGATTAGGTTTTATTGTTGTTGATCGTAGTGTTCAATTTGACTTTTGTTTTAAATAGAAGGAAATGAAGTCAAAAATGTCTCAGCTTCCAGTTAACCTAGCAGATAAAATCAATTATTTTTCAGACAACTGTGTAGTTGTATCAAACTGACCGAACACTTGTTCACTTTACTAGGTCCGTCTGATAGGTTGATCTGTTTGGATTGTCAGCTGGGTGGAATTCCAGTCATAATAGCCTCTCTGTAGCTTTGTACCTTGTAGATTCAATGAACAATCTGTAATAAATCGTAGTTTATGATTAGGTCTAATTGTAACATTTATGAACGAAATGAAGTGAAAAGTGATTGAACTCAGCTTCTATTTGATATTTGTTGACCCAAGGACGCTTACTTTTTGGCTAAAGCTCACCGGATGGAATCACAGTCGAAACTGCCTCTATTAAATCATAATTTATGGAAATGAAGTAAAAAGTGATGGAACAAAGCTTTTAATTTATATTCAGGTCAAAATCCTTGTTTTTTGTCTATATTCCACTTCATCATTATGCATTGATCTAATTATTTGATGTCAGGGATTAAATCTGTTTGGTTAGGTGAAGCCCCTGGCTCAGTAGTATCTCAGTAGATTTTTACCTCTAGATTAAATATTCTGACTGACATTCCTAATTGCTTTTGGGTCTTATTGATCGTATTTATTTATTTATTTTTTAATTTAAACGAAAGAAACGAAAATTAATAAAATCCAGCTTCCTTTTAATCCAGAAGATTTTTATATTTTTCAAACTTCTTTCTCCTTAAGTTTATCTTCTCTATTTTACCTATTTATTTATTTGATGGCAGGGCTTAATGTAGTTGTGGTTGGTAGAAGTTTCAGCAGTATCTCAGAAGCATCAAAACATCGAGGTCTTGGTTTTGAGAGATCTCCTCAAGCCCAGGATTGCACTATTTGGTGTTTAAAATTTCTATTATGTTAAAACACATTTTGTGACTTCATAATTCAAAGGTCCAGAGGAAAATCGATGAGTCAATTTTTTCTGATTTTGAGATTTACACGCCATTTGTTTGGTCGATGGATGTGGTTTTAAGATATCTACATAAAAATGGTGAGAAAGATGCAATTTCAAAAATTATGGTGTTAATGTTGTTAGATAAATGTCTAGGAAACTGGAAATTTTGTTTAATGTCTCTTATAAAATTGAAACTCATGGTCACTCGTTTTCTCCTTGGGCCCTTCAATTGATGACAATCAATGAGGAAGATTTATCTTTGCTCTGACCTATCTGAGTCTGCAGATAGGTTTATGCCTGTTAATCATTTCATTTGTATGATTATTTAGATAACAGTCCAATAAGTTTTTCTTTCCTTAATTTTCTCAATTAATTGTGATACCTAATGTGCTGTTATGTTTCTTTAGGGATAATTTTTATATTGACTCTGGAATTAATGAGTTAGCCAGGGTACATCAAACTTTTTATCATTTGTTTTAGACCTCTGATCCAAATCGGTTTTGAACTTGCAGATCCAAGATTTTATTCATTCGATCAGAACTTGTTCCCTTTTGAAAAGACATTCGAAATTATTGCGACGTTTTCATAACATAAAGTGAAGAATTTACAGCCTCTTACAAATTTTTTTTTATCAATAGGCATAAGCAATATTGACAGTTTGATAAAATATATTTTATTTTATGGGAGATAAATTAAACAAATAAGAATTAATTGGTCACATAATGTTTAAAAGCGCAGATAGAACTATTGGTGAATTTTGTCTTTAATCAATTTAAATTTAAATGAAAGATGTACATAAAAACAATATTTTTGTATTTATTTTAGGTAAACATTACATTTTTTAATATTGTTGGTACAGTTTATCTTTGTTCCTTTTTTTTTTCCGCTGTGTAAATGGATATCGTGCTTTGCTTGTTTACTAACAATTTAATTTCATTTATCTTTAGTGTCTGAGTGAGAGATTAGAGTTGCGTTGAGCATTATCAATGTCATTCATGGTACATGTGATTCAGACTAAGAGAAAAATTGGATTTTAATCACCACTTCATTAAGTACTCACTGTGAAATTAATTTTTTCGTGATTGTCTTTTGATGGTTTACACAAGTTTGATTTTTAAAAATAGATTTTTCCTGATAATAAAAATAATGTAATGTTATAAATTATTTGTAATATCAAATTTAGATATTACTGAATAACTTTTTTCAATAAATTAATCTTTATATAGTTGAGATTACAAAAAGAGATATTTACGGCTTTAAACCATTAACTGGTTTTTTTTTTTTTTTTTTTTTTTTTTTTTAATGAATGTAGATAATAGGCAAAACTGATCATGACAATCCAGCTTTGTATTTTGAAGGAACTTTCCTAAACTTGTCAAGCAGTTCTGGAAAAGAAATACTTATAGAAAACAATGCTCTAAGATCAGAGAAAAGAATTTTAATAAACCATACTTAATTAAAACTTCATGGAGGAAATGAGAAATTTTGTAGGGAGTATGGAGGATGAATAACATAGTATAACTTTTGAAAATAAAACCTGACTCATCTGTCAATGATTTTTGATGCTTGGTTATTTTTCAAAAAAGAAACAGCACTGAAAAGTGCAAATGTTTTGATTACAAATAAACTTTATTGCAGGAGAAAAATTAAACGACGGTGATTTATTAGCTGAAATTGAAACAGATAAGGCGACCATGGGGTTTGAAACACCAGAAGAGGGATATCTGGCCAAAATATTAGTTCCAGCCGGTACCAAAGATGTTCCTGTTGGAAAAGTAATCTTGTATAATTTAAAATTATCGAGTCAGTTTTACAATCTGTTTTGTATTTTAGCCTGTATGTGTGATTTGTGAAAATGAGACAGACATTGGATCTTTTGCCAATTTTGAAGATAAAAGTGGTAGTTCTGTGCCGAAAATGCCAGTCTCTCCGACTCTTTCAACACCATCAACACCACCGCAACCGCCAACTCCTACTCCTTCCACTGTCACTCCAGCTCCTGCCACTCCAGCTCCTGTCACTCCAGCTCCTGTTACTTCAAGAGCTTTGACTGAAAAGGGAAGAGTGTACGCCAGCCCGATGGCTAAAAATTTGGCAGAAAAGAAAAATTTACGGCTGGAGGTATTTATTGTTTAAACAGATGTTGTGTTCATGAAGAAAATCATTTGGATTTTGTAGGATGTTGGTAAAGGAAGCGGAATTTATGGTTCGGTGAAAGTTGCAGACTTGCAAATGTTAAAGGACAAAACAGTCTCACAACAACTACAGAGTGCCACTTTTCCACCTTACGAAGATCATCCTATATCTGGAATGCGATCTGCAATCGCCAAAAAACTTCTACAATCTAAACAAGTATTTTAAATATATTATATATACCATGTAATTATGACAATTATATTTTAAACGTAATTTCAGATATCTCCACATTTTTACACTAGTGTCGAATGTGTTATGGATGAAGTTCTGTTATTAAAATCAAAATTGAATGCTGTTTTAGAAAAAGAAAAACTTAAATTGACAGTTAACGATTTTGTTGTGAAAGCTACTGCTCTTGCAACGAAGAAAGTCCCTGCAGCCAATTCTGCTTGGCTGGAAACAGTCATTAGACGGTATTAAATTATAAAAAACAAAAGATTATAAACTAAACATTTCAGCCTTGAACTAAATGTTATATTTCTAATCAATTACAGATATAAGTCTGTTGATGTGTGTGTTGCTGTGAGCATAAAAAGCGGTTTGATAACTCCCATCGTTTTTGGAGCAGACACTAAAGGTTTAATTGAAATAAGCGAAAACATCAAAACTTTATCTAAAAAAGCCAGAGATGGGACTCTGCAACCGCAGGAATATCAAGTAAATCAAATACAGTGATGTACGTCTATTCAATTTTAATTGTTTTAATGCCAACAGGGCGGAACCATAACTGTATCCAATATGGGCATGTATGGCGTTCTTCATTTCTGCCCTATAATCAATCCTCCACAGACCTGCATCTTGGGAGTTGGATCAAGTCATGAGAAATTTGTACCTGTCAACAAAGTCGGGTAAAATTTAAAGTTTCACTGGATATAATTATTGCAATGTAACATAAGTTTGTAGTGTTTTAAAATTAATTATGTTTCTTTTTTGTGCATATTTTGACGCCTAATGTGCCAAATTTTCAACCGATTTGTTGTACTTTTTCTCCAAAAAAAAGAAAGGAACAGTAGATAGAGAGACAGATAAATGGTAATATCGGCAAAAATAACACAATAGGAAAAAGTAAACCTCTGTATTTGGTTAGCTACGTTCAGAAGTTGAAATTTTGAAGCACTTGGGCAAAAAATACCCATACGAATATCAACATTTCTCAGAAGTATCTTCGACACTTGGATTCCTTGAGACAGAAGATAGCAAACATTTGCTAAACTACATGTAGGGGGGGGGGTGAAGTTGGTCATACAGGATAACTTAACTAAATAACCTGTGGGGCATCAGTGGCCTCAATGGTTTAGGCGTTAACACGGCGCTCATCACTATAAGGCAATGGCGTCGGCAGCCCTTATTTACATATGGGCTTTTTGTTCAAAAACTACATTTTCATAACTTCTCAACAAGAGTCTATGGGTTATCGGGATTTGGACACAGAACTGCTAGGGTGTCAACAAGTTAAATGGCCACCGCAGTACTTTAAATTAAACTACATATATCATCACATCACATTCCACACATCAAACATTTTCACATAGTCTAATTTTTCAACAATTTAGCTTTCCTTTTCCTATTTAACCCCGTCTGTGTAATCCTGAAAGGATAATCTGGCCGAACCATTACCAACTTTTTTTCCCTTCGTCGGCTCTTTTCACCTCAAAGAAGCCGACGCCTTATACAAAAATGTCTTTTCTATACTGACTTCCTTCCCCACCCTTTCAAAATCCAACGTATATAAACATAAAACACCAATATCTCACTGGCACTCTCAACACAACATGCAAGAATGGCACAATTACACAGAAAACAAACACTTTGAGTGAGTAGAAATTCTTTGAATGAATATAAAAAATATATTTTGCATTGTATAAATTCACTTTTTTCAATATAGATAACATACATATATCATCACATCACATTCCACACATCAAACATTTTCATATAATCTAATTTATTTAATGATCAAATATGAAACATGTTTTTGAAAAGTGTGACAAAATCCAACCATTTTCATATAATCTAATTTTTCAACAATTTAGTTTTTCCACATCCTATATGTATTTTTTAAATTTAAACATTGTTTGTAAATCCCAGGCCCTGAAGATGATCTCAATAAAGATCGAAACGTTGGCACAATAAAGAAAATGTTTTTCTGAAACCTACATCACACCAGACTGCATCTCACGATTTCTGAATAATTATCGACTAACGGTCACTAATCATCACACATTTAAATTAAATATTTAGGGAATTATTATTATTAACTGGACAAGGAACACCAAACACATTGATAATGAATAATTTAATATAAATTTTGTCAACAACAATTTCACAAAAAAAAATAAAATAAAATAAAATAACGCCCTTAAAAATTAATAATAATAATAATGGAAAAGAAATTGCGAACCATCGAACAATCAAATACAGATTTTTTTGGGGGAAAAAATCATGTGACAAAAAGCGTAGAAACAAAATGTCTGTTGAACCGACTGGGTCTGTCTACACTCTACACTTGCTGGTTTTAATGTCACTGAAATTGTTGAATCATTTTGTTCAATTTTGGCAAGGCTCTCCAAAAATAATTATTTGTTGGCTAAAATTGTACGTTAAATTAAAATTAATATTAAATTCACTAATTTCGTGGTCCACTTGACCAATTAATACATTACAATTAATTAAGGTTTTTAGTTGAGATAAAAAAGTGAATGGCATGAGCAGGATTCGAACCCACGATCTTCGGCTAGATACGCCGCTGCTCTACCACCTGAGCTATCGTGACCTCGATCCACTCGGACATCAACTTCCCATCTCAACCCCACCTTTTGAGTTTTCCCTCCTTGAAAAATGGCAAAAAGGAGGGAAAACTCAAAAGGTGGGGTTGAGATGGGAAGTTGATGTCCGAGTGGATCGAGGTCACGATAGCTCAAGTGGTAGAGCAGCGGCATATCTAGCCGAAGATCGTGGGTTCGAATCCCGCTCATGCCATTCACTTTTTTATCTCAACTAAAAACCTTAATTAATTGTAATGTATTAATATTAAAAGTGTGACCTGTACATAGTTGTATTTTTTATTTGAGGAAATTGCATATGTTTTATAAAACAAGTTTTATTTGTTCTTTTACATTGTTTCTCAGGCACTTGTATTCACCTCTTTTTTTTCTACCCTCCCCCCAGGCTTATAAGCCTAAAAGTAATTTATTAGGAACAGGAAAATTTGGTAGTCCTGGTTCGACTCCTCTCTGGACTCATTTTTCCAAAATTCTTCCCAAAAAATATTTTCTAAGGAGCCGCACAAAAGAGCTAACAAATTTCAGTGAGGAACTTCTTGTATTTCCTCATACAAAGTCAAAAAAACTACGGACCAATATCCACCGTCAACTTTATACAAACATCTCAAATTTGACTTTTATTTAAAAAAAAAAATTTTTTGATTTTATTCTATGTATGATGTATATTTTTATGTATGTATGTATATTTATATTTTGTTTTGTATTTTAGGGTAGTTAAAAACGTTATGGTTGTTACGCTGTCTGCTGACCATAGAGTGGTAGATGGAGCTATAGCTGCTCAGTGGCTGCGAGCTTTTAGGGAATTTATAGAAGATCCCCATAAAATGCTTTTGTTCGTATATTCTTTATTTGTTAGAATATAATACAAATTTATGTATATATATATATATATATATATATTAGTTGGTTATTAACTAGAGTAATAATTTTAATTGGAATATTATTTTTATGCAAAGTGTGGTTAAGTTGAACAATTAATGTCAAGAACGGGACGTCGTGGGTTCTTTTTCCATTCATAACACTAATTTTTCAACTTAACCTGCTTTTTATTAAACAAAATAATAAATAAATTCATTAATATAACAATTAAAAAAATAAATAGTTATTTTGTAATTCTATTTATTGTTTCAGATAATTATTTGGGGCTATTGAAAAAATTCTTTCGTTCAAAAAGAAGAGATTGCAACTAGAATGACATGCACAAGCGATGACTTTGACTACTTTCGTCAAAAAAAAGAAACCAGACTGTGAAAGTGCAGATCTTGCCTCATGAATGCCAAACTAGATTTTATGTTTGTTTCAAATACTCGTAGGCTTGTGTATAAGTAAACAAGTGGTATTTATATTGATTATTAAAAATAAAGCTTGTTTGGTATTTCTGTTAATCCTTTTTATTGAGTCAATGTTAATGTTGTTAATTTGTATAAAATTGTTAATTTTTACTATGCATCAATATAATATATATTTTTCTGAATGAGCTTTATTTCTTGCATATTTTCTTTTCTATTTCATGCAATTGTAAATTTTAACAAGTGATTTTACAGTTTTGAATAACGCAAATCTAGCTTTCAAAAATATCTAGTAAAGATTGATGAAAATATATTATTTATGCATGATTTATTGTTGTCTTAAGGAAACAAAGCATTTGAAAATAAAAATCTGTATGCAAATATTGCATCCCAAAATGAGAGAAAGTGATTGTGGCGGGAAGCAATACTGTGTTCTATATGGAGCTGTCACAAAATGCGGCAGAATATGTGGGCAAGGATATCACTTTCTTCCAGAGGGAATATAGTTTGTTTTTTACTTTTTTATTATTATTGAGTTCAATAACTAGTTCCAACTTAGATGTTGAAATTGTGAATTTCGTAGTAACAGGTACGGATTTTATCTTGAATGAAAGGAATATTTTTAGTCTGCATGTGCTACAGAAAATGGAGCATCTAGTATTTTTTGTAGAAGTAAGGATCGGGCAGTTTGAATGCGGTGGATATTGGAATGTTAGGTATATTTTCATATTTCCCGTCATTTAGTCCATGGTGTTGTAAAGCAGCCTTTTATTTTTGAGAAGTAAATCAGAACATTTGTCAAAATGTGGTACACGAGCTGTATATTGTGTATGAGGGTTTCTTACAGGAATTTGTCGTACAGTCCAAGGTACCGCACGTAGTTGGGAGGGGAATATTATTAAATTGTCTGTTGGGGAGAACTTTTTACAGAGAGTGAAGGTTATGTGGGAGGATTTGTCTATGTTAAATTTTATTCTTATCTTTTTAAATCAATACTCTAGTGTGTGGTGTTGGAGGGATCGAGTGGAACTGAATTCTATGTTGTCTGAAAATGTAATGTGGTTTGGGAATGTGATGGATGTAAGCTGTTTACACCTGGAATAGTGTATGGGGCCAGAACGCCACCCTGAGGAACACCAACATCGATAGGAAAATATGCAGAGAGGGAATTGCCTTTGATGACTTGGAAAACTAGGTCAATGGGGTAAAAAGGAAATAAAATTATAATTTGACGTATTTCAAACCTAGTTTGGAAATTTTTTAAAAATCGACAGTTTGGCACGACCCGCGATCATTTCAGGTTTAGCATCTTCTCTGCCGTGCTCTGCCAATTTCATATTGAGAAAATATGGAACCTATTACCCCCTATTATTATTCAAACCCAATTTGAACACATATATAAGAATTCGTCACCATGGCTAATATGCATAGATAATAAGAAAAAAAAAGAAAAAAAAACCTATAACTAAAAAATAAACTTGACATCCTATCATTTTAGTTTTATTTTCAAATATAAACTTTTTGTATAGGTTGGACAAACTCTAAGGTCTTTTAAATGAAGTTATATGTAACAATAAAATAATTAAATTTTTCCAAATATAATCTTCAAAGCAATAACTATAACAATTAAACAGGTTAACCCTTTTGAGAGTTTAGAAAAAGTTGTATAGTTAAAATATTTGTAATATTTAAGAATACGTATAGAATAATTATACTACTCATAGAATTATAAAAGTTTCACTCAACAACCTTAGTTTTTTTAAGGAAAAGAGGGTTGTTTTATAGTATGTAGTGCTTGGTATATGTTTTGTTTGTGTACTGGGATTCTTATTATGCAATGAATTTATTTTCGTGAGTGTGTAGTGTGAGAGGTATGATGAATATTTTTTACCCAATTGACTCTTAATTAGCTTAGTGTTATAATACATATTAAAACGTGATGAAAGAATATTGGAAGAAAATCAAGTGCTGATGATCTGAATGAGACAATAATCACTTTTGCCAACCTTTTGGAGATGTATTTTCTCCTTACTCAGGACTTATTAACTGTTATTTACTATTATAATTTAACATGTAGATTTGGTCTTTGCTACATTTGTGTCTACATATAAAATATTCTACACCAAAGAACTGTTACCGGGTATATAAATGCAATACATATGCATGAACAAAAAAAATTCAACACATTTTATTTTATTCCATACAGAAAACAAGGTATTTTAAATTTATTTAACATTTTTTTCATTGCTCCTTCCTCTTTTCCCTTCAGTTTTAGCAGTAGGCATATTATACTTCATACAACAAATCTAACATTTCATTTTTTAGTAGTGAAAGAGGTGAGGGATTCACTGAACAAAACTAATTCTCAACTATTCGTACAGTCTAAAAGGTGACACACTCTCTCTCTCTCTCTCTCTCTCTCTCTCTCTCTTTCTCTTTCTCTTTCTCTTTCTCTCTCCGCTCTCCTTCTACCCAAATAATTCTCACTTTTTGAATTATCATTTTAATTTTATCCAATTCACATTTTTAGAATGATCGGAGTACCGATGTTCGGATTAGGGATTTAGATAATAGATTACATATTACAGACCATAACTTTTATAGAATGCTGTGATTTTTTTATTTTTTACGTTGGTTGCTTTTTATTTTTCACTATACTATTTATATCTTAATACATTTAGGAAAATGACATGTAATAACAATACATCGTTGAGATGTAGCTTGCGATTGCCAAATACACCATCTTATCATAATTTAATGATGGGTCAGACAATGATTGTGACATCATGTTATGTTTCCATAGTACATTTGGTCACAACAAATTGAACATTTCAACTTTAACACTCATCCATCGAAGACCAAGGTTAGTCTGAGAAAGAAAGTCTCTATTCGAGACGACAAAATTTTCACATGATTTCATTCAATCGGCCAGTTGACACAAATATATAAAATAATTTTGTAAAACGTATTATTAAAATAACTGATAAATACATATTTTTTAGTGTATTAATTAATTTTCTGGCTTTGGAAAAATTTATATAATTAACTCTGTAGTAAAAATGGCATTAGTCAATTGCTAAAACAATAGTTTTCTAATTAACACAGAATAGTATAAATTAAAGAATCCAAAATAAACATTAAAATAAATTACAATTAATTAAGGTTTTTAGTTGAGATGAAAAAAAGTTAATGGCACGAGAGGGATTCGAACCCACGACCTTCAGCTCGAATCCCTCTCGTGCCATTAACCTTTTTTTCATCTCAACTAAAAACCTTAATTAATTGTAAAGTATTAACTGGTCAAGCGGACCACGAAAATAGTGAAATTAAAATAAATTCATACCTAAAACAATATAATTGAATATTTTAGAGTTAGTTCCCTATTTCCGTCTTCTTACATTCACTAAGATACATCAGAGATTAATTTTTTCCACAAATTTATTGACCATTGCACCAAGGTTAGCACCATTACATATTTTATTACAGAAAAAAAGTTGAAATGGACAGAAGAATGTGAAAAATGTTTTGAAGAAATTAAACTGTCCCCCCAACCATTTCAGTTATTTATGACAATGATGAAGGATACGATAATGGAAGTAGCTCAAGTTATTTAGGCTTAGATGCTTCTTTACTGCTCTGCTGCTTCTTAAACAAACTCAGGAAATTTAAAAAAAAATTAAAAATTATAATTTTATATCATTGAATTAAGAACTGATAATTGATAACCCTAGAGTAATCAAAGTTGTAGTTAATTCCGAGGAGATATATTTATTTATAATTTAATTTTAACCCAACCAAATTTTTTTCTTATGTTCATAATAAAAAAAATAATAATGCATTACCAGCTATTATGCACTACAATGACGTTACAGCTACATATCCATTGGAAATTGCTAATATCTTTGCCAGGCACTTTGGCTCGGTCTACGCTAAAAATGCTACCTCTAAAATTTACCCACAAATTTATGATAGTACAGTAAATATTAGTTCCATACAAATCGTAGAAGTGGATGTACTTAATGCCCTTAAAAATCTAAAAAAAAAAAAAAAAAGAACAATTCCAGGGGTCCAGATTGTATTCTTAATATATTGTTTTTATTATCGTTAGAAACAGGAATATTTCCTACCATTTGGAAAACTAGTCACATTGTGCCAATATTTAAAAAAGGCAATAGAGCTTTAATACAGAATTATAGACCTATAAATAAATTATCAGTTATTCCAAAGGTTTTTGAACAAATTTTATGTAAAAAAATTACTCCTATGTTCAATTGTTTAATTGATGAAAACCAACATGGGTTTGTGAAATATAAATCCACTTTAACAAATCTATTAACTTTCCAGCATAGCATACTCAAAACTTTTGAAACTGGCTATCAGGTTGACTTCATTTACACTGACTTCAGCAAAGCTTTTGATACAGTTAACCATGAACTCTGCTCTAAGCTAGAAGTGATTGGAATTCATGGTAGCCTGCTGGAATTATTGAGAGATTTTCTGATTAACAGAACTCAAATTGTAAAGATAGATAATATGGAATCAGAACCTTTATCTGTTACCTCTGGTGTTCCACAAGGTGGCCCCATGTCTCCTTTGTTATTTAATATATTTATTAATGATATTGTTAACTGTTTTACAAATAGTCAATTTAAATTGTTCGCGGACGATCTCAAATATTTAAAATAATAAAATCTATTGAAGACTTGAAATGTTACAAGACATAACTAATCTAGTTAGATATATATATTACACAGGGCGGGCGACCAGGACCCGAGGGGTTAAAAGCCTAGGTAGGCCCGTACCCCATAATCTAGTTAGATGGTGTGATCTAAATTATATTACTCTAAATATTGATAAATGCAATGTTGTCCATTATCATAAGAAACTTAGTCCATTACAATTTAAATATCTGTGATGTAGAACTAATAGCTTTAAACAATATCAAAGACCTAGGTGTAATTTTTGATTTCTCTCTTTCATTTAGCCTGCATATTGAATCTATTGTAAATACATGTTCGAAACTACTTGGTTTCTTGAAAAGAAATCACAGGATTTTAATAGTATATTTTGCCTAAAAATATTGTTTTTTACTCTGATAAGGCCAATCTTAGAGTTTAACTCAGTAGTGTGGTCACCTTATTATCACACTTACATATATATACTTGAATCTGTTCAAAATAAATTTCTTAAATACTGTTCTTACTTGGTCTAAATTCTAGTTGGATATCATATGAAATGTACTGAACATTAGTTCATTAGAAGATCGTAGATTATCAATTGATATTGTTTTTCTTGTAAAACTTTTAAGGAATATGATTAGCTGTCCTGAATTGTCGGAGAAGATATCCTTTAATGTACCAGATAAGAGGACCAGATTCACTCTTCTGTTCTTTATACCATTATGTAAAACCAACTACCTAAAAAATGCTCCCATTCCTAGAATATGTACTAAAGTACTTAAGTAGTGATCTGGACTTATTCTGTTCATCTCTGGTCAAAATTAAAGCTGTGTAATTCCACATACTTTGAGTATGTGTACTGTTGTAAAATTGGCTACTTGCCGTTGATGTAATAAATAAATAAATTCTAATTTTTTTAAAAAGATTCAAAAGTCCAACTTTGTTCAGTATCGTTGTGAATTTGGCTGGAGGCATTCAAAGAAAATTTCTAGAACCCATCCCACCTTAGATTATTTAATGTTTGCAAAAATTATTTCCACGCTGATTCCCCCTCCATCCCAGAATAATTTTTGACCCACCATCTTTTTGGTCTTTTTTTACTATTACTAAGACTAGAATTCATATAAAATTTGGACAATATCCCACCATATTTGAAGCAGAAACAGTGACTATTGAACAATGTGCCTGGGAGATAAAAAGGCTGGGTATTGTCAATAGAAGAATAGCCATTTACTCAAACAGCCAGGCAGTACTGAAGGTAATTGCCGCATCAGCTGTAAAGTCCAGAATCATTTGGGACCATGTCAGACATCAGGGAAAATTACCCTTGTCTGAATACTAGTCCACACAGTGCAGAGGGGCAACGAGGAGGGCGATAAATTGACCAAGGAAAGTTCAATGACGACTCCTATTGGCCCTGAACTGATGGTATATCAAACTGCCAAAAACTCGGATCCATTAGACAATGGATTAAAAATAAGTCCACCGTTCAGTGGGAATAGCCTGGGATAGAGGCATTCAAAAAAGTTTATCAAAGGACCATCCCAGAAACTAACAGCAGAACTACTAAGGGATGTATGCTAGGACTAGAATAATAGTCGGAACTGGACACTGCAGACTCTGGAGGCATAGGCATAAACTCAAAGTGGCAGAAACAAGCCTATGCAGATATTTAAGAAGAAGAAACTGCGGAACATGTTGTAAGAAGGTTTCTAATCCTGGGAGAGGAAAAGCCAGGGCCTGAGGGATACACAGGGAGCCCTTGAATAAGCTTTGGGGTCTGATAAAAAGCCTTAAACTTAACGAGGAGCTCTAAATAAAATAAAAAATGGAGATGTACAATAGACCAATACTGGTCGCGGTTCACAGGTCGAAAGAGCCCGGCTCAAATATAATCCAATAAGCTAATCTACTATACTATACTGGTACAAAAAATCCCTTCTTTCATAAAGGATTGAATCATGGCATCATGGAAATGAAAAGGAATGAATCTTCCATGTTGGTCTGCCTGTCCTTGCTGAGTTGGTCTATCCAATGTGTTTCAGCATTTTGTCATCTTCACTGTTGAATTACATTACATACAATTTATTAGTTATATTTGTACTCAACACTATTCGAAGATTGTGAAATTTGGTGTTTGCATTTCTAAGGATTCTGAATTGAAATTTTCTGTTACTGTTAACGCCATAGCTTATTTTATTTTCATTTCCTTCCCTATTAATTTTTTATTTTTTTATTTTGTCGATCGGGGATTTTCATCCCTCACACAAAACAATCCATCAATTATCATCATCTTCATCAATATCAACAGGATCGTGGTAGCGGATTTTTTCAACCGAAAAACGGCTGGCAGACTCTTCTGGAGACTGAATTTAGTCATCATCCTTCGTTCATCGCGCACCCCTTCAGTTCTCGTAGGAGGAATTCATTGAGGAATTCACAACCGTCTCGTCAGGATATCGCAGTGAGTCATTCCAGTCTGAGTCGTGAAAATCCGGCCAAAAAAAGGACATTTTGCCTACCTCGTGGAAATTTCGCTGTACTCAGGTGGATTCATGTTTAACTCGGATCTGATTTTCTAGGACATATATTATAATTTGATTTATTTCATAAAAGGAATCACTATTTTAAGTTAACTTTAACCTGCAGGTAATATATTCGTTTGCATACTAGAGAACACAAAATTTTTTTAATTTTTTTTTTTTTGTATTGTACAAGGAGAGTTTCTCCATTCAATTTCCCTTTTCTCTTTGTTGATTGTTTCTTGTCAAGATCATATCTTCAATAAATTTGTAGTTTTTCCTAATATTTAAATTTACATTGTTTCTAGATTCTTTACCGCTTTCCTTTCCTTTTCTCCAGCGACGGTGAATTGCATTGTTGAAATGGAGGGGTGGCTGGGCGAGAAAGACAAGCACCCCCTCTCCAAAGTTACTTTTTCTAATTTTAATATAACCACATTTGATCTATATCCCTGTTTTTTCTCTTTTTAACAGATGCCTGTCAAATTGTATTACTCTCAGAGCGGATATACATCAAGATCAATTCTTCTTTTGGCAAAAGCTCTCGACATCTCTTTGACACTGCAAAAAGTGGACTTTCAACAAGGAGAGCATTTGGCAGAAGATTTTGTTGAAGTAACCACTATAAGTATTTATGAACATGACCGCTGAACATCACAATCTTTTGTGAAAATAGCATAAAATCAAAATGCTTAAAAGAAAAACCCAAAAGGGACCAGAAAATTGATCAGCATTTATGGTCAACATTTTCATTCAATTGTACACTGAAGGCACACAAAAAATTATAATTACTTAGTTTAAAACTTTCAATCATTTAAAAAACTATCTTGCAGGCAATATAATTTTTTTAAAGTTATAATTATTAAATTCATTATTTTTTTTTTTTAGATAAATCCACAACATACTGTGCCTTTTATAGTTGATGAAGGGCTTGCTATTGCTGAAACGTAATGTTAAATGTTAATTTATATAATTATAGACACTTGATATATTTTTTTTTTAATGAATTAGTGGTGCAATTATGATGTACTTAGCTGAAGAATATGGAAAAGATGATATGCTGTACCCAAAAGACATTAAGGCAAGGGCGATTGTTAATCATCGTATGTTCTTTTGTTATTCAACACTGCTGCCACGTATAGCTTCAGCATACATGGTTAGTATTCAAGATTAAAACATATTGTAAAAATTAATGATATCCCTTAGATTCCAGTAATGTATAAAGGACGGGGAGTAAATGAGGAAGAAATTCCAAAAGTCGATGACGGTTTCAACACATTGAACGCTTTTCTCGAAGGAAAACAATGGTTTGCGGGAGATCAGGTGACAATCGCAGATTACGCATTTTTCACTGTCGTTTCCACTATGGAGGTATTCAGGGGTAAAATTTCCAGACAGTTGAACATAAAAAAATTATTAATAAAATTTTTGATTTACACAGGCTATAGGCTACGAACTGGACAAATATGAAAACATCAAAGCTTGGTTGATGAATTGTAAAGAGACTTTTGAAGACTATGACGATATAAACCAAAAAGGAGAAGAGATGTTGGTTTCAATCTATAAGGCAAAACTAAGTGAAAATGAGTAACAAACATTAAAAATGTGCTTATTAACTACATTGCACCACAAATGTAGTATTAATTAAATATATAACATTTCTCGTTAATCTTTTGTAATAGTGTCTTCGAGGGTAAAATTATTCCAAAAATCATACTGATTATTAACCAATAGTTAATTTTTGTTGTTAATATTCAAAGTTGCTTGGACCTTAATGGTACCTAAGTGGTTTTTTTTCGGTCCCTGTTACGCAGGTGACCCTTATGCAGAGAAAGATTGCTCGTGTCCCACATAATAGAGTACTCCATGCAGAGACCTGTTGGCATGCCACCGGATTTAAGAATGATCCTCGGACATGGTAGTGAGCTTCAGGGTGCCCTGTTCTGCTTTTTAGGGGGAATCGGGAATTTTTTATTGTACATAGCCATCAAAATATGTGTTTCTGTGTTTTGTATGAGTGAGTGTATTTATTAGTGTGAATGGGGATGAAGGCGAAATAGCATCCCCATCCCTCTTCGAGCTGTGTACATGACTTGGGTTGATGGCAGAATTTTATAAAATTACCTCATCGAACCCAATTAGATTAGTTTGTTATTGAATGCAGGTCTTTGGAGTTATATTGAGTACTCCATTTACTAAATAGAATGAAATAAATAAATATATATGTCACATTTCAATTGATTTCAAAGTGACAATGTTATGATTTAGATTTCGTGATTAGGCCTAGAGTAAAAAAATAAAATAGAATAGGGAACAGACAGTCGAGTCTGAGAGGTGAACAAGATTCCGTGTAGATGAGAGACAAGAGAAGTGTGCGATCCTCAAAAGTGTTGTATTCCCTAAAATAGAGTGCTTCGGTCCACTGCGGATTGACTGGAAATAGTGTGGATATGTACTCACTATTTCCAGTCAATCCGCAGTGGACTGAAGCACTCTTGTTCACCTCTCTAAAAGAGAATACTCTTTTATTTTTTACTCTGGGCCTAACCACGAAATCTAAATCATAACATTATCACTTTGAAATCAATTGAAATGTGACTATATATATACATGTGTGTGTGAATGTATTTATTTGTGTGAATGAGTATTGAAGGTGTTGTATTTTGCATGTGCTCAGGGCTGAAATGACCAAGCTGCCCCTTTAAAAAAAAATATATATACATATATAACTAAAAAATATAAAAAAATGTAAAAATAATAATATAATATTAATAATAGTGAATAATAAATTATCTGGGGTAATGACGGCTAAACGTTAAATCAAAAATCCCCGGATAATGAAATTCATTTTTTTAATGCATTAATTATAAGGTGAATTAAGAAGGCACGTGTACATAATATTACTTTTATTAATATGTACTAAATGAAAAAATTTTGATAATTTTTTTTAAACTGTAAAAAATTTCCAAAAGGTCAAATCGAAAAACGGTCTGCACATCAACGATGAAAAAGCGAATACTAAACGTGTCCCTGGGGCCTGGGGTACAAATTTGATTCCAAAAATACCCCCCCCCCCCACAACAACAGCGGAGTAGAAGAAGTATGTCGTTCTGGAATGATGTCCGTAAATGGGGGAAGGGATTAGTACATCATTCCAGAACGTCAATCATAACGAATGTGTTCAATGTAAACTGGAGAGAGTTTCATAGGAATAAGATCAAAGACGATGCTCTCCAAATCACAAGTGATAGTTTCTATGCGAAATATATACCATTTACCATAGTATTACACTATGGGAGACAGATACCCGTATAATGGAGATTTTACTGTATATCAACATATGCACAAAAATTTTAAAATTGTGCTAAATATTTAAAATGTTTTTTTCTCCATTTTATGTAAGTTTAACCAATTAAACCTATTGTAAACTTGAAGAAAGACAGAGGAAAAGAGCTTCTGTGAAGCTTTTTCAAGTAGATGAGTAGTTAAGGCGTCAGACTCTTGGCAAGTAGATCCTGTGGTTTTGGGTCCAATCACCATTGTCACCTCTGATTTTTTGGTCTGTAAGGGGAGCTGTGGCTGCAACAATAAAAAGTTAACACCCACAGTTCCCTTTCAAACATGAGTTTCTTCACCGGAAGAACACCAAGCCACCAGAATGAAACTAGGTAATTAGTAGAATAAGTGTGGTACAGGCTTCTACATCCGATTCATATGAATCTATCCAGAAAAAAAAGAAAAGAAAATTTAATTTTTTTAAATTTGATATATTGGGAAAATATATTAAAAAAACAACAAAACATTTTAAAATACAAAATTGAGTCAAAACAAAATAAAAACTAGAACATAATTGAACATATACAGCTAATAAGCGTTGTCTTTAACAATAGTAAAGTACTTAAACCAGTAATAAACTTAAAAGTAAACATTTCTGAAAAATAAGTATATTATTGAGAATAATAATTAATCACAGCTGTATTCTACCCAATAATGGTTTGCTTTGGATTTCTTAATTCAAAAACATTAATTACAACATATCTTCTTTTATTATGTTTTCCTAATACTTTTTTTTACAAAAGCCAAATAACAAACTAGCTTTCATTCATTAAGTTTATTTTATATATTTTTAAAAAAAATTTAATGTACGACAAATTACCACTCTTTATAGTTTCAATTGGTCATGTTGAAAATTATATCTTATAAATTTTATACACTTAAAAAAATTAAACTTTATAAACAATATAAAAATAAGACTTGACATTTAAAAAAGAAAAAACTTGTGTAGTTTCTTTTTGTTTGAATAAAAGGTAAAATTACAAAAAGAACAATTTGTCATTCAAACATTCCGCAGGCTCCTTGTGAAGACTTTCTCCGACGAGGCTCGCCAGTTTATGAGCGTACTGAAAATAATCAAATATAACAAAACGGACTGAAACAAACATCGAGTAAAATACCTGACAAGGAGCTGGTACTCTAACAGTACCACACCAATTATAATACATATGCGTCAGTTTAAAGCTTAATCTTTGTACATGATCTGGTAACATATTCGTCGTATTGTATATCACAACATAATGGGTCGGTGTGACTGTTCCCTGATTGGAGGAAAAAAAGTTATTGACGTAAACAAGAGAGAAAAGCATTGGAAATAATACCTGTCTGACATTTTGAGCTACAAGGAAAAAATCGTAGAAATTCCGTCGACAAACTGTATGATCTATGATAGTACCAGGTGGAGGATTTGAAAAATCATTTCTCTCCTGAAAATCCAGATCATAATTATTATAATTTTCTATTCAATATTATAATATTAATTATGTATAAAGTACCGTAGCAAAAATACGTGTATTTATTCTCTTTTGTACAATAACTACAAGGAATTTGGGGTTATAGTCAGGTGATATTCTATTAAAAGCCGAAATTATCTGAGGAATTTCATGATCCCTACAATACGTCAAGTCGCCATCGCCAACACCATCCCTGTACAGTATTATCTGTTCAGGATAGAACCCGTTTATCTGAGAAAAAAATCCATAATCAAACAACTTGTAATTTTTTTTATATTACAATGCTTACTTCTCTAAATTTCTGAAGGCAACTTAGCAAACAAATTTCCAGACCATCGATGAGCTCTACACCAGGTAATTGTTTGTAAATTTTAGAATACCATCTAGTAAGAGGTGTATTTAAAGACGCCACAACAGCACCGATGCTACTTGATTTACGACTAGTGTCATGGAAAGTGTCTAAGCCTATTACAATTGTCGATTTCTACAAAAAAATGTTAATTTACATACATAAACCATAATTATTATTTATTATACTGCAATCGGTGCTTAGAACATTATCAGTAATATTAATAACAATTACAATGAAACCCCTCTTTAACAAATATGATGTACCCATTTTTTTAAACTACAATTGTACAATAAATAAATAAAATAAATTGTCTTACTGAAAAAAAGAAAAAAAAATAGCAAAAGAAAAGTGCGGAGTAAAAAAATAAACTCAGAAGAAGGCGAGGATCGTCCCGGTCGGAAGGTGAGAAGAGATAAAAAAACTACAACTGTCTACCTGCGTATCATGCCGATCCCCTCCTTCTCCAGTGCGCACTGCCACTAAAATTAAAATTTTAATGAACCTTATCTAAATCTTTTTATGTAAGGTTTTGGTTGAAATGAAAAAGTTAGTGTCATGAGCTGGATTCGAACCTTCGGCTGGCGGTTCAAATTCTGCTCGTGACACTAACTTTTTCATTTCAACCAAAACCATACATAAAAAGATTAATTACTACAAATCTTGAAGGACACTCTGGATCAAATATGGTCTTGAAGAAAAAACAAATTCAGTTGTTTCTGCCAAGCTTTCGACCTATTTTAAGGTCATAAGGGCAAAACAATCTTAAAAATGTCTATAGATTGACATATTTAAATTTTTTACAGGTAAGTTGTTTCTAATTAGGACTGAGTCCGTCTTCAAGGAAATTTGAGATTGGTTGTAAAAAAAAACCTAAATTGTCAATCTGTAAACTTATTTAAGATTGACATATTTAAGTTTTTTACAGGTAGGGTTTCAAGGAAATTTGCAATTGGTTGAAAAAAAAAAAAATTGTCAATCTGTAAACTTATTTAAGATTGGCATATTTAATTTTTTTACAGGTAAGTTTGTTCCTGAGTGGGACTGAGTCTGTCTTCAAGGAAATTTGAGATTGGTTGTAAAAGAAACTTAAATATGTCAATCTGTAAATTTATTTAAGATTGGCATATTTAAGTTTTTTACAGGTAGGGTTTCAAGGAAATTAGCAATTGGTTGAAAAAAAAAAAAAAAAAAAAACTTGAATTGTCAATCTGTAAACTTATTTAAGATTGGCATATTTAAGTTTTACAGGTAAGTTTTTTCCTGAGTGGGACTGAGTCAGTCTTCAAGGAAATTTGCGATTGGTTGTAAAAAAAAACCTAAATTGTCAATCTGTAAACTTATTTAAGATTGACATATTTAAATTTTATTTAAGATAGACATATTTAAGTTTTTTTTACAACCAATCTCAAATTTTCTTGAAGACCAACTCAGTCCTACGGAAAAACTTACCTGTAAAACACACACACACACACACAAACTTTCTCATTTCAACTAAACTCTTACAAAAAAAGATAAATTAATTGAAAGAAGTAATTTGGTAATCAGACAACTAAATATAATGGACTTATCTATATCTTTATTAATATAATAAAAAAAGAATGTTTGTTTGTATGTAAGGTAATGTTGAAATCTACTGGTACCATATGATTTTTTTTTTTTTTTTTTTGACACGTTCTTTATGATCATAGACTGACATAGAAATAGTTTTGTCCTGTTATTATTGCGGTGTCAAGCAAAGATATAAAATTTTGTATATTACCGTGCATACCGCAACTTCGTTTCTTTCTAATTCCCATCGTTGCGATGCTCGATGAGAAAAGTGGGGGATTTACGCAAGGAGACATTTATACAGTATGTTGTGCCGGCACATCTAAGCGAACTGGCATGAAGTTGAACGAAACATCGCAGATGAATGAAAAACAGCATTTACCGTTTTAAGCAACACACTACTTCTTTGAACTTCAAGTTTAAAATTGAAAAGGCAAGAGCATGATATCAAGCTCAGAGTACTAAAAGAAGCAAGTGTGCGATATGATGGTCACCATACTGAATTAATTAGTTAACAGCTGGGTTAAATCAAAATTTAAACATATTTCATTATTTCTCAGTAAAGGAATTCGTGTAATACCTAGCAAATCTTCCTGAAATATTTTTGACTTAAAAAAGAAGAAAAAATGTAAAATTATTGTAACAAATATTTTTGCACATAGAAATTTAATAAGTTTTTACTGTTTACATCCAAACTAGAGGGGTTCCATTATAGAGGGGTTTAAAATGTACAGAAATCTTATCTTTTTTTTTTGCCAAATGCAAAAAATTTCCATTAAGAGTTGTTTTACTATATAAAGATTCAAACTGTTATTTTTCTGAATGCAGTTTCTTTACCACCATTTTGTTTTTTCAACAGAAACAATTATAAAACACATAATCTTTATATTATTTACTGTCTGGGTTTTGATATGCTAAGATGTGTATATCAAAGGTACGGGTGTAAAACTGAAAAAAAAAATTTCTCTGAAATCGAGATCAATGCTGTCCGGGGTGATGGTAAGTAAATAAATAAAAACTTAGGGGAGTTCAGTAGATGCAACAATTCAGGCGTTCACACAGCGCTCATTTCTGCATTCAAACCTGACATACTTATAAATGGGCTTTTTTTCAAAAGTACCGGCACCCCAAGGGTTCATATAACCTCATAGTTTAAATGTCCTCATTTAAAAAAGTAAAAAAAAAAAAAAAGGTTTGTCCCAACCTCTGGGCTTAAACACCACAATCCGACATATTAATTCAAATAATTCTTTTTAAATAATTTTTTTTTTGTAAAGCCCATTTGTATGTCGGCAGTTGGTTACATGTGGCGATTTAAGTTTACGTATTTATTGGAAAATTGATGTTATTTTATTTTAGACAATCAACTTTTATTACTCAAATCCAGAAACCGTCTGACAAGAATACAGCGAAAACTTGCTGACCAGAATCAGGGGCTATTGCATAAGTAAGAACATAGTTACATTTTATTTAGATAGTTATTTAGTTTTTATTTATTTAATTTTTATTTTTTTAAATTTTACGAGGGTTCACAACAACAGAGGTCATATAAACTCTCGGGGTGCCGGTGTTTTTGAAAAAATGCCCATTTGTAAGTATTTCGGGTGTGAATGCAGGGCCTCTGGATTGGAACCCGAGACCTTTACCTTACAGTGATGAGCGCCGTGTCAATACCTAAACCACTGCAGCCACCGACCCCCCCCCCCGCTTATTCTTGCTGGATTTATATATCAGACCGGTTGATCAGAAATTACACATCCAAAAGTTTACTTTATTTAAATTAATAATTTAGTCAACTAGTGCATTAACAAGCTGTACGTATTAGGACATAAGTAATGTTTCTGTTTTTAAGTTCTGTATAGGATGTAGGATTTTTTTAGATCTAATTTTTCATTTAAAGTGAAGGTATTCTTAAGATTATACTAACTTTTTAATTACTTTTATCAGCTTTTTAATAATTTTATAATTACTCAATTAATCAATACACAATTTTTTCAAAACGAAAATTTTTTGTCACAGGCGGGATTTGAACCCACGACTTTCGGCTAAATACACTGCTGCTCTACCACTTGAGCTACACAAATTTCTCACTTTGATTCCCCATTTATTCCAATTGTAAGCAAATCACGACTTCATAAAGAAACACTTTTATTAACAACTGTGCTACATTAGCGAGACTGTACGATTCACTGGAGTGAATGTTTTAGATTAATACTAACTTTTTAATTACCTTTATCATCTTATGCTTAATTTTAATTCAAAGTCACGGTAGCTCAAGTGGTAGAGCAGCGTATTTAGCCAAAAGTCTTGGGTTCGAATCCCGCCTGTGATACAAATTTTTCATTTTGAAAAAATTGCGCATAATTAATTGAATAATTATAAAACTTAAGATTATATTATTGGCTGCTATACTTACAACTGGCATTTTTACAGACCATAGTGTGCCACCAAGTTTACAGTTCATTTGCAAGAGAATTTTTTGTGTAATACTTCTCAATTTATCTTGCCTGGATATGGTTCTTGTTTGAATCACCTTAAAAAAAAAAAAAACTTTTAGCTTTTTTTCATCTTTTAAAACTTTTCTAAAATTAAAAATAATTACTTGCGAAGGCACAGGTTTGTCAATGCAGCACAGTTTTTTTACAGCACTATATTTATCCACACGAGCATTTGGAAACACTATAACAGTGATCTGAGTTTCATTTCGCAGTTCAGAATGAAGCGTACATATATAATTCTGAGTGCTGTCATTCTGAATAGTACAAATGCGCGGAGGGAAAACTTTAATGCCAATTTGAGGAGCGCATTTCATTACCATTTGGACGAACTCATTGATCTTTCTTTCATCACGGTGAGTACACACAATAATCCAATGTCGAATTTCAATCTAAAATTAAAGAAGTTACTTTCCAAATGAAAATATGAATAAACAAATAAAAAATATTAAAAAACATACAGCAGTAAGAACGGGGCTTTGGGAAGCCATTTTAGACCATTCTGCTGAATGGTTTCCTTTGTGGACGGCGTTATTGCCAAAATAAATATCTTCTGGCATAAGTACACGCCCTTGCAATGGAATTGAATCATTTTCTAGGCTTAGACCCCAATTACTTAGAAGTTTCATAGTATCACTATTACCTAAAATTATATATATATTAATAAAGTTCTATTTGTAATAAAAATTTAAAAAAATCATTCACTGTTTATATTTCGGATAAATTCACGAAGGGCATATTGCCTCTGGCCAGGTGAGATTCTTGTATACTGTGCAACATCCTTCATAACTCTCATGTCAGCGCGCATTTCATCCGTCAACCCAGAGAGGTAACAAAGCTCAGGTATTAAATCTACCATCGCCATTTCAGGCTTATAAATAAAAATTTGATTATTTATTAATCTATTAGTAGAATTTTTTATTTTAAACAGCATACCTGTCCTTTAATTCGACTCTTGACCCTGCTTTTTAATAAAGGCTGGCTATAATCTGTAATCTTTATGTTATATTGTTTTTCATAATAGTTAGCATAGCTCATCTGCAAAACACCCACAATAATTGTAAATCTGAAAATGTATTTTGTAATATGAATATAAAAATGAAAAACCTGTGAACCGTCATTATAAGGAAAAGTGTTCTGCGGATTATGATCAAAATCGATATCATCAACACGATAAATCTTATTATTGTAACGTGTTAGGACGGAATTTCCGACAATCGCATTTATAAATACTTCTTTCCATTCTGCTCTGTTGAGTTGCATTATATCTTTCCTGAAATAAGTAATTTATCAAATTTTTATACTTATTACCAATCTTTCCTATACGATTATATTTAAATTATCTAACATGTACTGATGGACTGTTTGAGTCCTTAAAACCCGATGAGACGCATCACAGCACAACATCAAACCACCTTCAAAATCCTGAATCGAAGTTATATACCCAGGCCATATTTCTAATCTGAAAAACAACAAAACAACATTTTAGCATTGGTATTATATTTAAAAAAAAGTTAGTAATTTGTCGGTTTTTTTTTTTTTTTTTGTTTGTTTACACAATGCCACCCTTTTTCCCATGTTTTTTGACTCAAGCATTTTCCTACAGATTTGGGCAAAAATATAGTTTCTGCATTTATATTCTGGGGTAATGTTATTTATCCTTTCTACAATGCTTCGACAGTCTGTGAGAATACAACATTTAAAATCACCCAATTTTCGTATGTAATCGAGAGCGCTATCTATCGCAATTAGTTCTGCTGTATAAACAGACATTGAAGTTGGAAGCGAATGTTGTTTCTTGTATTGATGTTTAGGGTCAAAAAGGGCATAACCTGTTTTGCCATCGATGGAAGAGCCGTCAGTAAATATGTACACATGTTCCGGATATATCTCATTAATGTCGGCTAGGAATTCTTTTTTAACAATATGAGAGTCGAGCTGGGAATAATTTTTAAAAAATGTTGTGTCGAAATTGTTAATTAGTACCTCATACTCCATCTGATACATGGGGTCCACAGGGCTTTTAAAAAGGGAGTAGATGAAAGGAACGGACTGGAGTAAGGCCGACACTAGGATGGGGGATTTATTTTTTTGGTAAAAGGTTGAGGTTAGAACTTTTTCAGTGAGTGTAACTATTTTATTAAATATAGGACTTTCCTGACAAAAAAGTTTGATAAGGAAGTTGAACGCTAATTTTTTGCGCCTTATTTCCAGAGGGGACTCACAGGCTTCGGCTTCTAACGCAACTATGGGGGTGCTTGGTAGACCTCCAAGAATTTGCCTTATACGTGCATTCCGAAGTGTATCAATTTTCTTTAAGAGCGATTGGGAAGCTGCTCCATAAAAAATAGTCCCATAGTCGAATACGATCGTATTGAGGATTTGTAATTCAGCATAGCTATCGTCGGATCAGCACCCCATTTATTACAGCACAAACTCTTTAGAATTCATTAAAGTCACTAATTTCGTGGTCCGCTTGACCAATTAATATATTACAATTAATTAAGGTTTTTAGTTGAGATAAAAAAGCCAATAGCACGAGCGGGATTTGAACCCATGATCTTCGGCTTGATATGCCGCTGCTCTACCACTTGAGCTATCGTGACCTCTATCCACTCCGACACCAACTTCCCATCTCAACCGCAAATTCCGAAGGTGCGGTTGAGATGGGAAGTTGGTGTCCGAGTGGATCGAGGTCACGATAGCTCAAGTGGTAGAGCAGTGGCGTATCTAGCCGAAGATCGTGGGTTCAAATCCCGCTCATGCTATTGGCTTTTTTATCTCAACTGAAAACCTTAATTAATTGTAACTCTTTAGAATGTTAAACAGCTGTTCCCCTTTCAACAGCAATTGTTTGATATGTAGATTCCATGTCAGTTTTCTATCTAAATAAAGTCCCAAGAACTTGGCATTGAATCTAACTGGGAATTCATAATTCTTAGGTTCTCTACATCTCTTAGGTTTATTCGCCGTTTTTTAGAAAAAGGACAGAGAAAAGATTTTTGCTCAGAGATTTCCAAACAGTTTGCGTCCATCCAAACCTTCAGATTCCCCAGCGCTCTATTTAATTTGGCTTTACTGCTTTCAATTGAATCTTCTACAGCGTATATACAGATCTCGTCGGCGTATTGTGTCCTAAGACGTAAATATTTACATTGTCATACGCTCTACTTATGTCCAGAAATAGACTCAGGGCGCATTTTTTCTCAGCAAATGAGATAGCCATATTGGCTGGCTGGAAGCTTAGAATACCGTTCCAGCAACCAATGTAATCTACATTTTATCATACGTTCGTATGTTTTTTGGGCACATGATATGAGAGAAATGGGTCTGTACAAACTTACAAGATTCCGTGGCTTGTTTGATTTAGGAATAGCTAGAACTGCAGTATTCTTCCAATCTTTTGGAATATCCCCCTTCAACCAAAACTGATTGAATAAGTTTAAGAGTTTGAGTTATGTTCGGGAGCCTACTGAGCATACTATAGTGTATGTCATCCATGCCTGGAGCGGTTATTTGTATTTTTCAACGCATTTTTAAGTTCTTTATGGGTAAACGGATTGTACAGCTCAGGACATGGAGAATATCCATTCGAGTATTCGTTGAAATTATTTTGTGGGCCTGAGGGGCATTGATTTGCCATGAATTCTTCCAGCCATTCTCCCTCTACAGTTGGGGAAGTGCTTGGGACTGGAATGTTTTTGAGTAATTTAATATTTGCCCATATTAGTCCGGATGAAAGTAAAAATTATTTATGTGAGTTCTATCACATATTATAATAATAAGCTTTTTTGTTTTTTCAATACTTACTTGTGAGCTGGTACACTTTTGTTAGCTTTTGGGTCGAAATAATGTTGGCCGTGTAACACTAGTCCTAAATTATGCATTATCTTTCTAAACAGGAGATTATAAAGGTGAATCATTTCCCTGTGTCCAGTGTATAATTTTTTAACAAACGTAATCGTAATGGTGACTGGTGAATTATCTGAAGGCAGGTTAGCATGGCCGATGGTAGCCTGATACAAATTAAGACAATCATGTTCACAAAATTTTAACTGGCAAATTTAAAGAGACGGTTTATCTACTTACAGTTTTAGGTAGCTGAAATGGCAAGTAGAGCACGTGCCCGTCGAAAGATTTTACTTCTCCGATTACATTTTGCATTGTTTTTAATAATTCGAATCTGAAATGTTTTGAGTCAACTTCAGGTGAGTAACGGACATCGTATTGAAAAACACCTTTGCCTTGTTCCACTTTCAATCTAATGTAGTTACAAACCACATCGATTCTAAATAAATAAAATAAAAATATTAATATCCAATTGTCACAAAGAGTAGTTCATTCATAGATCTACTTAGTCCCAGATGATCCAAGCATAACAACAGGTTCAATATAACTGTCGTCTGACGCGCTCTCTTTAACTGAAAGTTTAGACATGCTTTTCTCAAGTGAGGTCACAGGTTTTGGTAAAGGCGGTTGACTCTCTTCTTTTAAGGATGTTGGAGATGAAGTCCTGAATAAAATATCAATTAAGCAAAACAATTTCAGCGATGAAAATTAAAAATGCTTACATCCGAGACATTAATTTGGCCCTTCCGAACCCTCGCCTTGGCAATGCCTCTTGAGGTGTACTACTCGCAGTATCAACTTTTGGTTCAGGCTCTGTCTGAGGCGGTTTTTTGTCTAAATCTGATAGGAGGCGGGCAAAAAATGCGGATCTACCCATGCCAGCCATCGCTGGCGGGCGTTGAACACCCATCGCCTCCTGAAACAATTATACAGTTAAAAATAAACATGGAAAATATATTAACAATCCCTAATGGTAATGAAAAATTGGACAAACATTAATATTTATATACATACAAAACCAGGACTTCTATTTAAATATTAGAAATTTCTTTTAAATAAATGATAACTAATTAAATAAGAAGGCACCAAATAGGAACCAAGAATTAGGAATAGGAACCAGCAGACTCTAAAATATCACATTGAAGAAGAATATTCTTTGCTTTTTATCTCCAAATGTAAAGCATCAAATGATATTTAAATGTAATATGAATTGAAATCCTTAAGTTAACAGCAATCTTGGACCTAATCAAAAGATATGATTAAGGAAAGGACTCAAAACGAACCTAGAAACAAAATTCTATTGAAAATGGAAAGCATGAAATACAAGACAGTCTGGAAATTAATGGACTTTGTCTACAGCATGAAATGAAAATTAATTTTAATTAATTATACTTTTTTTTATCTAAGTAAGTGGTTGAGATGAAAAAGTTAATGCCACAAGCGGGATTTGAACACATGACCTTCGGCTGGACTCTGAGTGAATCAAAGTCAGCCCAAGTGGTTAGAGCAGTGGTTTAGGTTCGAATCCCACTCATCATACTAACTTTTTCATCTCAACCAAGACCTTAGAAAAAAGTACAATTAATTAAAATAATTAATACAGTCAATTACGACTACTAAACATATATGCATTATTATGCATCCATAATATGGTAATGTAAAATAAATTATGTTTACAGAATTAACTAAATAAGTTTATTTCGATTAAACTGCTAAAATTGAAATTTTTAAATATTACCAATTAGACATTCTGAGAGGCACTGCAGAAACAGGGAATTGAGAGAAATACAGCTGAACTAGAGGTTCAGTAAACCAAAATTTATCAACATCAATATCTACTACTGTCAAATCAATAAATAATAAAACCTGTAAGATTCATTTCAAATATAATTTTTAATTGTGAAATTTTCACTTAGGTGAATCTAGTATGGTCATTTTCCCTTTATCAAGAATGTAGCACTTGTTGGTATAATGCTTTTTTTCTTAAACCGCTTGCGTTAAATGGAGTTGAAATGCCTTTCTCTGAAGAAGAGAAATATCTTTCATAGAACCAACCACTAAAATAAAATCGAACAGAGGGCAAAAATTGTTATGGGTATAAATGCCTTTGTGGAAAAAGTTGGGGTCTAAATTCAAAGATGTTCCTGTGGTTATGCACAGCAGTTGTTGGACCCATGATAGCTGGGGTGGTTTGCTGGAGAAAAAGACATTACAGCTAAGGGTGGTCAGCATCCTTTGTATCTGAGCATCACTAGGGCAATGAGAATGACTTTCCATATAAGTCCTGAATTTTTTAGAAATTAGGTGTCATAAAAGGGTTCAAGGCTAATAGGTGTCCTAAATTCAAAACTGAAAATACCCTGCAAACAAGGTACCAGCTTTGATATTGATGATTACGTTGATGATTCCAATCAAATGATCAAAGAAGCCAGAATCTCCATAGATCATCCTCATTGCGAAAAACCAATTAACTTGGCATAAACAGCCCCAATTATATCCTGGAAAAAATTAAAAGGAAAAATGCAATCAAGAAGCAATGCAAAGGCTAAGACTCCATCACCTCAAAACCATGGTGAATCAGATACAACAAGAAATCAAAGAAGAGCTAGGCACTCCCGAGGACAACACCTTATGGAAAGCCACCCGACAACTTGTTACAAAACAAACAAAACGAAATCCTTGTAATTCGACATAATTGTACAACTTTAACAAACGATGAAGACAAGTATAATGCTTTTTTTTTTTTTTTTAAGAATTTGTCATGCCCCCTAATTTCCTCGGTTGAATTGCTGGTTCCTTACATAGAGCCTTCAGAAATCAAATCCCTTCTCAAACAATTACACACGAAGAAAAGCCCAGACCATGACAACTTTCCAGCAATACTTTTTAAAACCCTGCCACACAAAAGAATCCCAGTAATAGTTAAAATATTCAACGACTGCCTTCGCACTGGTTATTTTCCAAATCGTTTATAGAGGACCATGTACCTCATCACCAACTTGGATTCTCTCCAAAACATTTGGTCACAAGTTTACAGAATTTGGGAGGATATTGTTAAAGGGTTTGAGGAAAAAGAAGACAGGTTGTCTTCTTAGATTTGGAGAAGGCATTTGATAATCTGACTCCAGGGATTAAAATATAAACTGAAAAAATTTGGCGAAATAACTTCTTGAAACCCTCTTCTCCTTTCTAAACAACAAATCCTTCCAGATCAAAACAAATGGGCAAAAGTCAGTAGCCCGAACAATAACAGGAACTCCACAGGGATCATTGCTTTCTCCCCTTTTATTCAATTTATACCTCAACGACATTCCAAATAGTCCAAACTCAAAAATTGCCACTTTCGCCGATGATACATCCGTTTATGCTAGCCATTCAAACACTGATGAAGCCCATAACATAATCTAGAAGGTGCTTGACAACGTACAAGTACCTAAGTGGAAAGTGACACTCAGGTTAAAAGTGAAGCGAAAATATTTACTCCTCGCTTCCCAAAGGAGCCCAAACTAAAGCTAAGAATACATCAAATACCCTGGAATTACAAGGCTCAGCGGTTAGGTACCTTGGAGTTCAGCTCAATCACAGACTCTCCCATAGAGAGACACATAAAAAGAAAAATTGGGGAATGATTTTGAAGACTTGCGCAACTCTATCTATTCTAAATAAAAGATTCAAGATAAAAACAAATTTTGTATTATAGTCTACACATCACTTCTATACGCCAGCGAAATATGGAGAGCAGATGTTCCTTCTATTAATAAAATTCATGTTGCAAAACAAAGTTTTTAAAATGTCTGTTGATGCTCCCTGGTTCATCAGGAATGAACAACTCCACCGAGAATTACAGATCCCCACCATCCTTGACTTTATCAGGAAAAAATTTATTAAATTCCACCAAAATCTAGAGACGGTGAATGGTGCGAAACACTTTTCTCTAGGACTGAGGATTTCTCACAGACTGAAGACTTGCCTACTTCAGAACAAACCATGATATCTATTATTATTATTCTTAATCTAATATGTGTTAATTTCAAATTTTAACTGTGTAAAGAACTATCTGCGCTTTAAAACATAACTGTGATATGCGATATAATTGTAAATAATAGAACTTAATAATTATAAAACCAGAATGCTTGGTCTTATTATATAAATAAAAAAATTTAAAAATAGGTGTCCTCATCAAAATTTAGACAAATTAACAGCCTCTTAATTGCTGTTCTGGTACCCAGACAGGGGTAATTTTGTTGTTTCCCTCAGGTCTGACACTAATACAATTCCAAACGACTTTAGACTTTACCACCAACGTAATTTCGGTCAGTGTCGCCTGGCTATCCAAGTGGATTCTGCTGTTAACGGTACGATAGCCTTTTTAATCTCAAGTGGCACAGTGTTCGATAGCCACAGTCTCAACACGAAAGACAGGCGTATCGCCCCATTGTTTTTCCTGGCCTTAAAATAGCTCGAAAAGCTTGGCAGTAACAACTGAATTTGCTTTTTGTGCACAAACCTGCTTCAAAACAGTGTTCAAGAGTGAGAAAGTGTTTGATATTTCTAACATTGAAAATATTGTTTTAAATGTTGAAAAAAAGCTAATTTTCACATGGAATGAACCAGAAATCGAGTAATTAAAAGTTTTAAAGTTTAATCAATTGACTTTTTTATACTAGTCCCTATGAAACAAACAAAACCATTATAAATTGTCAGAAATATGTTCCAACAACTTTAAACAGAAATAGAAAAAACAATTATTTTTTAAAAAATAAATTCCAATTATATTTTATAACAATTTCTGCATGTTTTAAAGAAAATATCAATGTATTTAATTAAAAACTGGTGCAAGCTACCTGCGGTTCTGGCTCTGGGGGTGGCTGCTCCAAATTCTGCCGCTGGAGGAGTTTCCGAAGCGCTTCTCCTCTTCCAGCCCTATTAATTTTATCACCCATTTTTTGAAGTATAAAATCTAAGATCTAGAAATAAACTTAAAAGGAAAAATATCAATACTGCTTTGAAAACACAAAAACAGTGAGTATATTGAATATTCGGTTAGTCATAAAGTTAGTTATAAATTTTTCAAATGTAAGGAAAGTAAAACTATAAATGTTTATTTATTTAAGAGTATTAAATTCAGCATGGTACACAATAGATAAAAATCTAAATCTCTATTTTTTATTTTTATGTCCTCTGTTTACATCGCGATTGATACCTTTTGGAATACATCTTTAATTCCATAATTTTAGTATTAATAATAGCCCGAGTTACAAATTCATTTTATTATTTATTGTTAGTATTTTTTTTAATTTGAGATGTAACTTACCTAAATTTTAAATTTCAGAATAGAGATCACATGCTAAAGCTTGTCAGTTAAAGGCGAAACAATTCTGGTTAGCACACTGAAAACTGTGTTGGTGGAAACAAGGAAGTAGTGGGAAACAGTAAAATCAACCAACTACGAAGCCTCCCTCCCATCTTATAAATATTTCTTATCTTTTAAACAATCGTCATTTGTTGAAAAAGAGGACTTTTTTGACTAAACGCTTCATTGGTCTATATATTATTTTTAAATGCATATTCCTCCATATCTTAAAAGTGGCCAATCAAGTACTTTTGCATAGAACAAAAAGCCATTAAAAAAAAAGTTTCACATGAAAAAATCATGTTTTTTAAGCTACTTTGAACATAAAGCTCATGATCATCACAAAAAACTTACATGTAGATCATGATCATATTTTGTTTACTATTGTTCTTTGTAAGACAGGGAACTTTTCGTGGAACCCTGACTCTGTTTTTTCATGTACTGTCAATTGTCAAATTCTAAGAAATTTCATGTAAAGAGGAATTTTTATTTTATGGGGGAGGGCAATTTCATTATTATTTGTAATAGCAGAGAGAAGAATTTGTAATATTGAATATTAAGTTAATTTGACGTTCAACCTCATTAAATTTGATACCAAGCACCTACCATTATCCCAGGGATGATCAGAGAATAAGATTTTTTGCAGTCAAGCCTGATCATCCTTGTTAACTTGGTTTTCTGCGTTTGTCCATCTTCGTAATGGGATTTTTTTACAGATAATACTTTCACAAATTAAAGACTGCAATAATCAAGTCGGTCAGAGCGCCCTCTTCTTTTTCATTGTAGCAAGTTCAATATACAGCCCTTGGAAGTTTCTGACAACTTACAGTAGTTGGCAGTAATTCCTGTTGTACAGGATGGCTTAAAATCCACGATTGGGCATCATGGATGAGGGGTCCAGAACCAATTAAAAAAATAAATTCCTACGTATTGTCTGTAAATACTCTGACATCAAAGGTATCAGTACTCAGTACGGCTCAAACACCCATATGCGCAATGTTGTGGTTTGTTGTAGTTGTACACTGGTTTAGTATGAGCCATGGGTATGGCTTGAGGTCGAAATACAACAGACCACTTCAGACCAAAGGAATAAGGAATAAGACAGAAGCAAACAGATACAAACATTTATAAATTTACGTTACATTAAATCTAAAATTTATTATCATTTTAGGAATATTTAAGGATGTAAACAAAGGTTATAAAAATAAAACGTAATAATTCACATAAGGGCCATTTATTTTTCAATGGTGACCAAAACAAATAAAAAATATTTAAGACCGTTATGTAAAAAAATAGTAAAAAGAAAACAAAATCTAAAGCCTGCGACCACGGCGACCGCCCTTCCTTCTTGTCGAGTCCGATGGAATTGGAGTGACGTCTTCAATTTTGCCTATTTTCATCGATGAACGAGCCAATGCCCTCAAAGCTGACTGAGCCCCTGGTCCAGGAGTCTTCGTCTTGTTCCCGCCCGTCGCTCTTAGTTTGATGTGCAAGGCTGAAATCCCGAGAGATTTGCATTTCTCAGCGACATCCTGGAATAGAATTGATCGATATAAAAATTTATAAAAATCACAAAAATAAAACACGCATACCTGAGCTGCCAACATAGCAGCATAAGGCGACGCCTCATCCCTGTCAGCCTTAACTTTCATCCCTCCTGTCACTCTGGCAATAGTTTCCCTACAAACAAGGAAATGTTATTACAAACAAGAAAAACAACAAAAATAGGTTTTACAGAAATACAATTTACCTGCCAGACAGATCTGTGACGTGGACGAAAGTATCGTTAAAGCTGGCGAAAATATGCGCCACACCATAAACGATTTCACCTTCTCTTACTGGAGGTCCAAGCTGAACCTGAGATTGTTCAGTAGGTTGCTTTCCTTTTCTGGGGGCCATATCTCAGGCTAATTCTGGAAAAACAATAATATAAATATTTTACACCTCAAGGTGGACACTTTTTTTTTGGTCAGCTTGGAAAAATTAGACAATGGCTAACCTTGTTATTCATACTCAAGTGATATTATATATGCGGACAGTCCTACGGATTATGTCAGTTGGAATGACAAAATTCATGGAAAGGCCATCCCATGCGATGGCAACTTTTTGTCATGATCCTGTCAAGTGTTTATGGTCAGATTGTCCCATCAAACTTTCCATTGTGGGCTTGGAAAATCACACCAACTCATTTTACTGAAAATACCGTTCAACTTAAACCAGTTGAGCAAAAGCACTGCTTTGAGAGCCCCTGGTGTTGTCAATGTTGTGACAGGCTTCGCTGACACGTGCTGCAGTTGTTAATCATAAGGAAGTTGACAAAGTTGCATTTTCTAGGACAACTGAAGTTGGAAAATTCTTTAGGCTTTAGGCAAATAACAATCTTAAAACAGTCACATTCGAGCTAGGATGAAAATCGCCCAATATATTGGGTTGACCAGAGAGTAATGCAGATTGTTTATGGTTATAAACCAATTAAATATATTATTTTAAATGTTTTTTATTAAACAAAATCCCTCTATCACTGCCAATAACTTCTCCCAACATGATGGCAACTTCTCTATACAGAAGAGAGAATTTTGAGGCTATTTTCTATTAACGCATTTCCTAATGACTTTTGTTCAATAACGCTTTTATGTTGGAAAATGTCCTCATGTCTGAAAAAATGGTAGCCGGTAGGCGAGAGGTCTGGAGTATAGGGAAGTTGAGGCAGAACCTCATAACCAAGACCCGACATTTTTTGTGTGTCACATGGGGTCGAGTGTTGTGTAACAAAATCGGCCTTTTCCGATAAAGATGGTTTCATGCCAATTTCTGGTCCATTGTTTCAATTTGAAAGCAATTATTTCGGCATTGAGTTTTACTCCATGGTTAAAAAAGCTGTATTGAATCAGCATAAATGACGGTCACCAATGAGTCACCTTTTTTTTGATGGGCGATGATAAAATCAGGACTTCAGCTGAAGAACCTCACAGTGTTTTTTAACACTATCAGCTCGATGAGTGCCACTTAGTGCTTGGTAGTGCAAGCCCAAGAACCCAGCAGCCACCATCTGGCACTTGCCTTTATTTTTGTTTGATTGTGGTGGATCCGGGTTTTTACGAATTTCCTACTGTTTCTACAAATAGGTCAATTTCAGTGTCTGCTTTCGACCTGTGTTCACCTTTTTCGGATCCACTCACCACCGGCTTCATTTTAGGGCAGAGTTCGACAAGTGACCCTCACTTCATAGATTGTTAAAATTAAGGTTAAGTATTATAAAAAATAAAACTAAATTTTCTCTTTATACAGCTTTCTTCATTATACCAACTTCATCAAACCAACCATCAACCAAAATCATCTTTTTGCTATTTGTATTATATATTTTATCCTAAATTGTATTGAGCTTTTTTAAAGTTTATCTTGGGAATAAACAATTGTTGCCATAATTTTCATTTGTGACAAATCACACATTTACAATTATGTATGTATGTAAAAAAATATAGAAAAAAATAACAGCATGGTAAATACTTTTTTATTAAATAAACTGATTTATTTTATTTATGCATGTTACGGTTGTTAAACTTTCAACTATTTTAAATGTTTTATCTAATTTTATTTAGAAAGTAGGTTTTGTCATTGCTTGTTTCTTCTTGATGTCACTTGCTTTTTTAGAAAGAACTTCATGGAGCAAAAAAATAAATAAATAAAATGAAATAAAATGGTATAAGATTTGAAAAATACGACCAATCAAGGAATTCGTGCTATGTTAGAAGACGAAAATTTTGAACTGAATGACGAAGGTGACAATGATGAGCAAGATGATGCTCATAAGACTGAAACTATTTCAACGGTTAGTAACTACACAAATTTATAATTTCATTTTTCTTCAGTTAATAAGTTTTATACGCTGAAAAATAGGTAATATTTTTTTGACATTCCTAATTTTGACATTTTTGTTAAAAATAATATCCTATGTTCAAAATCAATACAATAAGGTAGTGCTATATGTACATAATATATTTATTCCATTAATTTTATATTTTTATTTTATTATTTCATATTATATAAATTTTGTGTAATGTAATTGTTCTTATTAATTGTAATCCAGGTTTATTAAGGTTTTTTTTTAATCCAGGTTGTTTTATAACACAGACTTTAATATGTTATTTGTTTTATTAAGTTGTATTTATTATTTTGTTTACTACGTGTTATGTGTTTTATAAGTATTATTAGGATGGACCATGCATGATAATTAATTCAATCTGTTAAGTTTTTTATATTAATTTTTATTGCCCATATAATATTTTTATAGTATAAATATAAGTAAACTATGTTATTTAAGCACTAAATAAAAAAATTATCGCAATGTTGAATTTTAATTTAAGCACCTACACATACCTTTTACCTTATTGTATTGATTTTGAACATAGGATATTATTTTTCTACATAGAAAAACAAACATTTGTCAATTTATTATAATTTAACGTTATTGAAATATTGTCAAGGCAGCCATACCAACAGATGCCACATGGAGCCAGGTCAGGCCAACAAATCGGAATGGGTCAGGGCACAGGTAGTTTTGGACAAATCGATTGATACCATTGAAAACTACATTAAATTTCCAATAACATCTGATCAATACTAAACTTCTTAACGTTCATTAAATAAGTGTTTTAGTAGTGAGAACTTTTTTTTTCCCCCCGAAGTTGAAAAACTTACAACAGTGATTCTAAACTACTATCTCCAAACCTAGAGACCTGCAAATTTCAGAAAATGTACTCCATTTAATATTCTTTTTAGTGGTGCAATTGCTTTTGTAATTACTTTTTTCAAAGATGATGAAATTGATGGAGGAAAGGAAAAAACCATGGCTGACGGATAGGTAAGGTGGAAAATTTAAAAACAAAACCTTAAGAAAATTTTGAATGGATTTATTAAACTTTTTTTTTTAATTTGACCAACCGACTGCAACTTTGATTAAAGAATTATTGTTTTATTATTCTCTGGTATAAAATAATTTTAAGATTCATAACGTTTTTAGTTATGTGATATCTTGTTAACACTATGGCTACTTTGTCTATTGAAGTATACGCTGATATACATCTTATGTACGGGTTTTGCGGGTTTGATGCAACGGCAGCGTGTCGAAAATACATTGCGGAGGATGGAGAGTATTACAAATCAAAATTTAAAAAAATTAATTCAAAATTTCCTTAAGTTTTTTATTATTGTTAATCTTTCCACCTTACCAATCCTTCAACCACAGTTTTTTCTTTTCCTTCATCAATTTCTTCATCTTTGAAAAAAGTAATTAAAAAAGCAATTGCACCACTAAAAGTATATTAAATGGAGTACGTTTTCTGAGGTTTGTAAATAATAGTTTAGATCACCATAGTAAGTTTTTCAACTTCAAAAAGTTCTCGCTACTAAAACGTTTATTTCACGAAGGTTACAAGTTACAAGTTTAGTATTGATAAGATATTATTGGACATTTAATGTAGTTTTCAATGATATCAACAGATGTGTCCAAAACCTTTTAGTTTTGGAGTTATTGTTTATTTGAAGCTAAGTCGTGAAAACTTAAAAAATCAGGAAAAGTGAAATAACTCTGAAACTGTTGAGATTCGCATCATATTTAATTAGGGCTTTTTGGTTCCTTTTTGGATGTAGAATCTACTGGAAAAGTTTGTAACAGGAGTAGCCGAACACCCTGTATCATGAAAAGTACACCGCTCATGGCACGATTAGCAAATTCACTTCAGTGCGTGTGTCTTCCTAGATGGCAGTGCACTGTCAGGAATCTAGGAAACTAATAGAGCAAAATGTTTTTCCGACCTGATGAATTTGAAAAATTAAATTGACATTTTGTAGTTTTAAGATGGTAAGACAAATGACAAAACTTGCTATAGTAGGTAATGTTATTCCCTTATTGATAAATAAATTATTTTAGTACAGAAAAACCAACATGACTAAAAGCAGGTGTGACCATAAGGGCAATAAAATAAACTTGTGCTCCATAGCATGTTTTTTTTTTATCATCGTTTGAACAAATATACTATGTTTGAGGGTAATTATAGGGAAAAATAGATACGAATTTCAGAATAATTTGTAGTTAAGGATTTCTGATTAGAAAGCCAGAATAACCGTAATTTTTGTAAAAATACCGGATTGCAATGTAAAAGATTAATATTCTTAAAAAGCTTAATATTCAACCAATACTTTGGACGAATTGGTTGATACTTAATTATTTAAATATTACTTAGTTTCGAAAAATAATATGAAAGAACTTATAATCTGACCGACTTGAAATCCGGTCTTAACCTCAGTCTCGCCCTTTCCAACCTGGCACCAAAATTTCATTTTCCGACGGTAAAGTTTTTATTCTCTTTTAAAACACAAGCCGCAATTTCAAGAAATTCTTTCGGCACCAGCTCGACATTATGGGAATTTCGATAAAATAGATGAAAATAGATTAATTTTGGCGTTTTTTTACTTACAGCGAGATCGAATCCACACGTTTAACGCAGAAACGAAAGAGTGAAACACCGAATGACCAAACAGTGAAACTCTAGCGGGCGAACTTTCGTTGAACCTCATTTTTACCGTCTACGTAATTCTTACGTACACCACATACGTAATTGGTGAACATTCAATAACCACTATTGACTATATTTAATTAAATTCAAATATTTTTGGACTATTCAAAAATATATAAACTTATATTCATTATAAAAAAGCAAATAAGGCTCTCATTTAGGACCGCTATTGTTTCTTTTTATTTCTTTCATTTCTTCTATATGCAGAAGATATTAAAATTTATCATGAAATTTCGAGTTCTCTGGACATAATTCTCTTACAAAAGACTTTCTCAGCAATAATTTGTACATTTTATGAAAATAGTTTGACTCTAAATGCTTCAAAAAACCAATGTGCAGGTTCTTATTATCCACACTTTAGTTATCCATACTTTCATTCATCCGCAGTTGCCTCCATAGTTAAGTTCTAAAGAAGATCGACCATATAAGAAGATAAAATATTAGAAAAACAGGAATGAAGAATTAAAAATATTTTGAGAAATCTTTCTATTAGCTCAAAAGTTGAAATATCATACACTACGATCCGATAGTGGAACAGAATATCAACGTAACACAACTGCTAACTCAAGCAATACCACCCTTTCCAACAAAATTTCCAGGAGTTAAAAAAACCAGACAAAGCAACCTCCTATAATAATTTTCTTTGAGAAAGCTGAAAGAACAAATTTAACTGATTCATCATTATCTATTTCTAAATGCGGAAATTAATTTAGCTTTTTTATAAATTTAATGTTTTTTAGACTTATAATAATTTTTTCTCATTTGGTTTGATGTCATACAAAGGTGCATACCTGTTGATGAACTTAATGCATACCTGCATAGAATAAATTTTATGTATGTTACCATTTGTTGCACTTTTCCTATTGAAAAAAAAAGTTGTAAGTTCATACATAACATTGACAATAGGCACACATGATATATAAGTATTTTAATTGACATGCAGATAAAAGAAAATGCTTCAAAGCCTGAAATTAGAGGTGTTTCTACTATCTGCAGTTCTCTTTATCTGCAGTGATGCAGAGCACATATCCAGCACGAATAATGAGAATCTACTGTAATATTTTTCCATCGAAAAAATTCTGCTCTCCTTATCAATGGTTGAATATAATGAATAAGATGCTTTATTGAAAAAATAAAATAAACTTATATAATATATAGTTTACAAAGCATGAATAGCAAAGACCGTGGCCTGCTGTATTAATTAAATTTTATTATTATTATATATTTTTTTACATACAAAGAATTTATTTACTAAAAGTAATTATAACTTTGTATTTAATAAAGGCTTTATTGATATTCAGCCTTTGATGACGGAGTCCCACCAAAAAGTGCAACAAATCTCAACAAAAAAAAAAAGTTTGCTCTTCTTATTAAATTAATAATATTAAAGACTTAGAAGCTCAATATGCACTTTTCAATACATATTTCAACTCGTATAAAAAAAATCTATGTCGATTTATTAATGACTTACAGACGCCTGCAGAAGTTGGATAGGCTCTGCTACTTTGAATGGTCTCTGGTGGGTTTAAAACAAGCCTTTTGTCAATAAGCATCTTTATTCGGACTTTCACCCCGAAGGGTTGTCACTCCCCAACGTGCTGACCTTACTGCCTATACATCAGGAAGTTCACCCACCCTGTTAGGTGGCTGGGTTGCTAGTACCTCCCTTAAGCCAAATGCCCAGGAGATCATTCCTTCCCTACAAACAGGGTTAGGCTCCAACGAGGCTATCGACAGCTAGGTCATTTCAGCCCCAACGCATGCAAACTATAATCTAGCCTAATAAAACTTAAATTGGATAAATCATTCGCACAAATAAATCCATTCATACATACACTCATTCTGATTAGTCGGTGGATCGCTGGATATTCCTCCATTAACCATAGACTGCATTAATAATTAAGATTGATGAGGTCTTTTATAATTTTTCTGCTATTGACCCTAAGCCCACTGGAGGGACAATGATGACGCTATATTTCACCATCACCCCTCACCACTCACACTAATAAATACACGTATTCAAACAAAACTCATAATGATAAAAACACATACAATATAACTATATACAGTAAAATACCCCCACGACTTCTAAAAAATGGAACGGGATCCAGAAACCAACTGCTGTGTTTGAGAACCATTCTTAATCTGACAGCATGCCTATATGCTCTCTGTATGGAGCCAAGGCATGACACCTCTATTATGTGGGGCACATCATGCAATGTTTCTCTGCATAAGGAGCACCTGAATAAGCAACATTATTCTTATTCTTATATGCCCTATAAGAGTTGAAATGTACCCATTTGAACTCAGTATTATTATATTTGTAGAATGCATTCTAGTATAATTTGTTTTCTAGTAATCAATTAATTAAATTCTGAGGTTTTTTTTCTCAGTTAAAGTCTCTCATTACAATACTCTGTTTAGGTGATGTTAGGCCACAATAAAAAGACTTTCAATGTCCAATTGAAAATCAGTTGGACATTGTAAGTCTTTTTATTGTGGCCTGACACCATCAACCTCCTAAACAAAATATTAAAGCTGAATTATGAATTTTTTTACAACTTATGTAAAATACATTTGACTCTATCATTTCAACAAATTCATTGTGAAATTCGCTTATCTATTCTACTTTGACCAAATTTTCAAAAAAATATGTGCAGTTTTGGTTCTTCATTTAAATAAGTTGAAATTTAAAGTTTGAACCGTATTGTTTATATACAAAGTAGGGTAAATCAATGTTAAATGCAATTTTATTTAGTTAGATGGCAATCTTCAATGAAAATTTCTTTGCAAGTATGGTCAATGAATCTGTTCTATTAGTCTTAATTAACATGAAAAGACTGTAAAAGATTTTTAAGATGCGTTGTAAAGCAAATTAAGATATTATCGATTAAACTAGGGTAAAAATGCAATTTGGGACGTCCATTGACAACAAGTTGTCACAAATTCGCTGTCAAATTTGACATACGTGACCGATGGGAGGGGACAAAAGAGTCTATCAAAGTAACCTTTCGTCCTGTTTCACCACTTCGGCTTGTTCAGTATCAGTTTACAGATTTTATATCTTTTGAACACATAAAATGCCAGTTAACGGTAATGAAACACACACCCGTCATAAAACTGGCCTAGCTGTGATTGATAATTGAATATTTAATTTTCAGATGGAACCGAGTCGTCGAAAGAAACACCCGAGGACACGGGCGACACAGAAAAAGGTAGGTGTTTTCATCAAAACATTCTTTTTTATTGCGTTGTTTTTATATTTGAATTTTTTTTAAGCCGTCGAGGAAGAGGCGACTGCTGCAACATCTGCAGTAAAGGTTGAACCAAGCACTGAAGGTTCGTATCTTTATAACCTGTTGTCTTGCAGAACTGTCTTTTGATTTTGAATAGTACATCCTTCAAGACAATCATGACAACTGGAGTTGTTAACACATACGAACTGATTTTTTTTTTTTTACAATATAAAAGAAAACAATAAATTTTTGATTTGTCTTTTAAGAAGACTTAATTCTCTATATGATGAGTGTATTTTTAATTATATAAAAATGTTCTAAGAATAGTTTATACATGTAATTTTATTCTACATAGAGCCATAACACAAGAATGCAAAAGAAGAAAAACATTGCATAACAAAAGAATGCAAACTCAAAAAGTCTATGAAAATTTTTAAAGTTATTTTATTAAGTAACTATAGTTTTTAGGCTTTTTTTGATTAGATATTGCACAAATACACAATATTGCTCAATTTTTAAATCTAGTAAATATTCTATGTCAAATTCTAATGATGCCAAACAATCATAAATGTGTATCTGTACTTGTAATATTAGTTCCCAACCTGGACAAAACTGAGTTCAAGTGCTTGCATTCCCTTGGATCTTTTAGAACAAATTGTTAAAATATTGGCAAATGCATATGATTAATTATGACTAGAGCTCAGATTTGTATGCCCTAAAAAAATTTTAAATGCACAACAATGCACTAAAAAACTCTGAAATGTGCAACATTATATGCACTAAAACCCTCTTGAATATGCTACATTATATGTACTAAAACACCTCAATATGCAACATTATATGCACTAAAACACTCCTCAAATATGCAGCATTATGTGCACTAAAAACCCCTGAAATATGCAACATTATGTACACACCAGACCGCATCTCACGATTTCTGAATAATTATCGATTAACGGTCACTAATCACCACACAAAAATATATAAAGTTGCATATTTGTGGTTTTTTTGTACTGCATATAATGTTGCATACATGCACTAAAACAATACTTGAAATATGCAACATTGCATGCATTAAAATCCCTCAAAGATGCATCTTTATATGCACTTAAACCCCCACAAAATTTGCAATATTTTATTCATTAAAAAAAAATCCTCAAAATGCAGCATCATATGCACAAAAAAAGCAACATTATATGCACTAAAACTTCGCTCAAATATCCAACAATATATGCACTAAAACTTCGCTCAAATATGCAACAATATATGCACTAAAAAAACCACTCCTCAAATATGCAGCATTACGTGCACTAAAAACCCCTGAACTATGCAACATTACATGTACTAAAAAAACTCAATATGTCACAATATATGTACTAAACTAGATTCTCAAATGTGCAACATTATATGCACTAAAACTTTCAATTATGCAACAATACAATATTTTAAAATAGCCCTCAAGTATGAAATATAATGTATAATATTGCATATTTGAGGGTTTTTAGTCCATATAATGTTGCATATTTGAGTGGTATTTAGTGCATGTCATGTTGCATATTTCAGGGTTTTAAAATATATAAAGTTGCATATTTGTGGGTTTTTTTGTACTGCATATAATGTTGCATACATGCACTAAAACACCACTTGAAATATGCAACATTACATCCATTAAAATCCCTCAAAGATGCATCATTATATGCACTTAAACCCCCCTAAAATATGCAATATTATATTCATTAAAAAAAACTCAAAATGCAGCATGCACTAAAAAAAAGCAACATTATATGCACTAAAACTCCTTCAAATATGCAACATTATATGCACTAAAAACTTTTAGATGTACAACATTATGGTCATTGAAAACCCCTCAAAAATACCACATAATTTCTTGTAAAAATATCAAAATATGCAGGATGATGTCGGAGACCACCTGGCTTTTTTTAAACCTCGTCATATTGTTTTTTGTTTAGTACTTATTCATTTTGAAAGTAAAATAGAACAGAAAAATTCAGTCAGACAAAAATCATATAATTTAAAATATAGAAAATAATTAAGCTTAATTAAGTTGTGAATTAAAGTTGACATTGACATCCATTTCAAAATTGGTTTCTGTAAAACAAGAATGTTTATTACTCAACACATATTGTACATAAAAAAAACAAAAAAAAACTACAATGTCAATATAGGTGATAACAGCATACTCGTATCTCGTATGAAGTTAAAATAGTTGGATAGTTGATTCCCTGTGTAACAACTTAATTGTTTCCATTTGAGATTTACCCCAATTCAGTCAATTTTTGTCAAGGATGTTGTTTAATTTCTGTTGAAATATAATTCCTGCATTCCCGAGGATTTCTATTTTGGGTTGAAAAGAAAACACTAGCCTGGTATTTTAAACAACGGCTCACTTTTGGTATTTCTTTTAGGTTTTTTAGTTTACTAGTTAGTTTTATGTTTGAAATTAGGTCCCTATTTCCTTCCACAATCCGACGACTATTTCAAAAAAGTTAGGTTTCAAGGAAAGGCAAAAAACTGCATCTAAAAGTTTTGGAAATGGAAGGGGCTCAAATGGAAGATACTGTTATTATTTAATTATAGTTCTATGATTTGGTTTGTTTACATCTTTGTTCTGGGAAAAATAAACTAAAATCCTTATAAAATGTTAGACTCTTGTATTTTTCTTCCACGTTCTTGTTGCCTAGTTTATTTTTATTTTCTAAGTAATCAAAACATTTTCATATTTACAATACATTTAAGATATGCAAATTTATGCAGTACATATTCTTGAAATATGAAAAAATATGCAGAATAAAATTTGAACCACTTAATATTCAGATAAAAGTTTAACTACCATGGTTGTTGGTGTGAGTAAAAAGAATATACAATTGCATACAAATCTGGGTTCCATTATGACATTTTAAATTTTTTATTTTATTAAGTGAATAATTTTTTTGAGGTTTTTGTTATCAGATTGCACAAACATACTAAATGGCGACATTTTAAATGATTTTAGTAAATACTTTCTATATCCAATTCTGACAATGCCAATACCTTTATTTTTAAAGTCCCCCATCAATGACGATGGTGATAGGTCATTGAGTCTTAAACAAAAATGTAGTGAATTCAGTTCCTAGCATTGAACTGTTTCCTTATTGGCAAGTGTAGCTGATCACCTATGACATTAGTTTGATGCAAAGGCCCAGGACAAGAAACATTTTAGTTCTTTGGTGAAGTGATTGGATCTAAAAAGACTAAATTCTGAGAACCTGTGTTAATTTTTATAAAGTTAAGAGTTAATTTGTAGACAATTGTGGTGCTTATCAAGATGAGTGCACCATGCCAATATTTTTACTGCAAATAATCCTTTTCTAGCAACCTGACATGTTATAATTACCATGCATAACAGTTAAATATTGTAAATATACAGTGAATAAATAATAATTACATATGTTTAAGTGTTTGTGTTGATTCTGTCTATCAGGCTATTTTGGTCTGTCAGATGCGTTTCGGCTTCTCACCATCTTCATTGGTGAGTTTGTGTTAGTGCCTCTCCTTTTTTTGGGAATTGGGGCAGATCGAAATATTCGGAAATGGCCAACACTCTGCAGATCTAAAGAAGAAGTTCACAATAAGTACCCTATAAAATGAAATGCAAGTATTGTAATAATGTCATCATTATTCAAAGCAGATTTAAAACAAAAATATAAAAATTTAAGGGGACTGCGGTGGTCAAGTGGTTAGGGTCATAGGGTGGGGGGTCGGACTTGCCACATTAGTGGTTCTGGGTTCGAATTCTGGCAGTTATGACTTTTTAATTGATAATGTGTGAAAAATGTGTTGTAAAGTGGTTTGACCCCTCGTCTGCAACACCCAATGCAATGGATGGTGGATCTCGATGATGATGCCCTCCTGTATGATAGGGTTTTTTAAAAACAAAAATCAATCTGAAGTTTGATTGTTGTTTTTATGTTGATCTGCCTTGCCTTTCCTTGCTGAGTTGGTCTGTCAGACATGTTTCAGCATTTTGCCATCATCAGTGTGTGAATGATCCAAAATGGTTTTTTTTTTTTTTTTTTTTTTTTTTTTTTTTTTTTTTTTTTTTTTTTTTTTTTTTTTTTAAATTGGCCTTTATGATCTTGCATATTAGTCATAGTACGAATTCTTGTGTGTTCAAATTGGGGGTTATCGGGAAAAAAGGGCCAGAGGCGACGGTGGGAATCGAACCCACGACCGCGGCGTGAGCCAAAATGTTTTTAAATGACCGAATTTCAGGTTCATCACTCCTCTTACAATATGGAGGAATCTCTCAAAAACATTACTACAGCTTAAGAATTCCATTTCAAATAGCAAAATTTCAAATTTTAAATTCCCAATTTTGAACTTTAATTCTATTTGCCATAAAATTTTATATGAAAATAAATTATATCTGGAGATTGTTGAGTAAAAGCGTGTCCCAATCATTATTGTCATTTCATTTATGTATGTCATAAAAATTGAATGTCTTGTATGAAGTAAAAACATCCTGATGTTGATTGAAGGAAGTGATGTATTATTCTATTTAGCTTTGTTTATAAAACAAACTGTTTTTGATTTGTTAAAGTGGCATTTTGTTTTGTGATCATGCAACGTTGAATAAATAACTATATATTCAAAGCTTGCTTTTTATTTCACAGTTTTTGCTGATCCAAATGAGCCCCTTGGAGAAATAGTTGTAGATGATATTGATGCTGTGGTATGTATATTGATTGTAAGCATATTGAGATTAATTATTTAGGTCTATTTGTTATTTTAGGAATTAGATTTGAATTATCAGAGGATAGGGGAGATAAAAAAGGGCGAATTGGAAAAATTGAAATGCCTTGAAAATTTATATTTGAGGTGGAATCTTATTAAAAAGATTGAAAATCTTGAATCGCTCGTTAATCTCACGGAGCTTGAATTGTATGGAAATCAAATAACAAAAATTGAAGGTCTTGAAACACTTGTTAACCTCGAGTAAGTGTAAATTTGAAAAATTCAATTTGATAATCGTAATCATATTTTTTTTTGTTTTGTCTCAGGAATTTGGACCTGTCTTTCAACAGGATCACAGAAATTAACGGGATTCACACACTCGTCAATTTAAGAAAGCTATTCCTGTCGAGCAATAAAATTTCTCAAATTCAAAATTTGGGCCATCTTAAGAAGCTTCAACTTTTAGAATTAGGAAATAATAAAATCAGGGTAAGCAGTGTAATTAACAAAAAATGCAATTGAATTTAGTAAACATATAAACAAGAAAAAACTTTCAGGTAATTGAAAATTTAGAAGGGCTTGATTCTCTGGAAAGCCTTTTCCTCGGGAAAAACAAAATAAGCAAAATCAATAACTTGGGCCACTTATCAAATTTGAAACTTCTCAGCATACAGGTATTTCTTAAGTCTTTTTTCAGGTGAGGTTAGTTGATTCAACTAGCTGAACGGACAGGAGTGTAGTACTTAGTAACATACTGTTTAGTAGTTTAGTAATAGTTTTTAACTTAGCTGAAAATTAAACCACCTGGTCTGAAAGTTGTCTATTTCTTAAGATATAAATTATAATTAAGATTAAAAAAAAAAACCATAAACATTATTTTTTAGTGCAACAGGCTCGTCAAAATTGAAAACCTGGATAATCTGACTGAACTGCAAGAGCTTTATCTCTCGGAGAATGGTATTGAGGTGATAGAAGGTTTAGAAAATAACAAGTTCTTAGATACTCTAGATTTGGCCACAAATCGAATCAGTGCTATTGACAACTTATCTCATCTGGCGCAACTCCAAGAGCTATGGGTATTAAAAACTTATTTTGATAAAAATTAAACTATTAAAACTTACTTAAAAAGTGAGATTTTGAGGTCTGGGATGTGATTAACCTTAAGCTACCCTCATTGATTTTGTACTTCAAACCTGTAACTTTTTCAAACTCATCTGGCAAATTAAACTGGCCAGATGAACAAAGACAATCAAGATGGAATGTACAAAACATAAAGCTTTTACCGTTTTCTCAGCAAACCTGATGAGATTAACAGTCATTCTGTGTTAGTCTCATAGTCTTCCTGTTCACATAACCTAGTAGACGTCCATTGTATCCTAATTGCTTCTTTTTCTCAGTTTTACTGACGCCTTAGTAGCTTTTATTAAATGTATCCATACTGAGGCAATTCCACTTCAGTTTACTTCTCTTCAATCTTCTCTAATCTTGTTAAGCATCTTGAAAAATTAGTCCATTTATCTACCTACTTAAAAACTCAAATGTGTGTCGTCGGTGGCCACAACAGTTTAGGTGTTGACACAGCGCTCATCGCTGTAAGGTAAAAGTCCTTGGTTCGAATCCAGCAGCCCCACATTCAAACCTGGCATACTTACAATTTTTTTCACCCCCGACACCTCGAGGGTCTCTGCTAGTGCGAACACTCATTAAAAAAAAACTTCTTGGGATTTCCTTTTCGCCAGGTAATAAAATATAAAAAGCAATTAAACCCCTCTATAATGAAATGGGGGCTTTGCATGAATTGACCGATTAAAAGAAAAACAAAACAAAATTTTAAAAATTCTCTGGGATCAACTAAACAAATAAAAAGAAAAATAAATCCACCAAAATTGTATTTACAGTAATTATTAATTTGATACATACAAATTCGGACACCATTAAAAAAATTTTTTATCTTATACTTCACCAAAATTTCTAAAAAAAAGTAAAATCATAAATTTTTATTAAAATTGAAAGGTATCACACATGAATTTTATCTGCATATTTAAATCTAAAAAAATTGTGATATAGAGTCAAGTCCTTTTTCAATACTGAATGTCTTCGGTGTTCCTTTGTGGGCTCTCAGCGCCCCCGTGTTAAGGGCCGGGAAAAAAGTCGTTTCTGCACCCGGCAAACCACAACCCTCGGCTGTCAACTCCTAATCCACATCTAACTGAGAGGGGTGTAAAATTAACAATCAACCTTTTGTCCTGCTATCAAGAAACTTGAGATTATCACAATTAATTAAGGTTTTTAGTTGAGATAAAAAAGTTAATGGCATGAGCGGGATTTGAACCCACGATCTTCGGCTAGATACGCCGCTGCTCTACCACTTGAGCTGTCTTGACTTCGATCCACTCCGACACCAACATCCCATCTCAACCCCACCTTTTGAGTTTTCCCTCCTTTTTGCCATTTTTCAAATGTCGTGTAATCGGATTGGATTCTCGACAACAAATGAAATGGCCACGGAGAACTTTCATGAAGATATACTTCATTTTAATTCATTAAATTCACTAATTTCATGGTCCGCTTGACCAATTAATTTATTACAATTAATTAAAGTTTTTAGTTGAGTTAAAAAAGTCAATGGTACGAGCGGGATTCGAACCCACGATCTTCGGCTTGATACACCGCTGCTCTACCACTTGAGCTATCGTGACCTCAATCCACTCGGACACCAACTTCCCATCTCAACCCCACCTAATGAGTTTTCCCTCCTTTTTGCCATTTTTCAAGGTGGGGTTGAGATGGGAAGGTGGTGTCCGAGTGGATCGAGGTCACGATAGCTCAAGTGGTAGAGCAGTGGCGTATCAAGCCGAAGATCGTGGGTTCGAATCCCGCTCGTGCCATTGACTTTTTTATCTTAACTAAAAACCTTAATTAATTGTAATAAATTAATTGGGCAAGCAGACCATGAAATTAGTGAATTTAACTTGAGATTATCCTTAATCAGACCTTGTCCTGGAAGTTTAAAAATCGCTATGCTTTTTGCCCATCTTATATATTTTCCACCCTCCATCAGTTCCTTTGTACCAGCCCGCTTTAGTTTTCATAAACTCCTAGTTTCCTCCTTTATTCTCTCCCAATTTGATTATGGATGTTTTGTGTACGAGGGACTCACAGGGGAGCTTAAACGTTAATGAATTATTTTTTATGTTATATCTTCAGCACCCAAGCAGTTCCTACATAATTGATCTGTACACTGACTTAATTGATTTACCCCTACAAGCAAATCCTCACATCAAGCTTTCGTTCCACTACTTTCAATTCATTCCATCCTCATCCGGACCTCCAACCTATGGAATTCCCTTCTTTTCTTTTTGCCGAGCATCATCCCTTTCCATCTTTAAGACCCTACTTGATTATTCCTTTTCTTTACAACTTGGTACCGAAGGTTTTTAATTGTTTACGAACACTGGATCATGGTTCTGAAGAAGTAAACAAATTTAGTTGCTATTGCCAAGCTTTCCACCTATTTTCACCTACCTATCATCCGTGCAAAACAACCTTAAAACAGTGACTGTTTCAGTCCTTAGCAATGTTGGGATTGAGTTGGTCTTTTAGGATATTTGAGATCGCCTATAAAAACTTAAATATGTCATTCTGTAGACATATTTAAGGATGTTTTGCACTGTTGATGACCTTAAAATAGGTCGAAAGCTTGACAATAGCAAAAAAATTTGCTTTTTTCTTCATGACCGTACCTTGATGTAAATGAAAAACTGGTTGATACTTCTAATACTAAAAACAGGTATTTTTAATTGTCCCTTTTTAGTTTTGTACATCTTTGTTCTACCTTATCAGGCTCGAATCTATGTAAATATGTTGGGTCTTTACAATAACAAAATTAGGGTCATCGCTTGTTTTACCTTTTCAATTCATGTTAATCTCTTTTTTTTTTTTTTTCAGTTAAATAAAAACAAAATATCAGATTGGGCTTGTGTACAAAAGTTAAACGTGAACAAGTCATTGTCCACAATCTACCTGGAAGCTAATCCAGTCGCCAAAGACCCAAATTATCGCAGGAAAATAAAACTCGTAGTCCCTTGGATTAAGCAAATTGATGCTACTCTGGCTAAATAAAATTCTACATGTTGATCTTAGAATTATTTCATTATATAAAAAATTAATCTATGCTGATGCTATTTTAGTAATTAATTATTGTTCTGTATTTCTGTTTTTATTATTGCCTTGGTCTTTGAGGAGGGATATTTCGTTTTCCATTATTGATTTTTTTTTTTTTTAATTTGATATTTTGCCTTATATTTCATGTGATGTTCTTACTTGCCTTCAGCTATGTGGGCGTTTTTTTGTTAATACTGCGAGGGTTACTATTTGTATAGACTTGTGAAAACTGATCATTTCAGAAAAAATAAATAAATAAATAAATAAAACACAGGGCTCCTCAAAACAGCTTATGCCAGGAATTTATTAATTTATTTTTGTGTTCATGCCCAATTTGTTTTTCAAATAATTCAGCATTTAAGTAGGCAGCTAAACAATTTCTGATGTATAAGCTGTAATGAAAATGTACAAATAGTAATACTAAATTATAAAATTATTTAGGATATAATTTATTGTGATTAATTAGTCTAAGTTTAAAGGACTTTTTATTTTTTAATTTAAAATTACATAAAAAAATAACTGGGTTTCATTATAGAATTTACAATTAATTTAACCGAATAATTTATAACTGAACTGTTGGCAAAAGTCCAAATTATTGTAAAAAAATTATATTTGTATGATAATAAAATTAAATTTTCCTGAGTTTTTCTGTCTTAGTTTAACCATCAAACAACAATAGTTCAGTGGTTATTTCTTTCTCGTCTACAATAGCGCCGTTCGGAAGGATTTTTCTGTATTTCTCTGGGTCCGCTGGTCTCGTATGCCTTATCATATGTCTCCTCTTATCACCTATTTGAGAAAATCGATGACCGCAGACCTCACACGGATACGGTCTCTCGCCAGTATGCACTCTCATGTGCGTCCTTACAAAGGAATTTCTTGAAAATTTTTTATTGCAAACAGGGCAAGAGTATTTTTTGTAGCCGGTATGAATCACAAGATGTTGGCAAAGATTGGCTCGTGATCTGTAACAAATGAAAAATTTGTTAATATTTAGTTTTTATTTAAAAAAGAAAAAACTTGCCTAAAATTATTTCCACAGTGTTCACAAATATACGGCTTGGCACCAGTGTGTGTGCGCATGTGAATATCTAAGCTAACTTTGGTTGTGACAATCTTTTTACAGAACTCGCACTGCCAATATGTCTGGCTGCCTATTTTTTTCCTAGATGTCTTAATTTCAGTCTTCAATTTTGGTATGGCCTTTCACATTTAAAAAATAAAATAAAATAGTATCTTTTTTTAAATGGTGTAGTGTAGAAAACTAATACCCACAACTTTAAGGTTTTGTTGTTGTATGGGTAGTTTTACAGCAGGAACAGCCTTCATTTCGCAGACATGGCTAAAATAAGTACAACTGGATGTCACGACTGTTTTACAAGTTTGACATGTTTTCTCACAGTTGTCTTTATGATTCAAGAATTTCTCTTCATCTCGGTATGCAAATCCTGAAAAATATATATATTTTTTAAGCGTTATTTGATGATTTATGATAAAACACTTACCACAATCACTGCAGATTTTTATTGTCTGTTTGTTTTCATATTGTTCAATTTTAACATCTTTGTGTTTTCGCATGTGATTATCAAATTTTACCATATTGGTGAATTCAGTGTTGCAAATGTCGCAGACAATCGGTCCATTGATCGGCAAACAGTCGCTTTCACAGCTAATATACAAATACGTTATATAACATATAACTTAAATATGACATAATATATATTTTTTTCATTTACGGTTTATTTATAGGCGAAAATTTCCTAAGTTTTTCGTCTGTACTTATTGCCTTTTTTATAAGGTCTGTCGCAATCCGTACGCTTTTACAACAGACAGAGCAGATTTTATTGGGCAAATTGTCATTCCGCATTATTACGATGGGGATGAACAAATTTATGTTTTCCAACAGCTCGAGTTTATCGTCGAAAATATCAGTCATGAACATTTTCTCCGACTGCCCGCACAATCTGCACATGTCGCCTGAAAAGAAGTAGCATTGAAATTTACTCGCCGTTTAAATATTTTATTAAGATGCTCACCATACGACTTGATAACAGTCTTGTCTTTTTTCATCGTATAAAGTTAGTCTAATTCAAAAAATGCTAAAACAAAGCCTGAAATAATTCTCTAATTGAATAAAAAAATTGCTCCTATAATGCATGCTGTTATAATATTTCATATATTTATTAAATAATAATAGAGTAGTCTTGGGTTATAAAAAAACCCATAAAAGCAAAATAATCCAAATAATTAAAAATCCCCATTTGTTTAAATCGTACAAATGGACTTTTGGAACTTTAATCTTACATATTTAACAGGTGGTATAAAATGAATAAATTAAACCAAGTAGAGAATTTTTTTTTTTTAACAAGTCTTTATTAATCAATTCGCAATGAACCGCTTGGTATGAAATATTTTAAATTGTTAATCTCTATGTAGTAGCATAGAGGTTTGACCCAAATCATAGAGGTACAAATGGTAAAACAAGGGTTCAAATTGTTATATACAACGGGTTTAAACATCGTACTCACATTAGATCCAATACTTTACAATAAAAACAAACAAACAAATTAACTTTTAATTTTGAAACATAATTAAGAAGGAGTTGTTTATACATACAATTCGGGCAAAATCACACTTATCAAAGAGGTTTCAAACATTCAATAATTACAGTATCGCATTTCCTACTGTCTAGGGAGAACAACGCATGTGACCAGTGGCTCAATTTTTGTCTTTCTTATTATAATTTATTTCTATCACTAATCAGCAGAATAAATATTTGTTCTGATTGCTTATTGTATAATTATTTTATTTTCACATAGAACAATACAAATAATGCCTATAAAATACAAATATACATCTTGTATAAATAATAGAAAAAAATTAATATTGATACTTAAATAAAACATAACAAAAATAGTGAAAAAACAAAACTAGATCCACATTTAAAAAAAATAGTAGAAATGGAGTCATAATCTTATAATATATCCTAATTTTAATTAAATATAAATATGAAATAAATATATAAATTTTTTATTCTTCTTTTTTAATTGTTGTTTAATTTTTCTTGGGTTTGGTTTCAGGAACAAGACAACCATCACTAAAAAGAAAATGAGTTTGATGGTTGTCTAGTTCCTGAAAAGAAGCCCCAGAAATAAATAAATTTATTAACCATCCCTAAAAGTAATTTATTAGCGAGAATGGGGGTTAACCCTGACTCAAGGAATATCGAATCCTCTGGGGAATGAATGTGATCAGATTTCTATGTTTGTATCGGCTGTTATATGTTAATTCATTGCAATGAATGTAATTTATTTATCCAAATTTTAATTTATTACAAATATGAAACAAAATATAAATTTATTAATCATCCCCTAGAAGTAAGTTATTAGCGAGAATGGAGGGGGTTAACCCTGACTCAAGGAATAACGACTACTCTGGAAAGTGAATATGACCAGACTTCTAGCTTTGTATATGTCAATTCATTGGAAATGAATGTAATTTATTAGTGTGAAAGGAACGAGGTTAACCCTGCCCTGAGGAATATCGACTACTCTAAGGAGTGAATGTGTCCAGACTTCTATGTTTGTATCGGCTATTATATGTTAATTCACTGGAATGTATGTAATTTATTAGCACAAAAGGAACGGGGTTAACCCTGCCCTGAAGAATGATGAGTACTCTGGGGAGTGAATGTGACCAGACTTCTAAGTGTGTGTTTGTGCATGTTTTAATACAATAATTTATACTTTTATTTAATATCATGCCAACAGTTCAGCTATAAATGGTTTTGTTCAATTAATTGTAAATTCTATAATGAATTCCTGTTATTTTTGTGTAATCTTAAAAAAAGTCCTTTAAACTTCGACTAATTAATCACAATAAATTATATGATAAATAATTGTATAATTTAGCATTACTATTTGTAAATTTTCATTACAGCTTGTGCATCAGAAATTGTCTAGCTGCCTGTTTAAATGATAAATAATAATATTAATTATTATAAATTATGTTTTTTTATATTTCAACCTCAACAGTTTTACTTATGATTTTTCCTTCTTGAAGGTGGGATAATAGGCCATCTCAAAAAAACCACAACCAGTTTTTATCCACAACGTTTCGGATTTATTTTAATCCTTCCTCAGGTGAGTTAACGCAATGGTTAAAACAGTGGTTAAAAACAAACTATTGTAAAATATTAATGACTGACGACCACTGTTTTAACCATTGCGCTAACTCACCTGAGGAAGGATTAAAATAAATCTGAACGTTGTGGATAAAAACTGGTTGTGGTTTTTTGAGATGACCTATTATCCCACCTTCAAGAAGGAAAAATCATAAATTATATTTTCTGTAATACAGGAACACTTAATATCCAATTAACTGCCAGCTATCGTAGACTTACACCTGACAATATTTTTCCAAATTATTTCAAATAAAAGTCCAACAGCTATGGCATGATTCAAACCCAGAATCACTAGCGAATATGAGCCAGACAACTCGTTCAACGCAGACCCCTTTAATGCTCTGTAATATAAGTAACGTCGGACAGTCATAAAGGATGTCTTAATATCCAATTACCTGCTTGGCATCATAGTTTAATTTTTCCAAATTATTGTTTAATAAAAACACAAAGGCGATGCCAGAATACAAACTCAGAACTACTAGTGAAATGAGTCAAACTGTAACCACTCACCCACTGCAGTCCCCTTTAGTATGCTTTAAGTTAAGATCAAGTTCCTGTCAAGAAAGCTTAACATGTAACTTTGGGTGTTCGGGCAACTATTTTGTAATAATTTTTTCCAAATTATTCTCAAATTAAAGTTCAAGTGTTAAGGTATGATTCAAACCAAAAACTCCTAGCAAAAATATTGACCACCTACAGTTTACTGCAAATAAAAGTAAAGTAATTCCTGACAGGCAGAAAAGCTTAATGACCAACCGGGTGTGGGGACGACCAATTTATAATATTTTTTCTGAATTATTCTCAAATAAAAGTCTAAGTACTATGTTATGACTAAAACCCAGAACTACTGGCGAACCCCTTGGCTATTATAAAATTCCCAAAGAAGGTGCAGACCCATAGATTTGAGGTATTATGATATTTACGGCTTATTTTTATATTTAAAACAACTTTATTTTATAAAACATAATATATTTTAGAAAATGTACAAGGTTTGTAATAAATACAGTGGTATCTTTTTACAGTCTTTCACCCATCCGTGTCGCAACAGTCCTGAGCTGTCCATAAACTTTCGAAGGAGGGCTGCCAAGAATGAGATTACAAACGGCTCTCATCGCTACTTGTATGTTGTTAAACGAGCCTAAAATGTGAATTTTTGTGTCGGCCAAGACGATTCTTGTTTTTGTAATATTTTCTATCGTGAACTTGGTCCTTCCCCCTTTTCCTGCGAGCCGACCTATGGCCCTCGAGAGGTGGTCGCCCTTCAGTGTCTTGACGTCTTTGACTTCGAAAGTCTCTACGAAGAGATTCTCAAGACGGAGGAGAGCTAGCGCGTCTTCGACATCGAAACCGTAGACAAACGCTTTGACGAAGTCTGCGGCCCTCTGGACATGGCTGATATCTTCTGTTTCAGGGCAACTCCTGATCTCTACGTTCCTGGACTTGAGGTTGAACCTGATCTGCAGTTTTAAGTTCTCCACTACCGGTGTGAATATTTTCATCCAGTTCTCTTTTAAAGGGCCGTATCTGTGTTTTGGGACGGGGATTTTCCTGAATTCGACAGGGTTCAGGTTGACTCGCTGTCTCTTCGATTTGGGAACGCTGGAAATCGGCTTGCCCTGGATCCCGTTGACTTCCTCGACTTCCATTTCGTTCGAGGTGGCCGCCCTCTTCGTGGCGGACTTCTCGCCCGTGACTTCGTCCACTGACATTTCAAAGAAGTACACTATAAACAGCAACTACTCGTGGAATTACGATAAATAACAAAACCTCACAAAGTCACAAATTCTGGACAAGACACGTGCCCAAAAGGTTACAATAAGAAACAACCTCCCTGATCAGACAGCAGGAACAACTTCAATACACTACGCACACAATAGTGACGTTTTCTAGGAAACGACAAGAATGTGCTGAAAGAGTTTAAATTATACATAGGTAATAATTAATAATTGAAACATAAATAATAATATGTATTTAACAATAATTAAAAATATCGACATATTAACATAACAAATACAAAAATATTCTAAGTATTACGTCATAATACATGTGTATAAAAATATAAAAGAAGTGCGAAGGAATGATAAAAATATAATACAAACAATTTAAATATAAAAACAAATATAAAGAAAGTGAGAAGGAATGACAATTTTTTGTTTTATTAACTTCTCTAGAGAATATTTTATTTAATTAATTTATTTTTATTCACAGAAAGTAATACTTTATTTGTCAAAAAATCGGAACAAATATACAGTTACATCAAGCATTTTAAAATTGCCAATAAAGTTAAAACTTAAAAGGAACTCTTATTATATAATGCATGCAATAGATAAGCCATTTATGTTAGTGGTCTAATTGACCAAATTAATTATTTCGATTAATTATTCTTTTTATGTAAGTACAGTATATGACTCATCCTATAGTCAATTTAACGTAAATTAAAAAAAAAGTCCTTAATTTTTATGTTAACAAAGTCAATAAGTAACATCTTTCAATTAATTAATCTTTATGTAAGGTATTGCTGAGATGAAAAAGTTACAGTGGCGAGCGGGATTTGAACCCTGGACCTTCGGCTCAATACACCTCTGCGCTAATCACTTGAATTATCATGACTTCAAGTGATTAGTGCAACGGGGTATTGAGCCAAAGGCCGTGGGTTCGAATCCAGCTCGTGACTTTTTCATCTCAACCAAGACCTTATATAAAAAGAATTGAAACAATAGATAAGTATCTTTTACAAAGTTAGTTCCTACTCGCAATTAGTGTACTACTCCACTTAAAATCAGCCAATAAAGAAGAACTTCTAAAACTTTATTATAAATTAAGACTTTCATTCCCAAAAATCAACAAATCAATCTGGTTCAATTCCCAACGTTTGAAATTAAACCTAACCCCAAAATTCATTATTGGTAAAATAAATATAAAAAACTATTCAACTCTCTTACAATGTAAATATATAAAACCACATTAAATAATGAATTACATAAATTGTATAGTCAAAGAAATACAAAACGTTTTTGTCAATATCTTATACACATTAGGCTTTGCCTCATTATTGTCTCCAGGAAAATGGGATAAATTCGATTATGATAAGTGATGAAAAGTTAAATTTATCATTGATAAAAAACAAAGTATATTGGATAAAAAAATTAAAAACAGGAAGTACAGTACACTTAAAAATAAAAATACTTATAAAGATCAAACAACTCCAATTAAATTTTACCCGAGGGTAACTTAACAAACATGGTACTAAACAAAGAAGAAAACAATTTATTAAATAAAGGCATAAATTCATCCCAAAAACAAACTAGATACAAAAAAAAAGAAAACTATTCCTTGGTTCATCAGATTGTTATGAAATAAATACAAAAATTTAAATATAAATGTATTGAAATGATTAAACAAAACTTGGTAAATCTAAACCTTAAAAAATTAAATAACCTATGTACCTAGGTCTATTGATAAAAAGTTAAAAAGTAACAACAACGTTATTTTAAAAGCTGATAAAGGGAATAGTATAGTTATCATTGAACATCAAAAATATGTTTCTAAAGTTGAAGAATTTCTAAACAATAACGATTGTGAAAAAAAAAAATCCCACCTTAAAATTAAAAACTAGAGTTCAAACAGCCATAAAAAATAGTGACTTTATTCTCAAATGACCAATATCCAGTTAAAAAATTAATACTAACGAACCCGAAAACCAAAATTCACAAGGAAAACAATCCTATAAGACCAGTAGTTTCCTCTTATAATTATCCATGCCAAAAACTTGCGATTACAGTTGATAAAATAATTAAAATACACCAATTTCAAACCTACATTTGATATTAACAATATTTAGAATTGATAAAATAATTAAAGAACATCAATATATCTAACAACTCTGTTTTAGTGACATTTGATGTTTTTAATTTACTCACAAATATCCACGTTAAAGAATATACAAAACTTATAAAATAAAAACTTATGGATAATTCTATTAACGAATTTGTAAAAAAATATAAAATAGACTCTTAAATATATGCCTACTATCTAATTATGGTAAATTCAATAATAAATTTTATGAATTGAAAGGGTTACCTACCTATTATCCTCACTTTGTCCGGAAATATTCATGCATAATTTTGAAAAAAATCTTTTCAAATCAAACAACAAATTAATTAAATCTGTTCTTTTTTGGAAATACTAGGTAGACGATATTTTATGCATATGGTTGGGAACACTAGAGGATATAAAAGAATTCCTCCAACTAATTAATTCTTTACACCGTAATATAAATTTTACATTGGAAATTAATAAAGATGGTTGTTTAAACTTTTTAGACTTAAAACTGTCCATATTAAAAAACCTAATTGAAATATACGTATATAGAAAACCCACAATTATAGACACTATGATCCCAGCGGATTTTTCTCATCCATGGACCCAAAAAGCTACTGGTTTCATTTGGATCATGATAAAACTCCCATTAACACCTGCTAACTATAAAAGAGAATTACAAACTATTGGAACCTTAACTAACTGTGAGTAGGAACTACCTTCTTAAAAAGATTGAACAACACACTCACTCCACCGTTTATCATTTCTATAGATCAGTATCGGTAATAGTTTAGCAACATAACATATAAACATAAACTGCTTGAAAATGAATAGGGATATTTGTAATTTATTCTTATTCTATTTTAATTAAACCGATTTCTAAAACAAACAAATGTTAAAGCTCATTTCTAATAACGAATTTATTTAAGAATAGTAAACATGTAGATTACTCATTTTGTAAACAAACACCTTTCCTCGTCGTTTCTCCGTTTTAATCCAGTTGTACTCTCTTGAACCACGGAAAGACATAATCTTGAACCAGCAGTTCGCAATGTTATTGTGGATATTGAAAGTGGAAGTGTCCAAGTGCAGGTGGATATCTTTGAATAAGGCAATTGTCGTTTCTCAGTGCGGGGTCTTCCGAGCTTTAGCCTGATTCCGAGAGATTGGAAGTGCCAATAGGATGCCTGAAAGAGGATCTCTCGACGCTAAGGGAGGACAGAAAATTTATGATCTTAAATACTATCCTATTACTATATTCTTACATAATACCTTCAACAACAACAAATCTTATTCTTTTTCAAGACTACACAACCAAAGCCCTTCTACACAACTAGAGGCTTCTTCTGCTTCATTACATAATTTCTCCCTTTTATAAGTTGATTCATAGAGCAGCTGAGCTCTTTTGAGATTCCCATTGCTTTGTACCATCACACTTTGTTTTCTGAAAACTTCTCTAGAGGTGTAGTAACTATCCTGCAAAATGATTTGAGACAGCTTTTTGTATTCCCAACTTTTTATTTTGGCTTTGTCATTCTTAAATGTTAACCTCAATCGAGTACCTTAATTGCAACATGATGCACGACATTCAAAATTGAATGAAATGTGTGAATTACATGATCTTGGAATGGAATATAAGCTCCTGGGTTCTGGGTATTCTATTTTGGGACCAAATATCACCTGCCTCAGTATCCCCATTCCATCTAGTCACTCACTACGCAAATGGGGCAGGTTTTATTTGCAAGATTTATAGATTTGTTTCAGTGATTTTTTTTTTTTTTTTTTTTTTTTTTTGTGGCATTTACCATTTAATTTAATGGATAGGCGATTTACAATGAGAAAACTTTTGAGAGATAAAAGAAAAAGTGATAGATTTACTGATCACAATTTACGCATGTTCAGAGTCTATCACTTCTCACAGCCCACTAGCTTTTGTAATTTGCACAAATTACCGGCAGAACTTGAGAATTAACCACCCCAGTTAATTGCAGTCCAGGATCAGACCTCGGTCTTGTCTGTCCAACCGTAGAGGTTGGGCTCCAGGGCTACCACACGTATAGTTTATTAACGGTTAGTTTATTTAGAAATCAGTTCCTAAATTTATTCACATTCTCACTCAACCTTAAAACATACTTTTTTATTTACACACCATTCACTTAGTGCAGCGTATACTCGATATTCCCCCATCAACCTTTACACCTATTATATAACTAACCTAATTGAGGGTTCATGGGGTACTTAATATTCCACCATTGACCCTCTCACACTAAACATTCACGCTAATAAATACATTTGCTCTCAACACACACTAAGTACACAAAACTATCGGTACTATATACAATAAAACAACCTTGTTTCCTCCAAAAATCAGAACATGGGACCCAGTCACCCAGATCTCGTGTCGTGCTCTAGCTTGATTCTCGAAGCTAATGCTTTTTAGTAATTATTATTTCACAATTTATGTACACATTTATTTACATACATATTTACAATTTAGGCAAGAACTGTAAGTACTATAGTTTTTGATTTTAAAAAATATAAAAACAGTTCAGTCTTTTGAAGATATTTAACAGTAAAAGTAGTTAAGTATAAATAAAATTAAGAAGTTTTATGTACAATTTTAAGTGATGTGTTTTTAGGGTCATAAATTTTCTTTGTTTGCAGGTCTAATTGTAAGTAGTTGAGTCCTGTGTAACGCTTCTTCTTCATCAGCAGTACTTTTTTTCTTTTCTAGGGAGAAAAAGAAAATTAAAATTGTGCTGATAGATGAAAGTCGATTAAAATGAATTTGAGAAGGTGCTAACTTGTTCCAGCAAAATACTTTTCAATTTCGGCTAATGTTTTCCCTTGAGTTTCAGGTAAGTAAAAAATAACAAAAATTGTCCCTAAGAAAGCCATTGATCCATAAAAGAAGAATACACCATGTTTACCGAGGACTGTCAACATTGTTGGATACAGTTTTACAGCGACAAAGCTGACCAGATATGTGATACATGTTGTCAATCCACTTGCCACCTGTTAATATAATTTTTTTAATAAAGACTTAAAAATGTATAAAAAGAAAATAGTTTCTTAAAAAAAAAATTACTCCTCTGATTCGAGCTGGATAAACTTCTCCAATCATAGCCCATGGAAGAGTCAGAAATCCAACAGTACTAGCTAAAATGTACAAAAGAATTGATATCACCGGAAGCAAAGATGGTGATGGGATTTCAGCGTTTTCCAATTCTGAGCTATTTCCTGGCTTGAAAGTTTCCAAAGTACTGTTGAAGAATTCCGATAAATTAGTTGTATTAGTCTCGCTCTCTCCCTCAAACAGAGTATCGGAAAGATGTGTGCTCTGCGTAACGTAGAGGAAAGTGGCAAGAGTCACGAGGGATACAGTCATCCCGACACCGGATATTATGGCAGTTGGCCTCCTTCCATAAGCTCTTGACATCCATGCAGAGAAAATAGTGACTCCTAAACGTGTGATGCCGATTAAAACTGCAACAATAAACGGGTCCATTGTCACTCCAGCTTCTCTCACAACATCAACCTAAAATTATAAGAAAAATACCATTATATAGCAAAAACATTATAAATATATTAAAAAAACGTACAGCGTAAAATATCACAACAAATACACCAGTGAGTTGTTGGAAAAAGAAAAACAGGTTCATAATAATAAGAGGTTTGTATGATTCAGGCTTTCCCATCGCTTTTATAGTTGACATTAAATTTGTTTTTCCTTTTTTGTTCATGTTCACTCTTTCACTTAATTCATCTAATTCATGTTCTATATCTGATATATCATTGGTCCCTCGAAGTAATTTTAAAGATTTACATGCTGCATCCGGTTTACCATTGACCATGAGCCACACAGGACTTTCAGGCATTAAAAAGCCAATTAATATAGCTGAGCAAACTGGAAAAATGCTGCATAAACCAGCGGTGAGTTTCCAATTTTCCTGTAACACAGAATGTTCAATGTCCTTTCAATATATTCATACATTTTAAATTGCTTAAAAAAAAGGCGTTTTTTACCTTGAAAATCAATCCCATTATATAGACAATGGCAACTCCCATTGATATAGCAATGGATGTTCCACTAACTAAATATCCCCTGAGGCTAGGAATAGACGATTCCGCTGAGAAGACAGTCGCCGGAGAGCTTGAGAGCCCACAGGCGAACCCCGTCAACAGCCTTCCGATGTATAACTGTGTCATTGACGGATTAATAGCGACGCACAACCATCCGATAAACGCAGGGAAATTCAGAAGGAATAATCCTTTTTTCCGACCCAAGCGGTCTATCAGAGGTCCACTTACAAGACATCCCAGTGGCGTTGATATAGCAGCAATACTTGCTATAATGGTTATATTATTACAATAATAATTTAAAATAATACAAAAATATAAAATTTTTGCTCAACTTACCAACCCATGAAGCTTGATCTACTGTTATATGGAATTCATCGTTTGGTTTTAACATATAAGGTAAGGCTACTGCTGTAAATCCAAGTGTCATCCCAGATGAAAGCACTGCTGTGTTGGCAATAACACATAGAACCACCTATTGATGAAATTTGCGAAATTTTTAATTAGACTTTTACAAGTTAGAAATCCTGAACTTAATCTGAATTCATTGAAATGGAACTTTACAGTAGGCTGACTATTTTGCTTGTTTTTTCCTCTTAAACACCTGAGAATTTAAGGAGGTTTAACTTAACATGATATTATTAAAGTTTGATCATTCCTGATCAACCTGGTCTATCTAAAGTCTATGGTTGGCAGAAAAAAAAAAAAATTGCAACGTTTCCTCCTCAGGTCTGGGGTGATGAACCTGTAATTTGGTTGTTAGTAGGTGTGTAAGATGCGTTTTGACATATTACCATCTTCATAATTTCTGTCAGACTAATCCATTGAGGATTGGACTAAAATGATTGGTAAAGTTCAAATTGCTTTTAAAAATTGTTTTTATGCCTCCTAGATCATAAAACCTGTCTAATTATTTTTTTGGTTATAATCTTTTCTAATTAATTGTTTTATTGTTACGTCACAAATGATTAAAAAACACCTGGGTTTTTAAGGAAATTTAACTTATCATAGAAATTTTTACAGCTTGATATCTGATTAACCTGGTCAGCCTTAGTGGTCGTTCTGCCACACTAATCATAAAAGGGTTACAAAGGGCCGATACATTAATCAGTGGTCCAGACTTGGCATTACTTGTGGCAAATTGTGTAGGCAGGTCCTTCTGGGTTCAAAGAATAAGAAATGTTGGAATGAAAAAAGATTTTTATTGAAGAGCCGCTAGAAAGAAACTGTTTATTTCAAAAACGTTTAGAGAAAACCGTTGAATTTTGCTTGCATTCAAAATATTTCTTACTGTTTGAACCCGGAAGGACTTGTCTGCACAATTTGCCAATTTAGCGCCAAGTCTGGCCCACTGATAAATGGGTCTTTTCTGACCTTTTTTTTTTATGATGTATCATTTCTCACTGACTGTTAATATCCTTGGCGTCCACTTTGTTGCAAATTTTCAACGACCCAGTGTTTTAAAATTTTGTCGTGATTTCATGGTAAATAAAATTAATTTTAACTTATCTCCAATTGCTCGATAAGTTAGACATTCATACTATAAAGTAAAGATGTAATTTTTGTGTGTGTAAAGATGTGATAATGACAATTCTTTATGCAGAATTTTTAATATTTAATAGTTGTCAATCAAAATTTAATTATTCACATGGAAGGAGAGGTCGACCAACTGAATAAATATAATCGTGATTGCCAGGTGTTCAGTTTGCTTATACTAATTAGACCTTCGATTTTGCAGCATTCGTTTTTAATTTTTCAATATTCAATTTAAAAATATCATCTATTCACAACTCTGTTTACATGATTAGAATATTTTTAAAATTAAATTGTTTTAGTTTTAAGAAACAACCCAGTACTTTCGAATAATTAATAAAAGCAAAATTGCCTACACTTTTTATAGCCACTTAAATTCTTATAAATTAGTTTTGAATATTTTAAACTTAATATATATATTTAATAATCTTTTAAAATTATTTTTTACATTTGTAAGTATGTTGGGTTAAAATGCAGTGCTGCTGGATTCAAATCTGAGACATTTACATTATCGTGATGAGCGCCCATCAACGCCTAAACCCTTTCATAATTAATTAGTTCATTATTACTTAAATAATTATCTAACATAATGAATATTTATATTAATTTATAGTGCCTTATGTTTAAATGTTAATTAAAAAATTTATTTCTGTAATAAAATTCTTACCTGTACTATGGACGCCTTTATACCATAGTCGGTTTCATCGTCGCTAATTTTTTGGTCTGTCTTCATTTTGTCAGGTCATAAATATTAAAATAAGTTTAATTCCTGTAAATGAAATAAATGAGTAGGATTAAACTAGTAGTAATAAAAAGCCAGAAAATGTTTTGGTTTTCTTTGAAGAAATGTTATAATGTAGAATTTAGTCAACAATTTTTAATCTTTACAGGTTTTTCCGTAAATTTTAATTTTTGCCAACTAGTTTCAATTTATGTAATTATTCTCAAGGCTTCAAAGAAATTTTTACCTCGATACATAAGAATTAATAATTTAAAATTTACAATTTCTTCTTTTTATTACTTTGTTTCAATTTATTTTTTTACAAGGATACTTTGTTAAAAGCATTTTTATTGATATACCTTGGTCATTAAAATATTTTTATTTATTTAACAAAAATATTGAGATTAATTTGCGATTTTACTAAAAGCCAGGCTAAACTAATTAAAAGCGAAAAATTTAAACAAATCGATTATATTTTTCTTATTAAACAATCTTATAATTATATAAACGTAAATTTACGTAAAATGGAATAATCAAGGCGTAAACTATAATTAAAAAGACAATTATCTGACAATATTGGAATATTTTATCTTGCCACTTGTCAAGCACGTACAACAATTTTATCTCTCACCTCGTCGGTTGTGAAACTCAGTTTTTTTAGTGCGAGAATTTTGGGCTAATTGTTGGAAAGGGTAGACCGTGAAAAGCTGTCAGTGAAAAATCAGGTATTCTTCGAATTTTAAATTTCCTCCAATCAGTCCGTTGGGGGGTGGGATGAAAAGAGATTTACGATTCGAACATTTCATTTTAATTTTATATGTTTTAACAAAACGGGAGAGACAAAAGTTACGATATTATCGTGTCCAAGAGCTAGGACTAAATTTCGTACGAAAAACAAACTAACGTAAATACTGAATACAATAAAACTGTAATATACTAGAAATGATGAATGGTGGAGTGAGTGCGGTTAAAAAGATAGTTTTTTTTTTGGTTTGGACGTCCGGATTTCGAGCTTTTAGCTCATCATCAGGTTGAAGGAGTTATACAACCACGTTTCTCTCGACATACTGTGTACTCCTAGAGTGTGAGTAGAACTATCTTTTTAAAAAGGACTGTAATATACTTTCTTATCTCTCTCTCATCTCTCTTTCTCCCTCTCCCTTCTCTGTCACTCTTTTTCTACGTAGCGTCTATTTTAACCACTTAAACTCTTTTGTTCTCTCTCTCTTCCAACTCTCTCTCACTCTCACTGTCTTTCCTTTCTTTTATCCCCATAACTCTCTACATCTCTCCTTAAATATCTGTGTGCAAATTTATTATATCTTCCTCTCATTTTCTTCTTTTCTCTCTGTCTTACTATCACTCTTATCTCTTTACAACTATCATATATCTCTAATATTTCGTCCTTCCTCTCTCTCTTTTTTTCTCTCTCTCTCTCTTTCTTCCCACTCTCTCTCATTCTCTCTCACTCTCACTGTATTTTCTTTCTTTTATCCCTATAACTCTCTATATCTCTCCTTAAATATCTGTATGCAAATTTATTATATCTTCCTCTCAATTTCTTCTTCTCTCTCTCTCTCTATCTCTCTATCTTTCTCTTTCTCTCTCTCTCTCTCTCTCTCTCTCTCTCTCTATCTATCTGTATATTTCTATCTATCAATCCAACTATGTATTTCTCTCTCTCTTTTTTTTTCTCTCTCTCTTTCTTCCCACTCTCTCTCATTCTCTCTCACTCTCACTGTCATTTCTTTCTTTTATCCCTATAACTCTCTATATCTCTCCTTAAATATCTGTATGCAAATTTATTATATCTTCCTCTCAATTTCTTCTTCTTTTTCTTCTCTCTCTCTCTCTCTCTCTCTCTCTCTCTCTCTCTCTCTCTCTCTTTCTTCTTTATAAAGTATAATTGTAAAATAAATAAAGACCAAAGGAGTCTAAATTATAATATATAGTGAAAAATGTCTAACACACGTTAAGTGTAAAAAGGCCCAAGAGAAGTAACTTTGCGAGATTAAATAAAACCATCAATCAATCAATCTCTCAATTAGCCCCCCCCCTCTCTCTCTCTCTCTCTCCCTATATTCCTTTCATTCTATTTTTCTCACTTTCGTGGAAAGAAGGCAAAGCATCTACTTGTCTATCCATTCAACTATCTCTTGCTCTCTCTCTTTTTTCTCTCACATATCATATAACATATATGTGATATGGATACACATATCATAGAATATATTAAGTTTAAGAAACTCGATAGTCTTGATTTTTATATAAGAGTTTATCTTTGAAATCTAATCTCTAGTAAGAAATATATCAATTAAGACAAAAATCCTAAAAACGAAAAAATTAGTAATAATAAAAAAAATAATTAAGCATTAACCGAATTTCTTCCAATTTTTTCAGATTAATAATTTTAATTTTAAATTGTAAAGTCAGTTAAACAACGTATTTTTGTTGATATTTGATCATCTAAGAATGAAGCTTAAGACGCACACGCATGGGTCGATTCTTTTATCGTGTCGAAGAGCTAGGACCAAATTTCGAACGAAAAACAAAATAACGTAAATCTGAATAAAATAAAATTTTGAAAATGAAAACTAGAAGGACGTACCTTTTAGCGTATATAACACATGTCGCGGATGTAAGAGCATGAGATCCTTTGAGAAGCGTATTCGGATGTGGGAGATGTACGTCCATCTCAAGGTTTGTATCCCTACCACAGCTGAATCAGGATTGGCGTTGGCGAAAGGCAGCTCAACGGGTACTTCTCTTCTGACAAGCGAAGAAGAAAGATTCCTTTCCTATTGACGCAACGATATCTTTTTTCTATCGACAAAATGTGTTTTTTTTTACAATTATATTTTGATAAAAACCAAAGAGCAAGGAGGTTAACTATCTGACATGTAGAGCAGATAGCCCGATCTACCTTCAAGTTAAGAGAAGGGAATATTGAAAACTAACAATCAGTAGAAAGGATAATAAAATATACTTTTGCATTAAACTTTTCTATCAATATTAATCTGTTTGCAAGCAAAGTAATGGGAAGTTCACTTTAACAAGCACTACTACAAACAGGTAGATAAAAAAATTCAACCTTCACTACCTAATTATACATCCTCTCACTGTACTATAATGGACTTCAAGATTTGTATTTTATAAATACGTTTTTGATTTTTGATACAAACTGAAGATGGGGTAATGTTCCAAATAGTCAAAAAATATAAATTATTCGATATTTTCGCTGTTGTTTTTGTATGTTGCGGCCTTTTTACGCCAGTGGATGTTTTGTCTATCGCGTTATCCCCTGGTTAAAATTAAAGTCTTTATTTGGTGTTGTTTTTATAATAATTAATGTGTGGTGATTAGTGACCGTTAATCGATATTTATTTAGAAATCGTGAGATGCGGTCTGGTGTGATGTAGGTTTCAGAGAAACATTTTCTTTAACGTGCCAACGTTTCGATCTTTATTGAGATCATCTTCAGGGCCTGCGATTTACAAACATTGTTTACATATTACAATTACATTTTGGATGTGGAAAAGTAATTGTAATATGTAAACAATGTTTGTAAATCCCAGGCCCTGAAGATGATGTCAATAAAGATCGAAACGTTGGCACGATAAAGAAAATGTTTCTCTGAAACCTACATCACACCAGACCGCATCTCACAGTTTCTAAATAAATATAATAATTAAATTATAGCTCGGAGCCTGCGGGATGATTAATTTGTTGTTTGGGTCATTTCTCCTTCCCATGACTAAGTGTAAAAACGAGTATCGGCTTCTCGCCATCTTCAACGCCTGGCCCGTTCATCTTTTAATAATCTTCCGGCGGACGGAAATTTCCATGCCGTACAGTACTTATCCTATAGTTGTTTTATTTTACATTACAAAAATGAAGTACACAATTGATATTACTATCAGCAGTGAAGGTGGCGAAAAGCTGATCTCATCTTATAGACCAAAACAGCGAATAAAGGCAGACCACAATGATTATAAGCGAACATTGGTTTGTCATAAACGCAATAGTATAATCTCTCTCTTTCTCTACATAGCATCTATTTCCCAGTCCACCCATTTAACCATGTAACATCTCACGTTCTCTTTTTTTCTCTCCCGCTCGATCTATCTATCTCTATGTGTTATATCTATCCATCCAACTCGCTCTCCCTCCTCTCTCTCTCTCTCACCACTCTCTCTCGCTATCTTTTATATCTTTTATCCCCCAAACTCTGTATATCTCTCCTCAAATATCTGTATGCAAAGTTATTATATTTTTCTCTCATTTTCTTGTTCTCCCTCTCTCTTTATCTCTCTGTCTTTTACTATCCCTCATATCTCTTTATATCTAGCATATATCTCTAACATTTCTTCCTCCTCTCGCTTTTTTCTCTCTCACTCACTCTCTCTCTTTTTTATCTCTTCCCACTCTCTTTTCTTCCCAATCTCTCTCTCACTCACTCTTTCTCTCTCTCTCTCTCACCACTCTCTCTCCTCACTCCCTCTCATTCTCTCTCACTATCTTTTCCTCTTTTATCTCCCAAACTCTCTATATCTCTCCTCAAATATCTGTATGCAAAGTTATTATATTTTTCTCTCATTTTCTTGTTCTCCCTCTCTCTTTATCTCTCTGTCTTTTACTATCCCTCATATCTCTTGATATCTAGCATATATCTCTAATATTTCTCCCTCCCTCTCTCTTTTCTCTCGCTCTCTCTCTTCCCACTCTCTCTTTCTTCCTAATCTCTCTCAATATCTCTCACTGTCTTTTCTTTCTTTTATCCCCATAACTCTCTATATCTCTTCTTAAATATCTGTATGCAAATTTATTATATGTTCCTGTTATTGTCTTGTTCTCTCTCTGTCTTTTATTATCCCTCATGTTTCTTTACAACTATCATTTATCTGTAATATTTCTTCCTCCCTCTCTCTATTTTTTTCTCTCTCTCTCTTCCCACTCTCTCTTTCTTCCCAATCTATCTCATTATCTCTCTCTTTCTCTCTCTCTCTCACGGTTTTTTCTTTATTTTATCCTATCTATATGTCTCCTTAAATATCTGTATGCAAATTTATTATATCTTCCTCTCATTTTCTTCTTCTCTCTCATTCTATCTCTGTCTTTTACTACCCCGCATATCTTTTTATATCTGGCATATATCTCTAATATTTCTTCCTTCCTCTCTCTCTTTTTTTTCTCTCTCTCTTTTTTCTCTCTCTCTTTTTCTCTCTCACTGACTTTTCTTTCTTTTATCCCCAATAACTCTATATCATTTCTTAAATATCTGTAAGTTAATTTATTATAACTCCCTCTCAGTTTTTAGTTCTCTCTCTTTCTCTCTCTCTCTCTCTCTCTTTCTCTTTCTCTCTCATTGTTTTTTATTATACGTCATATCTCTTTACATCTGTCATATATTTATAATAGTTCTTCCTTCCTCTCTCTCACTCTTTCTCTCTCTCTCTCTCTCTCTCTCTCTCTTCGTCTCATGCTTATTTATCCATTTTTCTATTTGCTTGTTCAATCATTCCAAGGCTACAGCAACACGCGTTTCGGCTTCTCGCCATCTTCCTGAGTTCGTAAGCTGTTTTGCTATTAATAATATGACCTATGATTAATACGGCCTCAGAGACCAAAACAACGAGGATAAGCAGACCAAAATTATCGAAAACGACCAAACTTGATTCGATTGATATTTAACAATTACGATAAAGCACTTTCGACTTTTTTTCCGCCTTCATCAGGACCTGTACAGGCATAAGGAGTAGATAGCCTGGACAGGGATGATACGAAATTTTCTAACGTGGACCACATCCCTCAAATATCAAAATATCTACACTGGCCAATAACGTATTTTTTTTTAGAGATTTTGGTTTAGTAAAAGTGGTTCTTGAAGCTAATATTTCTTTTTGATTGATGGATTACAATTTTTGTTTAAAAGGACGAATTAAAAAAAAATTAAAAGATTAAAAGGATTTTCTCACAATCAGATGTATGCAAATTGTACAATATTTTTCCTGGTTTGGTCTGACGTGTTTTGCTATTTTGTCAATTTAGATGGATGTTTCTATTTTGCTTCCTTTATGCCATGGTTAAATTCATAGTTGTCTTTTGTTGGATATATAGTAGAACTTTGTTGTACAACAATGAAATAATAGCTGTGTTAAATTTTCTCTTGGGTTGTTTTTTCTTCGGAGGCTGATTGTAGTTTTTGTCGTTTCTGATCATTTTGGCCTGCATATCCATTCAGGTTTTGTCTATAGTGGCATTAACATGTATTCAGCTTTCGGGCGATCGTTGACAATAAAAGACAATTAATTAAGGTTTTTAGTTGAGATGAAAAAAAGTTAATGGCACGAGAGGGATTCGAACCCACGACCTTCGGCTAGATACGCCGCTGCTTCTACCACCTGAGCTATCGTGACCTCGATCCACTCGGACATCAACTCCCCATCTCAACCCCACCTTATGAGTTTTCCCTCCTTGACAATAAAGTCCTTGAGTTGACAATAAAGTTTTAATTACCGTCATTCAACAGTCGAAGATTTGAAGTGTTCATTTGGAATAATGAACAATAAATGGAAAATTTTCCACAGAGCTAATAAACCTAAATCCCCGATTTTCTATTACTATTTACTATCTACTAAACAGAAGATGGACGTATATCGAGAAGTGAGTTAGATCTAAAACAACTACAAACAAAAATAACTGAAAATTCTTGTTTTCAGTTATTTCAGGCCACCATAGCTTCTAACAGTTCTGTATGGCGCATATTAATTTATATCGTTTCTTCCATTCGGTTTAATTCGTCGAAGTCAATTGCTTAATCAAAAAGGTCACAAAGACAACATAAAAACAATTCATAAAATTTATTCACGCTTGCAACTTGCTTAATTTTGGTCCGATTTTTAAAAAAATTTTCTTTGTGATTTTTATGAGACCCAATTTTTTAAAATTTCTGATTTCAAAGTAGATCATTTTTAAGAATTGTTCGCGTTGATGCGTTATCTCAATTTTTGTAGAAGTTAGCGAAATGGTAGTTTTACTAGGTTCATAGACATTTTCACGTAGGATGGTTGGCATAAACACCACTCCAAGAACTAGAATTACCTATTTGATGAAGAATTCAATTAATTAAAGTTTTAGGTTGAGATAAAAAAGTCAGTGTCACGAGCGGGATTCGAACCCACGACCTTCGGCTTGATACGCCGCTACTCTACCACTTGAGCTATCGTGACTTCGATCCCCTCGGGCACTAACTTCCCATCTCAACCCCACCTTTTAAATTTTCCCTCCTTTTTGCCATTTTCAAATATCGTGTAATCGATTTGATTCTCGGCGACAAATGAAATGGCCACGGAGAGCTTTAGTGAAGTATACTTCATTTTAATCCATTAAATTAACTAATTTTCGTGGTCCGCTTGAACAATCAATATCATTCAATTAATTAAGGTTTTAGGTTGAGATAAAAAAGTCAATGTCACGAAGTTAGTGCCCGAGGGGATCGAAGTCACGATATCTCAAGTGGTAGAGTAGCGGCATATCAAGCCGAAGGTCGTGGGTTCGAATCCCGCTCGTCACACTGCCTTTTTTATCTCAACCTAAAACTTTAATTAATTGAATTGTATTAATTGGTCAAGCGGACCACGAAAAATAGTGAATTTAATGAAGAATGACGATTTTTCTGCAAAAACATCCATGAATTTGGATAAAAGAAAGGGAAGAAAAAAATAGACTGCCAGTGATAAATTAAATGTTGGAATTGTTTTCCTTCATTTCCAA